TACGTGGCGGAAAATTCTATCTGATCAATTGAGAACTTACCAAAGAATGGTTCGATACGAGGAAGAAGAGCCTTCCATCTCAAATGTTGACGGTAGACTTCGCCCATGTCGGCAACGTAGAACGCATTATCGACCTCGGCATCCTCCGTATTAGGATCAAAAGAGGCCAAACGGGCCTGGAGCATCTGCTCAACGGGTAGCGTGTGAACCAAGGGCAGTTGTGCCTCACGAGCCATGTTGGCCTTGACACGAGACTTCAAGACCTCGACCAAAGTGGGCTGCACCAGTGTGGGGACCACCTCGTACTCATCTTGCTGGAGGGAAATATCAATCATCGGTTGGAAAAGAATTTGAGGCTGTAATAACAAGTATTTAGAAAGAAAGGTCGAAATCGAATGACTATGTTCTTTGAAAGTAGTGTTTTGAAACTATTTTTTTTTTTACTTTCTCAATAAGTGCCTGGACAGGGCTTTGAGAGAGTAGAAGGGATTAGGGACTTCAAAAAAAAAAAAGCGACGGACGAGGGACTAGAAACGGAAGTGAGGCTTCCCAATAAGAGGCGACAAAATAATGTAAAAAGTTTGGAAGTGTGCTTCGTTTGAAAGGTGTGCCTGAAGACAGAAGAGTAATTCAGACAAGACCTTGGTTCTCGGGAAGCCAGGGAGGCGATCGCCGAAAGAGAATGGACTTGATGTTACCGTTGCGTAGCGCCGTGATGTTAATAGCAAACCGAAGTAAAACGGCCTGCCGGGGTGGGGAATGGGTGGAAGCCCGGGGGATCTCTTTTAAGGGAGAAAGGGTTTTTGGGGGGTGTTTTTAAAAAAAAACGAAAAAGGACACTGGCAACAGAAAAGGTTGTGCTCTGTTCAGCAGCTTTTGAAGTCAAAGGGATGAACTGACTAGAAAAAGTGACAGTTGAAAGTGAATGCTTGTGTTGATCCTTTCTTTGCTTGGAAGGATTCTTGAGAATGGCTTTGTTAAAAAGGAAAAAAAAAAAAAAAAAAAAAAGAGGAAAAAAGAGAAGTGGATTGTTTTTTTTTTTTGCTTTGTTTTTGCTTTGCTTTGAAAGTGATTTGAGGTAAGGATGGGGTGTGTTACAGGATTGACTGTGAGTAGAAAAAAAAGAGTAAAAAATAAAAATCAAAAAAAAGTGGGAGCAAACGCCTTTTATATGCTGATGGATGGACACATGCTGGCAGGGGGATGAATGTATTGGAGTGGATGGAGGGATATCTATGCGACTATGCGATAATTTTTTGTTTATTTCGTTGAATCAAACGAATGCCTTGTTGACTTCTAAACCCCGCAGTAACAGACTTTATTTCCTATTTTCTATCTTAAACATTCTTCCATCCATTCTGATCCATCATAGGTGCAATCAATCCCTTGGCCATCAAAAACATCTTGGAGAAAGCAACAAAAAGGCCTCTTCCCTCCTTTCTGAGCATCGAACATTAGGGCAATAGGGATATCTGATATCTGATTCACCTCCACGTATCACCTTGTACAAATAAAATAAACCACCGAAAGTAAAAAAACAGCTGTAGTTATAGCTAATCAACGAATCGAATCGCAATGATCTGAAGCATTTGACCTGCGTACAAAGTTGTAAAAAAAACCCTCAGCAACTGAACTGTACCCAAGGCATGGCATGGGCTCGCTTTTTCTTTTTATTTATTTTAAAAAAGACTTGTCCTCTGGTTGGTCTACATGGCTCCAGAGTCCAGTTTTTTTTTTTAAAAAAAAAAAAAAAAAAAAAAAAAAAAACTATATCTAAACGCTTTGTTGAGGCAATTATTAATTTCATGTGCAATGCTTCTTTCCCTCCACGTACACAGACATTTATATATCAGGCATCCGATGCGGAGTGTCAGTAATCTTTTAATACATCCCATCAACACTACCAAAAACCATGTTTTACAAATATTTTCTTCCGCCGCACCATCAGCCATGATTTTTTTTTTTTTTTTTTTTTTTTTTTTTTTTCGCTTTTTGTACTTTGGGACTAATTCGTCTAATCTTGTCTACATCATAGGCACATTCAGTCAGCATCAATTCAAGAGCGTCTCTATCTTTTTATTATTATTATTATTATTATTTATCTTATTATATCTTTCGTAATAAGAACGTGCCATAGGAGAACTCTTAGTTACTACTTCTCTTTTTTATTTTATTTTATTTTTACTTCAGGTGATTCACAGTACGAGCGTGCAACAATAGCAAGGAACCACATTAGAAAATAGAAAATAAATAAATAAAAAAGCCCTCATTGACATTTAATGCAAACACAGTTACTCACCCTGAGACTTGCAAGAGATCGAATAACGAATGAAAAATCACTTTTTTATTTTTACGCAAGGTGCAGGTGCAGAATTCTGCAGGTCGCAAAGACGGTCCCTTGTCCGATTTCACATTTAAAGTTTTTTCATTGTTTATGAAAAAAAATAAAAAAAATGAATTCAAAAGTCCTGAGCCACCAAACACAAAAAAAAAAAAAAAAAAAAAAAAGGGATTTCATCAACTTTGAAGGTCCCTTTTGTTCATCACCCCCGCAAACAAAATAACCAAAAAAGAAATAGAAACGCGCTTTTTTTTTTTTTTTTTTTTTTTTTTCACTCGGATCTCATGCATGTCGTTGCAGGTGATGATTAATTTTCCTCTCGTTGTTACAAGTATTCTTCCCACATGGATGTCAACATGGTGACAATAAAACAAAAGAAGCTCATGTAACATTTATACCTATTATAGACAAATCCGCGTCCTTTTTTTTTTTTGTCCTATGACAAGAACTATCTTGATTCATCAGGACAAATCCACCTTCCTGAAAGGTTATTTATCTAGGAGAAATAAAAGCTTTGTTTTCTGATGTTTCCTTGGGATATGCAAGAATACCAAAAAAAAAAAAAAAAAAAAAAAAAAAACACTCGATATTAGGCGAATAGCATGTCTGCATCATGTTTATCATGTTGACATGATAAGTCATGATGTTTAACTGAGAGGGAAAATAAAATAAAAATTTATAGACTTCCTTAACCTTGGGTTGATAACACGTAGAGAAGACGCGCCATTTCAACTTTTTTTGCTCTATTTGACGTGGAATGCGCGTCATGCATGATATGTGTCATACTTTTATATCATCAAAACATTGTTTCTCCAACGGCTCATTTTGCATAAATGGCTAGCCTGGAAAAGCGCGAATTACGAGATTACTTTCAAATACCCATCTAAACTGGCCACCCACGCAAAAAGCGCACGGACAACTGAGCATTCAAATCATAATATAAATGTAATTTAATAACAAGCTGGAGGCAGGTTTCAGTAGCTTTACACATGAATATTGTGTCTACAATGCAGTTTTTTCTTTTTTTTTTTGTTGAATGAACACAATAGCACCCATAGACGTCTTCTTCCATCACCAGCCAAGAATAGACATCAGAACATAACCAACGGTCACAATTGTTACGCACGCTACAACGCTAGAAGGAATGCCGACCTTCACAAAATCGATTGTGCCAAGGTAGCGTTGTCCCATCTCGTCCTCCATCATAATGGCGTTCATATTTGGGAAGCCTGATACCGGAAGGCCCATTGCCCCTGAACACATCAGCGCAGCTGCCTAATGGCCTCATCGTATTCAAATTAACAAAATTAATTTCAAAAAATAAAAATAAAAATCTTTTAAGAAATGAACCATCTCCTTAGGTTCAAGCAAGACACATACCATGACGAGTAAGCGCGGATGAGGATCAGGCAGAGTAGCGCCAACTTGCGCAACAATGGGAAGAATGATCAAGGCACCGACTGTATGCGAGATAAATGTAGCTGCTACGAGGACCAACGATGCAAAGACGCAGCACACTTGGAACGTTGTCATATCACTAACATATTCTTGGACTTGGGCTGCAATCATATGCAATAGACCTGACGATTCGACAGCCTTTCCAAGCGCAATGCCTCCCATAGCAAGAATAATGACTGTCCACAAAAAATTGTTGAAATCTTCTTTGGTGAGGATGCCCGTTCCAAAGAATGCTAGAAGTGGAATAATCGCAATCAAGCCCATGTCACCAAAGAGCCATTCCAGACGATGCTCAAAGCACCACAGGATGATTGTCAGCAGTGTGACAACGCAGACAAAGATTTGTGTCTTGGTAATAGGGTCCTTTGTGGAACGGATCGTGCTGATGGTGGGTGTGTTGGAAGATGGCTCGTATGTCCATAGCAAGATCGCTGCAACCGCAAGATCGCAAACCAGACACACAGGAAGCGCTATCAAAAACCACTCAAGCCAGCTCGGTGCAGGATCCATGTACTCGATAGCAATAATGTTCTGCGGCGAGCTAATAGGTGATGCCATTCCGCCTACATTAGAAGCGAGAGCGATCCCAAGAATAAGACATTTTCCAAAAGAAGAACCAGGTGGTAAAGTACGTAGAATAGGCTATCGTTGTTTACAGAAAACAATAAAGTCAAATTACGTGGTATGTAATGCAATTCATGTCGACAGATTTATCTTCCTTTGCCTGTTACAAACCTGGATAAGAGAAAAACATAATACAGGAGCAGCAACATTGCTGATCCACATGCTTAGCACCGTAGCAACGAACATGTTGGCAAGGAGTACTGCACTAGGGCGAGTGCCCGCCTTAGACAAAACAACAGTTGCCATGGCTTTGGCGATGTGAAATTTACTCATGGCTGCCGCAATAGCAAATCCCCCAAGAAGCAGCATGACCACTGGCGAAAACATGAGCGAGAAAATCTTCTTTGCAGTAGCCTGTGTGCTCAAACGGGTATGATCTGCATCATCAGTCCTCATAACACGGAGCATAACCACCAGTAATGGGATCAGAAGAGATGTGACGAACAGCGGCATAGCCTATAGGGATAGAAAACATGAATGCTAAATGGATACACGTGAACATATAACTATGACATATTTTTGCCACAATTTTTTTTTCTCTTATATACCTCGGTAGCCCATAGGAGAGAAGCAAAGATGAGGATAGCAAAGCAGTTTCTTTGTTCTGGCTCATCAAAGATATTGACATTCAAAAGCACGAAGAAAACAATGCAGCACAGCATCATCACAATCACATTGCGAGTCAGGAACAACGGCAGTTTGAAATCACCCAACAGTGTATGAAGGACAACAGGTCCTCGCTCAAGCTCAGAAGATGGGCGAACAGCAACTGCCTGGCTCTTTCGCTCTTGACTGATCATATCTCTCCAGATTGTATTGCGCTCCCAGACCATGTGTTCCTTCAGATGCATCCTTAACGATCGTTTCGCAACCTCTACGTCACCATCCGCAAAAATTCTCGCATAGATTTCACAAACTCGATGGATCTGCTCCTGAAGTTTGGCCGTAGTTTCTGGCTTGAATGGATACGCCTGGAGTACAACCTGATTCATGTAAATGGTCCTCGTATTGTTATCCGAAATTTTGTCGAATTTCTTAAGAATCTTTGAAAATCCTGTGCAATTCAGCTTGACATACGCCTGTAATTCAGAAAGGTTGACAAACATCTCGATACAATTATGTCGAAATCGCATTCGGTCTTCCTCCATCTCTGGTTCCAGCCACAGACCCTTCATATCGTCGTCGTCATCATCATCATCGTCGTCGTCGTCATCATCGTGGCGGCTTCGATGATGCTGTTCCTGGTTCACTGCTGTGGCGTCAGAAGCCGATCCAATAATGTGTCTTGTGGCCACGGAGGGTTCAGAGTTTGTATCGATGTCCGAGTCTCGATTAACTTCGGTATGTGCGGCTTGTGCTGCAGCATTCTGAATGGATGCCTCATTTGCCAATGCTAATGCCGCATCGTAACTCCAGCTGCCAGATCGAGTCTGATTGTTTGATCGACGACTGGATCTGCTGTCACGACGAGACCTTGGCCGTTTGATACTACTTGCTGCCGTTGAGGACCTCCTGCGCGGGACGTACCCGCCATCGAAGTCTCTAGCTGCAAACGTGTGTTCAACGTTTTCTACATACTGCACGTCCGATGCAAGAGCTTCAACAGCTGTATATAATTCACGCTCTTTTTTGTAGTAAAACGTTACGATCCGATCAAGCTCTTTATCAACCGCTGGTAGGAACATATTGTTGACATAGGCTTTTGCATTATTAGTGGTTGCAATTGCAGCAACTGGACGTCCTGGAGTTGAAGAGAGTAGCCGTGTAGTTTCATTAGGCTCCTGCTGTCGAAAACCATATTCGATATCGGCTTGATTAACCAGATCTTTCTCGATCTGATAGATGATTTTCTTTAGGTTCGAGTAACTATTCGGTCATCAGTAGATTGTGAAGCCACGAAATGCATTTGCAATTAATGACATGGAGATTTGAAATGAACAGGAGCAAGCATGCTTCTGCTCCTTTATAAATACATGAAGTGCCTTTTAGAGACTTCCTGCTCATTGCTTCGTCATAAAATTAAATGATTGAAGACTTACGCAAGATAATAAGCAGCCCATTCGGGTACTACGTTGAATTGAAGCTGATGAGAGAACTTCATCGGCACAGAATGGAATGATGGGCGCGAGGAATGTTACCGAGTAATGAATGAACAGTAAAAAAAAAAAAAAAGAAAAAAGGAGGAAGCACAAGACACTAAACACCCCAAAACGATCTCTTCACACGAACACACTGACTCTCCCGCACTACAAGCAAGAATAATGACTAGTTCTCCATTTTTCCTTTTTCTGTGATAATCATTGCTCTTTTGTTACACGCTTTGCTTTCACCAAGAACTTTTAGGTTCGTTGCACTAGGGCCAACGGCTTCACCATGTGCGCAACAAGTCAGTCACTCTCACTAAATCCCTGTAGCTCCCTGTAGCCTTGCCTTTCACTAAACGGAGTTACGACGCGAACACAATGGTATCACAAAAAAAGTCACCCTTTCTCACAACTGCTTAATGTGGATAGAGGCAAGATCACATTTACGACGGTTGTCAATAAGCTCCAGATCAAAAACATTTAGAACTATCGTTCATTTGAAAGTCGAGCAAATGCCTGAATTATGACATTCTTAGTGAGCAAAGTCAAGCAATAACATTTCTTACTAATATTCCAGATCCTGATTTCGATCAACGCAGGCGTATAGCAGAACCCATAAGCTGAACAAGATATAGTCTAACGATTCCACCTACTTCGTATTCTAAATCCTTGGCTACTTTTGACTTTATCCATTCATGCTCTCAGACAAAGGTTGATACCATGCTCCACTAGTATAAGAAAACCTAACATTACTTATTGCTCGCTGATCCTGGGTCTCTAATGGTGCAAGTTTACCAAAGGTATCGACATACATAATTAACTTCAGAGGATTTGGTTATTCCAAATGTGCTAAGGATTTAGTTATTTATTTTTGTTTGTTAGCGCACTATTGCAGTAATGCACTTGATGATCAAACTATATAGAGAGAAATATCGTTAGCTATTATCTATGGCAGATTATGTTGATTGTAGTAAACCACGCCGTGGATAGCTCGCGATGAGTTACCAACACTTAATTTTTTTTTCCTATTTAAAAATTAAGCATGTGGACAACACTTTCCAAATTTGACTACATGAAACTTTTTAGAAGTTTTACCAATTGAATGAATGAATTATTCTTATGGGTTAAATATTTTTAATAATCAATCGCCAGGTGCATGATAGGGCTTTAATGGGTTACTGTTTACTTTTCTTCTTGCTTGAGTTAAGTCCTCACTGGGATCAAGGAAAATCCGTCATTCACAGAGTCCTAGAGGATAGGAATTGGGAAGGGGCTAACTTCTGCCTTATGAATGCCCGAATAGGTTTGTTTGAGACCTTACTTCAACTTTTGTTAACGTCATGAAGCCATTTGCATGTTTCGGAAGTTCAATCTTCCAATAATAACATGCATCTTATGCAAGTAATCCCTTACTTTATTCTTGATACTTTCAAACGATTACGGTTAATGATCAAGGGCCAGACAAAGCAGAAAAAAGAAAAAAAACTGTTTTTTGAATGGGACATCAGTTTGACAGAGCTGGATAAACTTGTCCTCGTGGACATGATAGAGACAGACGAATTAGGCAATGGAAATGAGCCTTCAAATCACGGATAAGGAAGGCAATTTAAAAAAAAAAAAAAAAAAAAAAAAAAGCGAAAAAAATTAATTGCGGCATTTTTTTTTTTTCTTTTGTTTTTATCCTAATCAGTGTATCATCGACATTACAATCTTTCTACCCATTTTACACCAGACGAGGACCGTTCTGGGGGTCTGTGAATATTACATTTATGACTAAAACGTGATATAATGGATTCCCCAGCACAATAATAAATTATTGCTTCAGTAAAGCTTCGGCTCTGTAAAAAAAAAAAAAAAAAAAAAAAGTAATACGACTTCCGTATTGAGAAGATCTTTATAGTTTATTTTTTTTTTCTTTAATGAACCAGTAACCAGACCATAGATGATGAGCTCATTGAGAGATTGAGAGATGTATGCTATATACTAGACCTAACGTTTGCGGATCAATTTTTTTTTTAAAAAATATAAAAAGACAAAATATGGAGCTCTATAGGGCATTAATGTGCTTGCTTGTATGTCTTATTGGTATATCTACATCTCAACTATTGGATAGTGGATTTGTTAATATGAGGGACATTTTAATTTACAGAGATATACATTTCATGTATGCTTTTTATACAAATATATGTATATATACTATTATATTTGTATAGATAAACATGTACATAGTTTTTCGTTTTAAGTGTATTACATGTTATATATGTGAGCTCATTTATTTTTGTCCGTCCTTGTCGAAATTTACCCATTCACTCCGCTTCTGCTCTCCCTCTTGTCTTCCCCTTTTTTTTACAATTCTCGGTAAAAACTACCCACCTTGGTCCAGATTAGTCCAATTGGGTCAGTTGGACACTTACTCAAACACAAAAACAGCCCTCATCTGTCTCTCTTTGTCGAATTGTATGGTTATATTTATCCGCTCACTCATCCCTACCCTTACTTTATCTCTTTCTCAATCTCATCCCTTTCTCTCTTCTCTTTCACTCAATCTCTTCCACACCACTCCATCGAACACTCCCTGATTACAACGACTCGACAACATTCTTCTCAGGTTAACGGACGAACTTTATTAAACACCCTCTTTCATTCTTGCATCTAACTCCCATTACTTTCAATCCTGGATTTTTTCTTCTTATCCAACATCTCTCAACTTACTGTTCTGGTTTCCTTTCTATCAACTTACCCTCACAACTCGACCTGTACTTATACTACTTACCAGTCTATACAGTGACATCTAACAATAACACCAAAAACAAAAACAAAACAAAAAGATGGTCAGATCATCATCCACACCCTACTGCTTTGTTAGTGGGAAGACCGACAAGTCCAAGATTGCCTCGTCGTATGTTTTTTTTTTTTTTTTTTTTTTTTTTTTTTTTTTTCATTTGCGCATATTTTTATACACTAGTCTCCTCCCCAGTCAAACATACCGCCGGCTAAATGTGGATGCGTTCTGTTCTATCTTTTCTCGGCGCACCCAATGATAATAAATATTTATATTTATATACACAGCACAAATTACACCTTGCTGTATTCAAAAACATTTTACTGTTGTAAGGATTATGCTTGCTAACATCATCACGCCCCCATCACTGCCTTCATAATGGGTTCAATATCTCTTATTTAGATCCAAATATGTACTCACCATTCGTCAACAGCCCCAGTATGCTAAGCTCTGTGGATCAAAGGAGCGTGATCGACGTCCTATCGATCCTCCACCTATTGTGCAGATCAAACTGGCAGATCCCTCTTCGGACAAAAATAAAGACTACCTCCAGAGCCCCTACCTCTTCATGTGCTGCAATATTATCGATGCTGACAATGTCTCGGGCGAAATCGTTGCACCTGCTCATAGAGTCTTAGCAGGCACTGTTGTCTCGTCACTTAACCGTCTCAAGGATGTTGATAACTCTGATGGTGGCTTTTTTGTCTTTGGTGACATGTCTGTTCGGGTAGAGGGCCGATTCCGCTTGCGATTTACACTTTTTGAGTTGATTGAAGGAGAAGTTGTTCATTTGATGACTACAGCCTCCAATCCTTTTACTGTTTATCCAAGTAAAAAGTTCCCAGGCATGTCCGAGCCCACATTCTTGTCTAGATGCTTCTCGGATCAGGGTGTGCGTATCCGTATCCGTAAGGATCATCATGTCAAGCCCAAGAAGTCTTCTCAGAATCATGATGGCATGGATGGTTTAGTCATGCACAGCCCACCATCATCGTGTCATGAGGCTGAGCACAGTGATGTAGACGCAGATGTACACCAGCCTGCGAAGAGATCCCGATCATCAACACATACTTACGACGACTCCGCGTACTCTTCACATGGCTATCCTCAGATGCGTCACATGACCATTACTGCACGTCCCAAGCACTCGGATATCCCCTACACTTCCGAACCTCTGGATCGATTCTCACCGCCTTCGCCACAGTCATTTCAGATTCAAGACTCGAGTATTTCAAGACCGCGTCAAGATCCATATGTGTCGAAAGCACCAGAGGATGGATCACGATATTATGGGTACTATAGTAAAACTGACAGGCCCTCATATCATGACACACAGTCATACTATCTTCATGAATACAGTCATGCTGGTTCATATCCATGTCCATATCCTTATCCTTATCCACATCATTCTCAGTCAAGCTGTCCTTCAGGCTATCCACAGCCACAGGAGCATCATTTACATATATATGCAGAGCAACAGCATCATCTCCGACAGATGCCATCATCGACCTCGCAAGACTATCACCACCTCTCCCACGAACGCGGCCGTTACTCTGAAGAATCACCTTCCAACGTCCACGCTCCGTCGCATCCAATGGGCGCTGCTCATTTGTCTTATTCCTCTTCCTCATCTGTAAATAATAACAATCGTCCTCTTCCTCTATCTGTGCATGCTGGTCGTCAAGAGCTCTCAGCCGAGCCGTTGAACGACCAGCGCACAGCATCTAACGGCCATATCCACAATGATAACCACAGTCACGGCTACAGCAATTACAATTGTGGCCACGCGTATCACTGTCGCACGCCATCTATGTCTTCACAGCATAGTGATGGCAATTTCTCTCCACCTCATCCGTTTTCTCCACCTGAACCTCAAATGGCTCGTGGCCAATCGCCACCGATGTCTCCTACCTCAGCTTTGCCGTCGATCCTCCCTTCGTTGCCCAGGCCACATCTACATGCATACCCAGGCGAGAAGATCCAGCTGCCTCCTATTCATACGCTCTCAACACACTCTCCAACATTGGCTCCTATTAGATCAAATGGTGGTGATCAGCACTATCACATACACTCATAGTTTCTTGACAAAATAAAAAACAAAATACTTTTACATTTTGTAATTTTATATTCAACTCAGATGTGTCAAGCAACTATACGCCAAACATTATCGATATTTTTTTTTTTTTGCAAATGATTACGGGCTCCCAAAGATCCATAGATCAGGCTGTGTTCTGTTATGAAGAATAAGACTTTGACTCCGTACAAACGCCCTGTACGTGCCATCAAAGGGCCAATGAAATTTTGCCACACCCACGGCAACACCTTTTTTGCCTCTGTTAGGTTAAAAAGGATATTTTAGGATGCATTTCGTTATATCCTTCCTGTCTAATTCAAACACAAATCACAAACAATTATTTAACTTCTCCCATGTAAAGTTACTGAAGCCCTTTCTTCACTACATATTCATTTCAACGACATCAATAACAACAACAACAACAACAGCAGCACCTACCAGCAAGTAGACTATAATTATTCAGTCATTCACTCCAATTAAGGACTCTACACTCCACTCCACTTCACAACACACAAATCATTTCGACAATGAGGCTTCATCTCTTGTCTCTGTTACCCATTATTCTCTCAGTACATCAAGTCTGTGCAGAGGGACCGCAAACTACAAAGCAGTTCCTTGACCAGGCGTCCATCTACCTGGGCAAAGGCGAATATAATTTGGCTCTTCAGAGCTATGATGCTGCTATTGGTAAGGGGACTCGCTTGTTATTATTATTATTATTATTATTTCTTCTAAAGAGTTTTCTATCAGAAACTGATGAATTTTTTTTTTGCTTCAACTATCTATCAATAGATGGCGATCCTTCGAACTATCTTTCATATTTCAAGCGAGCAGCTACCTATCTCACTCTCGGACGTAATAATCAAGCGCTTGCTGACTTTACAACTATCCTGAAGTTAAAGCCTGACTTCAGCCAAGCATTGTTGCAGCGTGGCAAGCTTTACACCAAATCTGGAGAGTTTACCAAAGCCAGGGAAGATCTAGAGCAGTATCTGAAGAGCAATCCTAGCGACACAGAGATTCCCGAGCTTTTACATAACATCGATGAAGCTTCCAAAGCGTTGACGAAGGCAGAGGGTTTTTTCAAGAAAGGACAAATGAATGAATGTGTTCATATCTTGGGGTCAGCTATTTTGGTGGCACCTGTCTATATTCCCTTCAGGATGCAGAGAGCAGAATGTCATTTGGCTCGTGGGAAAGTTGAGGAGGCCGTCAATGACTTTAACAGAGCAACTCATAACGCAGCATTGGATCCACAATTGATGCATCGTCTTTCGACTATGAGTTATTACTCTCTCTATATGCCTGAGCAGGCTCTGACACAGATCAAGCAATGTATTTCGTTCGACCCTGAAAACAAATTGTGTAAGGCCTTGTTCCGAAAGCTCAAGACGACCGAGAAGGATATGGTTAAGCTTAATTCTGACCTACAAAAGGGACGCTGGACTGAGGTGATCAATAAGGCTGTTGGAAATGAAAAATCATTGGCTAAATCCGTCGAAACAGAGACAAAAGAAATGGAGCAGGCGAATAATGCTGTGGGTAAGATGCCCAAGAGACTTTTACTCAAGATCCACGCTGCTGCTTGTAAAGCATACTCTGAGGTAAATGCATATCTTTTTTTTTTTTTTTTTTTTTTTAACATATGTGCTATATCTTAATGATGTGAATAGCGAAAGCTAAAGCAGATTCTTTTTGTACTAAAATATAATGTATATTTTCCATTATCTTTTGTAGCGTAAAGAAGCGGTAGATGCACTCAAATGGTGCTCATCAGCAGTATTACTAGATGAATCTAATGTAGACGGGCTGGTCGGACGTGGAATGGCATATATGTTAAATGACAGTTTCGAGGAAGCTATCCGGGATTTCACAAAGGCGCAAGAGCTTGCTGGAGGGAATAATCAGAATATTCATGATAAACTGTCCAAGGCTCAACGACTCTTGAGGCAATCTCAACATAAAGATTATTACAAGATTTTGGGTGTTCCCCGGAGTGCAACTCAAAAAGAGATCAAGAAAGCTTTCCGCAAGCAGGCCTTGCAGTGGCATCCTGATAGATATAGTGGTAATTTATCTCCAGAGCAAGTAGAGAAGAAGATGGCAGGCTTGAATGAGGCTTATGAAGTTTTGAGCGATCCAGAATTGAGAGCACGGTTTGATAATGGTGACGATCCTAATGATCCACAGGGGCAACAGAACCCGTTCGCACAAGGTTTTGGTGGTAACCCATTCTTCTTCCAACAAGGTGGAAGCCCATTCGGTCAAGGTGGAAGTGGAGGATTCCAGTTCAACTTTCAATTTTAAAATGTGACATAGTATAATAAAATATAGATCGTATGATCAACCTTTCTACTCTTTGTTTTCCACTCTTACTTTTTACTTTTTACTTTTTACTCTTGGCTGGAAGGATATCTGGCTGGTTTCAGAGAATCACATGGAGAATGTTCTTGAACCTTGTGTTCTTGCTACATGGACGAATGGGATTGGTAGGCTCTCGGTGTCGACGAGATTGTGTCCAATTTGCCTTGGATCAAATTTGCACGCATACACATGCATGCCTCAATTTCATACATAGTTCTTAATCTGAGTAATTTGGTAGGGAGAAAATTGAATACAAAATTTTAATTTTTTTTTTTTTGCCTGGACCCTTGGCAATATCCTATTTGTTACAACAAAAGTGTACAAACACTTTTTATTTGCTTTGAAAACGGCACCGCCATCTCAGTTAAGTTTAACTCCAAAGAGCAGGCTTGGAACATTCAGGGATAGGAGAAAGCAGAGTGAAGGGGCTTTTGATCAATTGGAGGTTTTTTTTTTTTTTTTTTTTTTTCATTCTTACTCTCTCTATCTATAGGTCTATAGGCATTGTCATGAGGAAGGAGCAAATGGTAAGGACATGGCGTTGAGAAAGGAAGGGGTAAAGGAGGAAGAGGTGCGATTGTTTTTTTGCTTCAATTGGTTTAATTTCACATCTGCTGTGTCGCAATTTGTAAATCATTATCAAATAATGAGCAACAGGCACGTTTTTAAAAAGGAGCTTGTGGTTACCAAGGAAAAAATAAAAAAATTGTTGCTCGGATCCCGCTAACACTTTTTATGAATATGTAGATATCAAAAAAAAAAAAAAAAAAAAAAAAAAAATGATAACAACACAAATGGATCATGATCATTTGGATTGAAGAGAAAAAAAAAAAAAAAGTGTAGTAGGATTCAAGGAACAAGTTTTCTTCAAAATCATTTTAAAAGAACCAACATAGTTTGCGTTAACTCGTTGCTGTAAAGTTTCGGGCCAAAAAGGCGAAATACGATCCACAACAGAATCACAAAGTTGGGGGTTCAGGTAGTACAATCGGTACACAACAGAAGAGGGGAAAAAAAACAAAAGTGTAATCGTGTTGTAAATTTATACAATACACGATGAATAATTAAAAAAACATCAACATGAATATGAACATGAACATGAACATAAAACAGGTCTATATTTTTTAATAGTGCGAAAAAAAAAAAAAAAAAAAAAAAAAAAAGAATCAATTTCAAACTACTGTCAAACATGGAGGAGAGATAAATTGAGCTTGATCGTATATATCTATTATTTCCACTGATTAGCTTGAAGACAGGTGAACACAAAAAACGAAGACTTGGGTGCAAATTGTTAGCTCTTACATGTATTTTTATGCAAGTCAGGCATATATCAACCTCTTACGTTTCGATGTGCGGTTGGAAAGTTTAGTTGTTTTTCTCCTTGGACAATGGGAGTAAGATAGCTAAATAGCGAACATGACATTAACAATGATAACAATATCAACAACGAGCTGCAGGAACGGCCTTTTCTTTTCTTCTTCAGGACGAGAACGCCCTGTGTCAATCGCTTTTGACACTCTCCTCCGATAGCTACATGTCATGTACATGTACATGTACTGTACTTCTCGGTAAAGCTTATTTGGTTCCCTTCTCCACATGGTGCATGAATACATGTGTTTTGTTATATATATACACCGTATAACAAATGTGTGAGGGGATGAGAAAGCGCCCTCTTTTTACTAGTTTGTGTTTACATAGACTTTTGGTCTTTTTTTTTGAGTTGCGGCAAAGATTAACCACTCAGAGACAGGCCGACACCTTTAGGCTACAGTGGGATGTTGTTGGATTGTTGGATTGTTGGAATGTTTACGATGTTTACATGATATTTATCCGCAGCTAGATTATTAACATTACCATGGACTTCTTAAACCCTAAATCTGAGCTCCCTGATAAAACTTTCATAACCCACAACATTACTGTCGATAAGCTTGAATGAAACGGAGGGAATAGTAATGGACGAAAAAAAAAAAAGAATGCTTCACTTACATGTAGAGACTTGTCAACTTGTCTAAAAAGCGCGTAATTAGTAGAGACTTGGGTCTTTTTTTTATTTTTATTTTTTTATTTGCTTCCAAAGCCCTGCTTGAGACAACACACAAGTATATACTCCGAGCCCGTTATTTGAAAATAACCTAGATCCTTGTAATCTCCAAGACCTTCCTATTTATTAAAAGGAACAGTTTGAGACATCAACAAATACAGTACCCTTTTAAGTCGGACCTTGAGTTGTGTAACCTCCAGATCCTCACGATCGATTATGAGATCCCATTTGAGGTCATACGAGTATTCCGTACCAATTGTTTATGCTGTTTCTGGATTCCAATAACAGGTTCTAAATCTATTAATCCATTATCAGGAACATACAGTTTGAGATTAAGGAACACTCCGTAACCCATTGTTTGAGCTGTCCCTAGATTTCTAGAATCCAAAACGTCATAGTCCACATGGTGCTACATGAATGTCTTAACTATTATCAGTTCCCACACGATCTCCCTGTCTGGTTCCAATATCCGATCTCGTTCAAATTTAGAAACGATATAAATATATATACTACATGTATGTCATGAGGTACGACTTCGCCTTTTTTCATTCCCCATGTTTGAGATTTGAGAAAAATATTCCGAGTGTGGCCGAGTGGCTGCATAACTTAATTTCCTGACACCACTTTGAGCTGACAAAATTACCTTATTTTCTGATATCAGCCTTATAATCTGAGAGCTTGTTTTTATTTGTGATGTTGTACACCAAAATTTTGTTTATGTGGACGATTTACTAAGGAAAACGTCCATATATTTTTAAGGTTCCAATGAATTGGGAAGTATTCTTAACTTTACAAAATATATAGGCACATGTGACATTGCATTTATGGGTTCCCATAAATGCACTTGGATCCGGCCTTTTGTCCAACCTTTTGTCCAACCTTTCGTCCGGGAATGTGCATTTATGGGAACCCTTAAATGCAATGTCACATGTGCCTATATATTTTGTAAAGTTAAGAATACTTCCCAATTCATTGGAACCTTAAAAATATATGGACGTTTTCCTTAGTAAATCGTCCACATAAACAAAATTTTGGTGTACTGTGAATTGTCTTGCTCTCACTCACACACTCGCTCACTTGTCTCTTGCACTTTGTCATCTTTACTGGGCCCTCCTGGCATCTCCTCTTTCCTTTTCCCTTCTACGCATGCAAGACACGTAACTATGCATTGTATGCATATCGACCGGCATTTTATACTTGAGTAGACACACCGCTTTCATTGAGAGTAAGTCCTGCCTCCTTTTCATCCTAATGGGACAGAAAGGACATTTTCTAATGCATATTGACGGGATAATCTTTTTTTTTACCGCTTTCATAATCGTTCCAGTTGGCTCTAAGTCCAGCTGGTCTTTTATGCTTGCTTGGTCACTTAATGACCTGCAGCTTGATTCATTCCCCTGGCTTGCAGCTGTTGCTGCAGCTACATTGAGTACGACAGGGCTGATGAAACAAGTGTACAGTGCGCTAAATATTCTCGCTTTGAGCAAGATGTTCAAAAGTGCTTAATGCACATAAGCTGGACAAGGATAGGGGTAGGATCTTCATGTGTGTTTATCCTTCTGTCACACATCCTTTTATTCGTGGACGTAGGAAGTAACGGTAATATATTTTTAACTACCCAAACAACAACAAGAATAGCAGGAATAACAACATCAACAACAACAACAACAACAACAACAACAAAAATATCCGCGGCCTGTGGACAAGAAAAAATAAAAAAGTAAAAAAAGATCAAATCTCCCTTTCACAGGGGGTATCTGTCTGTTAAAATAGTAGTGATACGGACCATCCGCGAGATGCCCATCAAATCTCCTCATCCTCTTACTTTTTTTTTTTTTGACATGCTCAACGATTTGAGAAACTAGCTAAGCCCGCACTAGATCAATTCTTGGACTTTGGAGGGGATTTTTAATCTGTCGATTACTGAGGCTGTCGTATTCTTGCATTTGCATGGGAGCAGAGGAATATAAAAAAAAAAATGCACACAAAGTGAGCAGGGGAAGGGAGGTCCCAAAAAAAAAAAAAAAGTTGAGCCAGATCATGACAAATGACTAGCCTGTAGTTTGTGTCCGTGTAAAGTTTTTTTTTGTTTGCTGGGGACTTGCACAATTGTCACCACATTTGATTGTTGTTGAGCAGGTATCACCAACAGAACTCTTATTGTCCAATTTGTACACTGCCAAGTTAGCTCTCCGCTCTTCTTTTGTCAAAGGCCTCTTTTTAGGACAAAAGTCATGTATCCACTGAGAATTAGTAGATTGATAGAGATCAAAGATTGGCTGAAGGTGCATGAGCATGGACCCACTCTGATTTTTTGCCCCTGGTGGGTTTGGAAGAGGCTCTCTCCTTCCTTTGCTTGGGGGGTGCGAGCATAATCGTGACAACCAAATATGTTCGTTAGACAGTAAAAAAGCAAAAGTATTTCCGGACATCTTGCACCAGGATCTCGAACATTCTCTTTCTCTTTCTGGCTATCTCTTAATCTTTGCAACAACCTCTCTCTGTGTGCGTTCTGTGATGCTGCGCTGACGATGGCAGTGAAAGTGTAATAGTGGTGGTGATGGCGATAACTTTAGTTTTTCTTTTTCTTTCCTTTAGACGCTTTGTTCAGCAATGGTAGTCGTGGTGGTTGCAAGGGAGAGGGAGCAGTGTCAGAGCAGACCAAGTTTCTTTTGTTGTGTAGTGTATTTGTGCTTATTTTTCCAGTAACAAAAAGGGAAGAGGCTGATTTCAACTAATCCAATTTACAGTTGCAGTTATCTTCGATAGGTGGAGAGTGCATAATGCACACACCCAGGTCCTTTTTAAAATATGTACAATTTAAATAAGCGGTGAGAATCACTCAAATTTGTATTGGTTAGATTAGACTTTTGTGTTTATAATAAATATAACGCTGCTTGTTTGTGTTTGTTGTGCCTATCTACCAATTGAATAAAATTGTATTTATTATCAGCACATTATTATAAATATATATATATTATAGATATATCTGTACAAAGCATTTTTGTGTCTCTTGTGAGTTATTCTTTGGGCCGTGCTTCTTTCCTGTTCACTAACGGAGCAGCCCAATTTCCTCTGAAATAATCTCTGTCTTTGTGTCTTCTTTCTCCACTGTATAAAATACGTTCCTCTTCCCACATTTTTTTCTTTTTTTGACCTTTGCCCTCATCTGCCTGTTCTTTTCGTCTCTCTTTTTCTTTTCTCTCCTCTCTCTTTCTTTGGCCAACAAACTCCCCTCTCCACCTTTTTTTTTTTTTTTTCTTCCTTCTCTCTCCTCCTCCGTTTTCTTAATACCCCCAACACACGTAAACAGTCGGTCATTGAACTATAGCAACTAACGAAAAAAATAATCAGAACCGGGAACCCTTTGAAGCAACACCTTGTATAAACAATGAATTTTATCAGATGGCATTATTCGGACACCACTCTTCGCCGTTCAGAAAAACAGGCGGAGAGTGAAAAGACTATCTGCTGTTTTCCCTATAACCGTTGGCTGATGTTCCCAGCCGCATTTATCTTCCAAGCTGTTTGTGGATCACTCTATGCTTGGTCTGTCTTCAATAAGCCCATTGATCGACACATCTATGGTGCTGATGCGAAAAACGAACCACTCGAGGTCAATGCTCCCGTCACTTTCTACTTAGCTGTCGGATTCTTCGGTTTTTCCGCTGCATTCAATGGTCCTTGGTTGGAACGTGTGGGTCCCCGCAAGGCTTCCTTGGTTGGTACTTTTCTCTTCTTTCTTGGAAACATGATTGCCACCATTGGTATTCACGTCAAGGTAAATAATATATTACAAACATACTTGAAAGTCATCATGCTTCACAACTTTTTTATATTATGCTTATTCTTTTTCTTTTCTTCTCTTATTGTAGCAAATTGGTTTGGTTTACTTTGGATATGGTGTTGTGGGCGGTGCCGGTTTGGGCTTGTGCTATATCTCTCCAGTGTCTGCACTTCAGAAATGGTTCCCAGATCGTCGCGGTCTCGCTGCCGGTTTCGCAGTCTGCGGATTTGGAGCAGGTTCAATTGCGTTGGCCAAGGTGCCCGAGCCTTTGATTACGAGCATTGGATTGACAAAGACATTTTTGACCTTGGGCTGCTGCTACTTTGCAGTCATGTTCCTCTGCTGTCTCGTCTTCCGTGTGCCTCCACCAGGCTTTGTTGTCAACGGCCTGGATGTTTATCGCAACAAGGTCAACGAGAACGGTGATATCGAGGCCCACAACGCTGGCTCTAGCGCCAACAACATCCGTAACCCAGCCTCAACTCTTACACTCATTCAGTCAATTTTCTCGAGCGAATACAGACTCATTTATCTCATGTTCTTTGGCAATTCCATTGCTGGCTTGGTCTTCTTGTCTCGTCTTTCGAATATTGCCGCTGATGTCTTTACTAAGTCCTCCACTGATGGCGCAACCGTCGTCTCCATTAATGGTGGATTCAACTTGGCTGGACGTTTGTTCTTTTCGACTGCCTCAGATCGTCTCGGTCGTAAGAATGCATATATTGTCATGTTGCTCTGGCAGGTCATTTGCTTGGCGAGCTTGCCCACCGTAATGGAGGCTCGCAATTACCCTGCATTCTTGGCTCTCATCTGGACCTTGACTGCCTGCTACGGTGGTGGTTTCGGATGCATTCCCGCTTTCCTCTGCGATATGTTCGGACCCACAAACATTGGAGCTCTCCATGGTATCATCCTCACAGCTTGGTCGATTGCTGGTGTCGGTGGAGGTCTCTTGTTCACAGCTATCTTCAACAACATGAGGAGCAATGGATACAAGGTCAGTGATGCTTGGATCTACGGTTTGAACCTGTACTGGCTCCTTGCAATCTGCTCTCTTGGATTCCTCGTCGTTCTCTTTGTCCGCACTTCGCTCCGCGACCGTCTCCTACCTCGAGTCGAAGGCGAGTTCACTCGTGTTCGTATCTTTGGCCGCCTCATCCGCTTCGGTTCCTTTGGCGTCCAGACTGTCAGCAAACAACAGGAGGACCAGGAGTGGGATGCCTATGTTGATGCTCAATCTGGCCATCATTCGGAATCATCAAGCACTGCTACTGCAAATGAAAAAGCTTTTGGAGACAAGGCTGAGGTGACCGATGGAGTCAAAGTGTAAATAATGACAAGCCTTCTCCTTTACTTCCCTATTACCACTATAATATACTATCTTCCATAAAAAAAACTGTATATCATACTTTACTCTAGCACTCTAGTATAAATAAACAAAAACAACCCGATATGAATGTAATATGTGATTGTCTGTCAATTGCATCACCGCCATGTCGCTTATATTCACATTAATGCTGACACGAGCCTTTTCAATACAGAGATGAAAATTTGCCATGAGTTGAGCAAATTTGCTAGATTAAACTCTTCATTGAATAATAAGGGTAAGGATATGGGTGATAGACTCTGATTTCATCCGATTAAACTCTGACACAAGCAGACAATTTTATAAATTGGTGGCAAACGGCTGTAGAACGCGCGATTTATATTAGGAAGAAGGATCACTATTATTGTTTCAATGAAGCCCATGTCCATGCTCCAGGGCCTGTTATTTTTTAACTACATATTGGTCCGTGTTGACCACATGAATAAACCTCAGAATGCCTTCTGATGTGACTTCTTGGCAGTGGGCGCCGGTGCCGGATAGTTAGTAAGTGAGAAAGAAGTCAGCGGTGTGGATCGTATTGAGCGCCCATCCATATCTATGTCCGTATTCATGCTCATATCCGTATCCATTTCTACGGATGTCTTTTTGGAGGTAACAGCCAAAGTTGGGAAAGATATGTTGGGATGTCGTGATGGTGGCGATGACGGTGGTGTTGATGGTGTTGATGATAATACCAATGGGGCTGCTGCTGGGAGTATGTTTCCTGCTTCTTTTGTTGGTGATGATAATGAACTTGATGATTCAGAGTAGCCTGTAGGATTCATTGTCTGCCACCTCCATAGATCCCGACACATATCCTCGAGCGTTTTTTCAGCTTTCCAGTTCAACTCCTTAGCTGCTAGGGATGGATCTGCAATTACTGTCCCAACATCGCCAGGCCTCCGTTCGACGATCTTGTAAGGCAACTGATGTCCAACAACTTCTGACATGCTGTTGATCATCTCCATCACAGAATATCCGACTCCTGTGCCAAGATTATAAGGGACACAACCAAGGTTCTTATTGGATTGTTCAATAGCTTCGATCTTTTCGAGTGCGGCCACATGACCTCTAGCCAAATCCTGAATGTGAATGTAATCTCGAACACCTGTTCCATCCTTTGTGTCATAGTTATCTCCAAAGACATTGATCACGGGTCGCCGTCCAATAGCAACCTGTGCGACGTAAGGCATCAAATTGTTGGGAGTCCCGTTAGGATCTTCGCCAATCACACCTGATTCATGAGCACCAACGGGATTGAAGTACCGGAGCAGGATAATATTCCATTGACCAGGCTCGCTTGCAGCTGTATCACGTAGGATCTCTTCAATATATTGTTTCGTACGTCCATAGGGGTTCATAGCTCCCAAGGGTGCATCCTCTTGAATGGGTCGGCTTGATGTTGGCAAACCGTAGACAGTGGCTGAGGATGAAAAGATGAAATTTCTGCATTGATGCTTCTGTAAGAGTTGAATCAAGTTGAGGGTTCCAGTAATGTTGGTGTGGTAATAACTCAAAGGGGCTTCTGAGGATTCTCCTACAGCTTTCAGACCTGCGAGATGAATACAGGCTGAAAATGTGTAACGATCAAAGACTTTCTCAAGCGCATCAATATCAAGAATGTCGACCTTGTGGAAGTTGAATGAGCCCTTATAATTGTTGGCTTTGGCAAGGGATTGGACACGCCGAAGTGATTCCTCGGATGAGTTGCAGAGGCTATCGACGATAACAAGATGTTTGCCAAGGTTGAGAAGTTGGACGACAGTGTGCGATCCGATGTATCCGGCACCTCCGGTAACCAAGATAGTTTCTTTCTGGTCTTTATATCCATCCTTTTTTGTCACGCTTTCCTTCTTCACCTCCTTCTCCTGATGCACATCCTTGTGAAGATGAGGTGGAATAGTCATTGGGGAGATAGTTTACTCTTAATTGCCAATTTGAAGTAGGTTTGTAATTCAAAAGGAAAGAAGATGAGGATTGATCAAAAAAAGGTACAAGGAGGTCAATTTCTGGTTACTCCTTTTCAGGGTGTATATATAGTATTTGTTGAATGGGAATGAGCGAAAATAAAAGAGATATTGGCGATGAAGAATGACAGCAAAGAGTTAAATAAATAACAAATGGCGACAAGTTAGCACGAGACTATTAAAGAGACTAACTTTGGCTTTACATTCACTCTGATGTCAGCGCTTTCAACCAGCCAAACTGTCCTTTTTTCCTTTTTATTTATTTTGGTAGAAATATGAACATGGATATGAAAGGAAAAAAAGATATAGTAGCGCTTTTTTTTTTTTTTTTTTTTTTTTTTTTTTTTTTTTTTTAATTCAAATGCAAGGGGGCATGTTCGAGCATAACCACAGCAAAGCCATGTGTTAAAAAAAAGGGCTCAGAACGACAATGCCTGTGCGTTATGTAATGATGTGTTCCTCATCCCTTTGAAATATGAAAATGATTTGAAAGGTTCATGATGCAAACAACAAAGAAAAATGTATCATCCGCGGCGTAACAGGATGTTGTCTCATCCATGCAACTGGGCCGGTTATTAGAAAATAGACAACAAAAAAAAAAAGTGGGTGCAGGTTTAGACTGGATGAATAGTATCTTGAAAGGAGAAACCCTAATCATTCAGCTCAACCCCAGGCAGGCACTTTCACTCTATGATGTGATGTCGATCATATACATATACTAAAATGCTAACTAAATCTAAAGCGAAAAAAAGAAAACGGATAGAAACAGTTCCATAATTGATTTTCTTATGTGTAATTGTTCCATAATTGGTAACGAGAATGTTCCAGATGCCGATCCAGTGACTCTAATTAATGTGATCTTGCTGCCACAACCTCGGCTAAGCCCCAACTACTGGAGTATAATTTCCTCAAAGACGCGTTTTGTTGCAAAGCTGTTGTGCCCCCCTTTCTACACATTCGTCTAGTTCTTGGAATGCCATTGGTTGACTATGGAAGCTCATCGGACGAAGATGAGAGACCAGTCTCTCAACCAAATGTCAAGAGCGATGGAAACGATGCAAATCGCAAGGGAGTTAAGCGCTCATTGCAGAATGAGAGCGAGGTTGCTTCACACAAAAGGTTGGCATTGTTCTTCTGTATTCAAAGCCGACTTCTCCCTTGCATTAAAAATATAATCCCCATGTTAATAATAATAAACAATATATTTTTTTAGACCCAAGGCTCTTCCTCCACTTCCAGTATCTTTAACTAATCTTTTCAAAGACAGAGAGCGTCAACCTGACAACCCTGAAAGACATCAAGGAAGAATTAGAAATCGTGCACACATTGATGGTTCTTGGCCTGTTCATGTCTATCTGGAGGGTATGTGTAGTTTTCGCAGTGTACATCCTGCGAGCGAAAAAAAAAAAAAAAAAAAAAAAAAAAAATTATACAAAATTATGAAGAAGACAAACGAGAAGCATGGCTAACAATGGTCTTTTATGATCCAGTTAAGCTATCAAGCGAGCTCTTTGATATCGTAAAAACTTTGACTAAAAGAGCACGGGAAATGGCCCCAAACACCGTTTCGTTACTTCAGTCATTGGAATCAGTTAAAGACTCGAAAGCAATACCAATAGAAGCAGAAACAGCGGCGGATGCGACTGAGTTACATATCAGCCTAACTAGACCTCTATATCTACAGGAGCTACACCTTGGCGGATTCATGTCAGATATCCGAACAGCCTTTAAGAATAAGAAAAGGTAAAATGATCACAAGTAAGAAATCATTTGAATAGAGCAAATGAATCTTATATTGTATTTCAATTGATTCATCTGATAGGTTTAGTTTGTCATTCTCGGGTGTCCAAAGCTTCGCGAATGATGAGAAAACAAGGTCGTTCTTGAGTTTACGAGTGGGATCAGGGCATGCAGAGGTGAGGACTTGTGTATAAAGTTTCGGTACTATGGGTTTTGCGAGTTTTGCTTGGCCTATTAATGACCAACCCTAAGTTGGTATTGTACCGAGTAGATAGAAAATCTTGTGGCAGAGATGGATACCATTGTGCAACGATACTCACAACCCAGATTTTATGACGACCCTGAGCTTCACGCCAGCTTTGCATGGGCTGTAGGTGGCGATATCCTTAACAAGGAAGTTGTAGACGCAATGCCTGAGCTTGAAGGCGAGCTTGGGCAAGACCTGCGACACTGCTCTATTACAGTGCGTCGCGTTGCCTGGAAGTTGGGCCAAAAAGTTGGCTTTGTCGCATTACAGTAAAATAAAATAAAAAAAGTGGCACGAGCGACGCGTTGTGGCAGTCACGTCTACGTAATTTTGGACTTGCGCTTTTAGAATAAGGCCTCCCTCAGTCTTTCTTCTTTTTTGTCCTCCTACCAACCTACCAATTCTTATCACTCACTAAAACTACACTCACTACAATGGTAATTTAATGAACACGCTCACCAGGAATGGTACAACTGAATGACCATTATTAATGACTCGACAATGTTTATAATGCATGTAATCAATAAATGTCATTCTTTTAACCCGACAAATGTCGTTTACCAATAGCTTGTCCGAGTGCGAAGTAAAGAGGGCACTCATCGCATTGAGGTGAATCCAACTGACGATATCACAGTCCTTAAGGATAAGGTATATTTTTACTATTGGTGGCATTTTATGGTACTGCGCAGTAGGTCTATGTGAACATTACTCTTAATGGCTTTGTCAACCTTTTTATGATGTATTTCAACAGATCGCACAAGCACTTAGCATCATAGATCCATCAACGATCACCGTTAGCGACCAACCCAATGCAGGAGCCACACAAATGGATAGCCTTTCTGGAAAGTCTTTGGCTGAGCTGAATATCAAGTATGTAAGCGATATATTTTTGATCAGGATATAATAACATTTTTTGAATGCTGCGGCATGTTGCGTTGCTAATCTTAATTTTTTACCTGTTGGACGTTTCCTATTATAGGCATGGCGATCTTCTCTATATTGGGTTTGCAGAAGCTGCGGTGCAAGCTGACAATAAAGCACCATCGGCAATAGTCGTGCAGGATGCTGTTGATGATTATTTAGATACACAGGATGGCCTTATCAAAAGAGGAAAAGATCCTAAATTGTACGTAGCAGACATCATGTATTCGTTCCTCGGCATATATGTTTCTTTTTTTTTACTAATATTTGCTCTCATGTCGTCCTGCAAATCCCGTTAGCTGCAAGCATGCTGCGAATGGAATGTGCGACTATTGCATGCCTCTCGAGCCATATGATCCAGCATATTTGGAGGAGCATAAGATCAAGAGCATGTCGTTTCATTCGTATTTGCGAAAGCTGGGTGCACATGATAAGAAGCAAGGAACGTCCTACATCACCTTGCCTTCACTTGAGGAACCATCATACAAAGTTAAAACCAACTGCAGTTCTGGACATCCACCATGGCCTGCCAGCATCTGTACTAAATGTCAACCCAGTGCTATCACTTTACAGCGCCAGGTGAGGCAATTTAACAAACAACAAAGTGGAGGTTATATTTTTAGCTCTGCGTGATAATGAGGCTAACATTGATCACCAATGCTAAATATCATAGCCATTCCGACTGGTTGATCACGTGGAGTTCTCCAACGCATCCATTATTGACAACTTTATTGGTTATTGGCGTTCCACTGGACTTCAGCGTTTTGGTTACATGTATGGAAGATATGAGCCTTATCCAGAAGTGCCTCTTGGTATCAAAGCTGTGGTAGAAGCCATTTACGAGCCTCCCCAGGAAGGCGACAGCGAAGGCTTAAGGGTTGAGGACCCAATCGAAGGCGAAAAAAGAGCAGGTGAGATGGCGACAGCATGTGGACTCCAGCGCGTGGGCATGATCTATACTGACTTGACTGATGATGGCACCGGGAAAGGGACAGTTCTTTGTAAGCGGCATATTGATTCGTACTTTTTCTCATCGCAAGAGTGTCAATTTGCGGCAGTGATGCAGAAAAAATACCCCAATGCGACAAAATACTCCTCCACAGGAACGTTTGGCTCCAAATTCGTGACATGTGTCATTGGAGGCAACGAGGAAGGCAACATTGATGTGTCATCATATCAAGTTTCCAACACATGTGTGGGTATGGTGGATGCGGACATTGTCGAGCCTAGTGTAGAGCCAGGAATTATGCGAGTCAAGGAGCCCACGTCGGAACGATACATTCCAGATGTGTTTTTTAAATACAAGAACGAGTATAATTTGGTTGTTCAGAAGGATGCAAAGCCCTCTTTCCCCGTTGAATACCTTTTGGTTAACGTAAGGTTTTCAGCCATGGCTATAGTTAGCATTTATGGAGCTGTTGTTTGTATGGATATCCAGTTAACCCTCCCGAACGGGCACTAATGCGTATTTTTATATCGCTAATAGGTAACACATGGTTTCCCTGTTAAATCTTCGCCAATGTTTACCTCACCAAAGGATTTCCCTATCGAGAATAGAGTTGGGGTATTTACACAGGATGCCGGTGCATTGCATCGCTACCTTCAATCTGGAAACCTGGTTGATCTTGCATCCAACTTTCACTTTTTACTTTTTACTCGCAGCATGGGTATTTTAAATGATGCTGTAAGTCTATATTACTCGTACTATTCCTATATTATTGAAACCTTGGAGTATTTGGCTTTTCAATTGAATACCAAAAGAGCCATGGAATCATACTAAACATTTTTTTTTATTCCTTAACTGATACAGGATGAAATGAATCTTTTGGTACGTGTTGCACTTTTACATAAAGAAGAAGATGCAAACAAGTTAGTCCAGACGGGTGGGTGGCAGACACTATTGACAATCCTGAAGGAGTCTGCCGGACCGTCCAGAGCAAATCAAGGCGAGTCTTCTTCAAGTGGAGGCGCTGGTAGTTCATTGGGCACATCAGCAGCAGCGCCTTGGACATGTCGTCATTGCACATTCCTTAACACCCACGGTGACGAGAACTGCGAGATGTGTGGACTTCCAATGGGATAAATGTGGAAGAAGTTATGGAACGCACTTTAACAATTTCTTTCCACGGAACTTTGCTCAACATGTTGTTGAATCTCATTGACTACTATTATTGTAAAAGAAAAAGAAAAAAAGAAATAAAAAGTGATACAGTTTATTTCATTTCATGGATCGTGTATAACGCAGTCACTTGCAGAAAAATTAATTAAAAGCGTTGTTGATCTTGTTCATTTCATTTTCTTACAGTTCTGAAAACAGCATCATGAACAGAATCACCACTCTCTATTTCCGTAGAATACCTTCAGGACTCGGGTTCGGTCACAAAATCGAATCACACGCCACATGCACGGCCGTACGATTATATGCTTCTGGAGGAGTCAAAAGTGGGGGAAGAGGAGGAGCAGCAGCAACTTCCTCAAAGAAGTCGCCCTCACTCTCCAAACATTCACCTCCGGAATTGAAGAACATAAATGCTACATTGTCACCTTCGTCAATTGCAAGCAACTCTACAGCAGGGAAGCCCTCAACAATGGCAACAACGGCAGCAGTACCCAGAGAATCTATTGGATCGAAAACTAGAAGAGGTGGAACAGGATCTTTCCCCAATTTCTCGCGCAACCTTGCAGAGATGTGTACTAAGCAGTAAAGTCTTTTTTTTTTTTTTTTTTTTTTTTTTAGCAAGGAGTGATGCAAGCATTAAAAAAAAAAAAAAAAAAAGGTCTCTTAGTCTCAAGACTATCAGATAATGCTGATCTAATATTCATCTCTAACTTTTTTTTCCTCTGTGGGAGGAAATTTGACTGATCTGAATGGTAGAGATGTTGTGTTCTATGAACCTCCACCGACGATCAAAAAGACATTTATGTTAGCCTATATAACTGCAGGATTGCAAATGATCTTCTGGGGCAATGTTGCACAATATGCATTTACGCACTACACGGATAATCCTATCTTTTCAGCCACTCAGCCTCCGCCTCCACCATTGCCTCTTCCTGGAACTGAAGGAGTTGAATCAACAGATCTGCCTTTAGCTCCACTCCGTAAACGGATCATCATCTCGGCTGGGCTTGTTGGTACTGGTTTCGTCATTGCATTTGGTATCTGTGCTGTTCCATGGAGGTAACATTTTTTTTTTTTTTTTTTTTTTTTTTTAGGACAGGAAAGTTTCTACTTTGAGGAAGGAATAGTCCCAATATCATATGTTTAATCTTCCCTTTTGCTTGGCCTTTTATTTATTTATTTTATCAAGATATGTCACAAAGCTGACGTTACTTAGAGGCGGCACGCAGATTAGGATTGAGACTGGACGCAAGTTCCCCAAAGGATATCATCGGATCTATCCAATTCAGGACATGCAATGCCGTCAACAACTGCTCACAAACGTTGGGCCTCAAGGGACATCACCCGCCAAGGAAGGAAGTAGTGCTCATATTATGCTCGGTAGTAAAAAAGAACGCATGTCCTTCTTTATCGATCGACGAGGATGGTTCAAGGACCCTGCACTTTGGGACAAAATCTTCCATAAACCTTATTAATGCAATGATGAAATAAAGATAATTTTTATTACATATTTTTTGTGTTATTATTATATAAATATTATAAATGTTAAAGATGTATTATGGTGATTAGATGAACAAAAAAATTAATAAATAAAGTTGTTCATATCATTAGAATAAGTTATGGGTAAGAAGATTGAAACAATTTAACAAAAGTGGAAGGGGAAGGTAAACTATAATGAATTTACAATTCGGGTCTCGATATTTAGTAACGGCGCCCAAAGAATCTTCCCCAGCGGCTAACGACGGGCTTCTCTGTATAGACGGGGTCAGCAACAGGCGCAATAGGAGCAGTACCGGGAGCACCAGCAACGGCGGGTGCCACGGGAGCAACAGGGGCAACAGGGACAACAGGAGCGACAGCTGCTACAGGACGGAAAGTTCTGGTCCTTCCCCAAGAATAGAACTGAATAAGCATACCCAAGATAGCCATAACCAAGAACGTTCCGAGCAGAGCATAGGCACCTGCAGGCTCATCCTCGAAATGAGATTCAACACTGTTTCGAGAGTTGATGAAGGAGTCTGCACGAGAGGTGAAGCCAGTATGAGCGTACATGTCCACACCAACGACGAAGGAGTAAGCGCCTACGATAGCAGAGGCTACGATCACCATTTCCTTCTCATTAAAAAGCCCGATCACGAAGCCAATGACCGCGAGGACGACCAGCAAGGAGATTCGGCCTGAAGAATTGGTGATGACTCCACCGGATTTCCAACCCAGGATCCAAAGTCCCACAGCATAGAACGCCAAGGCGCCCAAGACAGCAGCTCCGAGTCTGGAACAAAAGATAAGGAACAATCCTCCGATGATGCCAACTATGATGGAGATTACCAACAGGAGAGTGTAGGAGGATACACCAGCATTCGCCATACCAATGTAAGAGAGGTTACCCAGGAAGTAAAATCCAGCAATGAATAAGGTTACATAATAGATTCGGTAGCCAAAGAAACAGAGAATAAAGCCTAGGATAATCAAGATGGCGCCTGCAATTTTCGCCTGAGTCGAGATGTTGTAGGGTCCCTCACGCGCATCTCCGAGGACATCATCAAGATCATTATTGCCATTATCATCATCTCCTGGAGCTTTACTCGCCGTTGGAAATCCTGGTAGGGGAGCAGCGGAGGAAAGGGTAGCAAAGAGAGAGATCATCATGGAGATGATCATGAGGAGATATGCAGGCGCACATCGTAGCCAGTTGTTGGGTTTGGTGCGAGGGAGGCGTCTACTACGTAGGAGTGAGCTTGGTGAATGGAGGAGAGTTGTAGATTTTTTGGAGCGGGTCATGTTTTAATATGATTTAATTTGAAAAGTGTTAAGGAATAAAAAAGATGGTGAGGAGGTCTGTTCTTTTTATATGTTCCATGGGTATGGGTATTTATTATAAAAGACAATAAACTTTTAGATGCATAGGAGACGTTATGTCATGAATGGATGGTCTATGTAGCAGGTCCCTGGTTTGGTCCATTGTTGCTTGTCTAGAAGACAATTTTACTTCATATAATCTTAATGGCGTTAAGCTGCCCAAGTGGATCACATGGGCTTTTTTTTAGACCCTGCTAAAATGACTTGAACGCTCGGAATAAGGCTTCTTAAGACGTTTACTTTGTTGCTTTGTTTGGTATTTTACATCACCCAAGCATCATTTGAAAAGTTATTCAAGTAATAACAAGTAATTACACTAGAAAAGGGTGGTGTACAAAAATAAAAATTAAAGGAATGTTGTTCCTCAGCAACAAACAAACATGTGTGCGTCATACATTGATATTGAAATAAAATATGATGGTTTCTCCGTTCCATGGCTGTGCATTAAGTGGCACAAAAATCTTACAGCATATTGCGTTACAAGCATTGTTTATTTTTTATTATGTCAGCTTAAATTAACATGGGCCATGGCATAGTGTAATATGGATATAAATGTTTGCACGTTTTCTTTTTTTATACATCTAACTATAGCCTATATTAATGACGTCTTTGGTTAACAGTAGGTACCCCCTGAGACGCTCGAGCCCGAAGGGACGATGATGAAGACGACATTACATCTCCTGCACGACTCGTACTTGTGGTCACAGAGGCCGCCGAGCCACGAGACGCTCCTCTGCTTCTTTCTACATTACTGTTGCCATATATTGGTATTGAATGGCTGGATTGGTTTGTGGCAACTGATGCAGCCGTTGAGGGACGCGAAGGTATTGCGCTTCCGCCTCGTGAACTGACTGCATGGTTTCCTCCCCCGATAACTTGACTTGATGAAGTTGAAGCTGTTCCGGTTGCGGATGACTCTGACGTAGACGATGGTGGCGGGGGGCGCACAAGCTCAATTGAATGATAGCTGGGGTAGACAAAATCCTCGGTGATGAACTTACGAAGCTGTTCTAAGACAAAGCGTTCAACCTTTCCCACGTTTTTCAATACAGCTATCAATCAATGGGTGAAAAGGAAATAATTTTAGAAATGAAATGGTAGAGCCAAACACGACGAAGAAAATATATTGAGATACCTTGCTTTTGCTCATCGCCAACCTGGGATTCAATTCGAACACTTGATAGGATACTAGCATATTAATTGATAGAGAGAAGCTAGCAGTAAGCTACTGTTTATGATCTAGAGCAATTATTATTATTATTATTATTTTACCTCTCATTAGGATCCTCGGGTTCCAGGAAACAAACATTGACGTGATCACGCAGATATGCCATCAACACCTTGGCTATTACAAAAAACAGCAGTTTGAACAAATGGTGTCTAGGCTGTTAGCGTACACAATTCGTTTTACATGATAATATGGGTAAGATCTAATTTTTAAACTGTCAAATGTCAAAGGTAAAGTATTACCAATTACCTTTGAACGAGAATCCCGTGATAACAAGCTTCACTGGCAGCGCCAAGAATGAAAACGTTGGATAATTGAGCAATAATTCTGTTTCGATTGTAAATCCCATTGACCCTTGATATTGCACCGAGAGGAGTAGTTGAATGTCATTCTCGTGACGCTTAGAGGGCGTTGTTCCTAATGGCGGTGTATATGTAGGTGGTGTCCTTGCTCCTCCATGGTCATAATCATTGTTCCTAGGATGGTCTTCTCGCTTCCTCCGTCTTCTCCTGTCTTGGTGGTCCCCGACATTTTGGCTGATAGAATTATTCCCGCCACCGGTAGACTGGACGTTTGAACGGCCATGGATCATGCTACTGCTTCTACTCCTTTGCTCACTCGGAATCGATTGTCCAGTGGTTGATCTGCTGGTCCTTCCTATTATTGGGCCTCTATCATCTTTCAAACTCCCAACAGTCTTGGGCTGCAATGGAAATGCATCAAAACTGTATGATTCTATCGGTGACATATAAATAGAGTTGTCATGATGCTGCTGGTAACGAGGATCCTGCTCTTGATCCCTTAACCCATTCAGCAAAGCCTCAGCTGCTGCCACTGAGCGCTGTTCCGTTGTTAAAGCCGCTGGTGTTGCTTCTCCTGTGGTCGATACTGTATAGGCTTCATCTTCAACTGTGTCCGAGAAGCTTTGTCGCCTCGAAAATGCTGTTGTAGGCGATTCGAAGCCTCTTGGAGTGCTGGGTATGGTTCTAGAAGGAGTTCCAGCTCTCAGCCCCAAGAGTGAATTCCCGGACACGACTATGCTTGAAAGATCTGGAAAATAGAGTTGTGGTCCCGGAGGCCCTACGGCAGTTGAGTTAAAAGTGGTCGTTGCATTAGAGCCCGTAGTAGCACTAACAGAATTGGACGTTGGTGAGCTATAAAATGGAACTCCTGATAACGATCGGGTTCCAGACCTGGTTTGCATGACACTGGATAAAACCCCACCAGGATTGGACCCTATCCCCGGGCCAAATCCGAGTCCAAGCCCACTCCCCATGTTGCCATTCGGACCGCCTGGTGTGGATGGGAAGAGCGATGCGCCAAGTTGAGGTTGCTGTTGTTGAGGGAGATTTTGAGCACTGTTTCTTAATGAGCTTTCCTGGTCTGCTGCCTTGATAGGCGTTGAATGCTCTAAGACTAGATCTTTCATGCGCTGATAAATGGTTGATTCTCCTTGGGTATAAAACGCTTCACTCTCAATTTCATCATCAGATGGATGAGAACTTAGGCTATGGCTTGTACTAGATTTCCTTGCAGATGTGTTTTTAGTATCGTAGGGCGAGGGTGCAGAGACGCTAGTGTCGCCATCAAGCTTGAGATCTCGATTGATACGTTTCGGTTCTTGAGTATATGAGACTACTTCATGTTCTACAGGATGGTGACGAGAACGACGCACTGAAGGTGAAGTTGAGCACTCGAATGGTGCTGACCGACTAGATCCGGCAGATGATACTGATGAAGCCCGAGACGAAATTTTGGTTGGCGAAGCTGTCGCAGACCGGATCGAGCGAAGGCCATGATCCTGGATGAAGGCTGAACTATCCAACCCCAAGCCTCCCAAGCCCGGTACTCCTGAACGATGATCTCTATTGAGCTCCTCCTTGTATGAATCCCATCCACTGCTGCTTGCGCCGCCTTTTCTGTGCTTTTGTGGTATGTCTTGCTGTCGATGCAGCCACTCTTCTGCTTCTAGTTGCTGCTGCCGTTCGAAACGTCCTGATCCTAAATATTCGATATCATCGCCCTCGCCTACCATGACAACGCTTCCATCCGGCGAATAAGGATATTCATCATCATATTCATCGCCACTGGCGAGTTCATCTTCATCCATACTCTCGCCTCCTCCTGCCTCTGCTGCCTCTTGTGCTAGTCGAGCTTCCTCCTGATCCATATGAACATACCACTCTTCGAGCGGATCCGTCACATCCAGAACCGTAACACTGGGTGGTGTGTCTCCGAAACGGAATTTCGAGACGGCAATATTCCCTAGAAATGTTGGTTTCGCGATGCGCTGAAAGTGAGCATGGATCATGCTCTCGATCTGAAGTGCTACTTCGTCATCGAGTTTGTCCCAAGCAAATTCAAACGACATGACAGATCGAAATGTGATTCACCTGTTTTCTTTTTCTTTTCACAACTAGCGATACTATAAAAACTGACAAGATCATTCAATGGTTTTGTTGTTTTGATCGCAATGCCAATGTCGATGCTGGCTTTTTTTTTTTTTTTTTTTTTTTCCTCCAGCAAGAATGAACTGTTGTACTTCTCTCTAGCTGTGCTTGCAATTAACCCTAGTCACGAGAAGCCGAAAAAGGATATATTTATTCGCTTCGCTTTGCCCAACCTTCTTCCAATTATTGGCGAATGCGGAAGTTCCTTTGTGGATGATACTAAGAATATCAATTCTGATGTAACATTTGCAATCATATTATTTTACAAATGCCTTTTTAGCCCAGCAAACCTCGAAAACTGAATCGAGAGTGTAATTGATGTCCTTATTCATCAATTTGGATCGCTTTACGGTCACCATACGCCTCGCGACGTTCCTTTGATAAGTCCTTCAAGCACTGCCGCGACCATTGCTACAGTTCATAACTATGCTTAAAGACATACTGCTACAGAAAATAGATCTCTCCTCCCTCTTCATAGTTACTAAGCACCACTCTCTTAGCAAGCTCTGTAACAAAAGGTCCTGCCTGTGACAGATGGAGTCAAGTAAAGATCCTGAACAGCACCTGTCGCGATGCACATCCATTACTGAATCTGCGTATTTCCCAGCGATAGATTGCTGGCTTGAGAGTACGGTTTGAGTTATTGTTGATAACTTAATAAGCTATTGTTGTTGATTGAAGATTCACAGTATCTTGCGTAAACCTTTCAATATCATTAAATACTAGATCTGAACAAGCCGAGGCCTCAAAGTTCTAGTGTAACTTGCAGGGCCAAAGCAATTGATGGCTCCATCCTACTACGTATCAATGCAGAAGGAATGAAGAAAAGCTTGGGGATATTGTAATCTGTATCGTATGAATGGGGACTGATTCCCACATACCAAAATAAGCTTCTGCTTCAAACATTGCTATCGCTCACTATTTGCTTCAACATGAATACGTGACATTAGCAGATGTTTTGCAAGGGAGCGAGGCATCTGTGGTCAAGAAAAAGATCTGGTCGTCTTCTCTCATGAAGCTCATTAATATCGAAATTAATTAGCCTGAAGGGAGAGGTGGTATTTTACTTCATTCCACCAGGGCTCAAGGAAAAAAAAAAAAAAAAAAAAAAAAAAAAAAAAGAAGTATATACATGTATATACAGTAGTCTAAGCGAAAATAGACATAAGAACCAATCAAACACGCGCTAATTTGTACTTTGGATGACAAATAAACGTTGACTAGAACGATCCAATGTCTTGGACACGAAGTCCATGTGGTCTTGATACTTCCTGTTCCTGACAGGTTTTACACCTGGTGTGGGTCAGGTCCCAACTAGCCGCACTGATTCTTTTTGTTAAAAGTTTATGGCCTCTTTTTTGTTTCTAGGGGGGCTGCAAGGCCCAACAGGTATTGTTCCGATACTGACGGCTGCGGCAGTGGTTGCTCTTTGATTTTGTCTTCTGACAGGTGGGGTAAATGTCGGTCTTTTAAAATACAAGAACGCCGAAAATGAAAATTACATGTAAAAAGAAACCATTTGTCCGCGGGCTATGTTAGTATGTTTGCCCTCACCTCTGTAGCTGACAATAAGTAATGGTGAAAGAGAGTCAAGGTCTATTGAACATTGGTGTACAGAAAGCAAAAAAAAAATAAATAAAAAATAAAAAATTAATTAAAGTGGACATTGGTCTGTCTACTCTCCTTTCTCTTGTGTAAGAGGCTCTCTTGGCTCTCTATTTTTCCTTTGTTCTTCTTTACGTATTGCTTTTTGCCGCCGCCTCTCTGCTTGCTAATTGATGACCATCTCAAACAAGTGGGTGCAAGAATGAAGGTAAAAGCAGATGGCATAGCAAAAAAAGGGGGAAGGTGAATGATTTGTGCAGGTCACCCAACAATTACACTGCACTGTCCATTGTTTGATACCTGTGCCGACAATTGTTTTATCCAGAAAGATATTCTGGAAGGGAAGGAATGTGAGAAAAAGACAAGGAATGTAAGTAGACCGATGTTGATCCACAAGTTGAGGGGAAAATAACGAAGATGATCACGACAGGGGTTCTCGGATGCAAAATGCAACTTTGTTGCACATGTGCCTGAAACTGAATCGTGAGTGCGTGCGGGTGCTTGTGCGCTGTATTTCAACAATCCTTTTGACTTGATCACGGGCGTTTCAGCTGCAGTCAATGCCCGATGCCCTCGTTGTTTTTCTTTATGTAACTTTCTGCAATACGCCGATGACATATCATGGCATGGCCACAACAATAGTGAACTGACTGAACTGCCTAGCCCTTTCCCTGTTTTCTTCTCAGAACACTACAGTGGTATCTAGACTTTATATTGCTTTCATTGTTGCTCGCGAGCCCACTTATTTTACGTTTGGGCAGTGATCCACACTCATGAACCTCTTATTTGTTATTTTTATATTTTTATATTTTAATTGCTTTAAAGAGCGAAGAGAAAGGAGGTATAAAAGATCATTGATTGTCCTCTCAGCCCCAGCTCTACTTCTGGTCTCTTTTGTTTCTTTGTCTTTTCAGTCCCCCTACCACTTGACCAACCTCGTTCATTTATTCATTCGTGCATTGTCGTTGAACGACTTCTCTTCCTGACTCTTCACTCTTCACTCTTCACATTTTACTCCTCATACTTCCTTTTACGACAAAACCAAAGAAAGACCAAACAAGTCCTCTTAAGCTTGCTTATTTTAGACAAAGCCTTCCTCCCTTTCATTTGACAATATCATCAAAATAATCACAATGTTTATTCGCACATCTATCATTGCATCTGCCACCCTTGCCCTACTTGCTTCTGTGGCTCAAGTTGAAGCCCATTCTTGGGCCGATTGCGTTGACTGGCGTCCCAAGGACCCTCAGAATCCAGGTATGCAAATGGAAGACAAAAAAAAAAAGTGCAAGACAACTTTATGTTTATTACATGCAAATCAACGGTTGAACACAATATACACAGCGCACATTACACATTTTATCATTTACACATTACACATTTCATACCACATTGCCCTCATAACATGGTTGTGTCTATTTTGGGTCGTGCGACATTAACAACTCAATGACCGAAGCGTTATTCCTCTCTATCCAATTGGAGGCTATTCTTACTGTCCTAGTCTATTCGTGGTGTCCTTCTCATTCTTTACCACTCAACACTCTTGTTTGTGTGTTTGTGAGAGGGAGTTTTTTTTTTTTTTTTTTTTTTTTTTAAACAACCGGAGATTATTGAACTAGTTGTATTTTCCCGCGCTTTTTTCTTGAATAAGCAAGAAGTACCAAATGCTCGTCAAATCACACTTTCTGTAAATTTCAAGGGCTATGTTTCAGTCTCATTTCATATCTTCGGTCAATACCCCCTGTAACTTTATTGGCACGAAGAGGCGAAGATAGAGTGGGGGGAGTTTTACCTAGCACCTTTGAAAACCAAAAAACAACCCGAAAGAAATAGAGCAATAGCTGACCTGAACTCGTCGATTTTTTTATTGTTTTGTCATTGTCGTAATATAACACAGGTTTCCGTGACAGTGATGGAGAGTGCTTTGGCTGGGCCCGTCAATATCCCATGGATAAGACGCCGTTCGCTGCTCTTGATAGCTCCAGCCCCAGCAGACATTACCAACAGGACCACATTGCCAATCCTGTACCTTGCTCTAATCGCAGAGCTGGTGTCGAGCCTGGTGCGGATGAAACCCGTCAGGATCCCATAAGCAAGGCCTACGGTGGCAAATTCGGAGCACAGCCCAGGGTCAAAGCAGGAGATACGATGTGTGTCCGCTGGCCTGCCAAGAACCACGCTGCCAAGAATGAGCGTGAGAAGTTTGTCAGAATCAACATGCCTCTAGAGCTCCTAGATAAAGATCCAGACCAGAAAACCTTCTCCAACTCAACCATTGCCACGATTCCTTTCAAGAATTGTCATGGAGTTGAGAGCAATCCAGATGCTGCTCCCTGTGGAGGATGTTTTCCTATCCCCGCTAATTTACAGACTGGTAACTATGTGGTCCAGTGGCGCTGGGAGTTGAATGAAGGTGAATTCTATGCGTCCTGCTGGGATCTGGCGGTCACTGGTACAGATCCCACCGCGCCAGGCGGCAACCAAACTGCTCCTCTTCCTCCTCCAACTCCTCTTGGTCGCTCAACCTCGGTGTTTGGCAACCTTGCAAAGAATATTTAAAAAGCATCTTTTATTTTTTTTCTTTCTTTCTCCAGCATAATATCCTCTTTATTTTTTTTCTTTACTTCTACTGTATTTCATATCATATGGTTGCACCATGCAAACATCGCCATCATCATCATGTACTTAATGCATCTCTATGTAAGCTCACTCGTTTTTCATCACTATTAACACCAAGCGAAAAAAAGGCACTTTTTGTTAAGCATGCAATGGGTTAAATGAAAGATTTTTTTAAGAAAAAGTGCGTGAGTTTAGGCAGGTTCCTCAACTCGTAATGTTTCAATGCTTTCATTTTTTCCTTGTAATGCATGGCGATCTTTGTGTTGAATAGTTAAAAAATAAAAAGAACAATTGAAATAAATAAAGCAGTTGAATGTTGTGCAGGGACAAGAAAAAAAAAAATCATTTGTCTTCAATTGTCACACGCTTCTCAAAACAAAGTGAACTTCATTCACTTCATGCATCTCATTCTTGCTCATTCATACTCGTCCATTTTATTCTTTCATACATCATGTCAGCCCATAACAACAATAACAACAACACCAACAACAATAGAGCTCATAATGATGATATTAAAGGCAATCCATCGCAGAATAGTTTTATCACCGACCAAGAATTAGAGCAGAGACTTATCAAGCTTAAGAAGAAGACCCCTACTACAGATGTTCCTATCAGGCATGTTTTTGCTGTGCTATACTCTATGCTATGTTATGCCATCCTATGCCATGCATCAGTTTCTTACACGTTGAATAACGTGATCCTTATCTCTTTTTTCCCCCCTTTCTTTCCTTCTATCTTTCTTTCTTTCTTTGATTGCAGTGACCATGAATTGACTACACAGTTTTCAAAGGTCTTTGGCCACTCTCCTGCTGTGACCAATCTGAGCTCATCGTTACTCGACCCTCATCCACAAGAGAATCAAAGGAAGGATACACTGATACCCACATTTAACTTGTTACAACAACCGATAGAAGGACGTCCTGGAGCACAGAGATCCCAGTCATCGTCATATCTCATCCCCGCTACTTCAGATCAGGAAGAGGTAATCATGGTGCATTATCCGTATCTTAAATCTAATCTTATTTTTCAGCCTCTAATAGACCCTTATGTTTATTTTTCTTTATTTTATTATTTTCTAAAGATTGACAGGATCTTGGCAGACTCACAAGACCTTCTCGTCAACAAAACAGGATTGGAGGGAAATGATGATGATGACCTTGATTTCTTGGACGATATTGATACACTCCAACCAGCTCAGACAAAGGAGCTTCGTGCAGCATTTGCTCAAAACGGGGATGTCGCTAAAGATTTAGAAAAGACCTTGTCCAAGTTCATGCAGACACATCGACCTTTAATGGCAGCTGACCCTTCTCAAGACTATAAGGCAATAGCAACAACATCGACGTCAGCATCAGTATCAAAGCCATCAGCAACGCATACAGGAGTATCAGATGAGTTGCTGTTTGGAGTAAAAGGAGGAATGGGAGGAGAAACACAACAGGAAAAAGCCTTTGGAGATCATTTGGATAGGTTGATGTCAAGTAACATTAAGGAAGGAGATAGTATTGGAAATAGATACAATGAGGACGATGATGAAGCACTCAAGTTGATCACCCAGGCCAGGGAAGCTGCACAACTGGAATCCAAGTATGGAAATCTAGAGGAGGCACGGTTGAAGGGACTCATTAGTAGACATCATGAATTGAAAAAGGACATACAGAACTTGTCTTCTACCCGGCCACAAAAGCCAACCAGTCAAACTAGTCAAAAAGGCGATAGAATGACAGGTCTGGGTCCACCACCTGCAGCGATTGATTTGGATGAACTACGGTTTGGAGGTGGAGGTGATGACGAAAACCCCGAAAACTGGTGCTGTAAGTCTATTTTTATTTTATTTTGGGCCTTTTCTTCCTTTTTCCTTGTTCACTTGAAAATGCTTATTGACATTTCTGTTTCTTTTATTCATTCTTTGTCTTTTTTCTTCAGGCATATGCAATGATGATGCAAAGTGGACATGTCTGGGCTGTGATAATGACAAGTATTGTGATCAATGTTTCCGAGAGAGTCATGTTGGACCAGATGCAGACTGGGAAATGAAAAAGCATCGGCCTAGCCCCTTTGCCAAGGCTTCTGGCAACCCAATTTGATAGGCTTCTTCATGATTCCTTTGGAAAATACACATCTTCCTACATTTGGTTCTCTAAGGCTTTAATATGATTACAGGGTATCTATGAAGTTAAATTATTGAAAAAAAAAAAAAAAAAAAAAAAAAGTATGAACGTGCCACTGTGCACGCAAATATGCTAGAGTGCGGTGCGTACATTCAATGATTAGCGGTCAACAATATCACTGCCATCTTGAATTTGATTGTCGATGTGTAAGCTGATCATTTCCTGTATAGTCTGGTTTTCAACCTGTTCCATCGACTGAAGGACTTGAATGCCTGTCAGCTTTCCTTTCTGATGTTCACTACTGTTTAAATGTCGCCTTAACAGATCTTCTCGATGATAGCGCCTATGACAGCCAGGTATAACGCATGCAAAGGGTAGTTTTACTTGTGCATCCTCTTCTGTGAACCCGAAGAGCTCATCTAATGCTGTCGCTTGGATTGCATCACTCCTTTTTTTCCTCATCAGGGAAGGACTTGTATGCTTTCTGTTAATGTGCTTATTGAGGACATGTTTATATCCAAACTCCTTTCCACAACCTTCAAATTCGCATCGGAACTTGGGTGCATTAAGATCCTTCTCATGTGTAGTTTTAATATGACTCGTAAGCGTCCATGCCTAAGGAAAATAAAATAGTAAATACGCATCAATTCAGTGGACGTTCTGGTAAAATATATATATATAGGGATATATTTGGTCACCGTACAGTTGAAAAGATTTTACTGCATCCCTCAAATGTGCAAGGGATAACGGGTCGATTAGGATCATGGGTTTTCATATGAGAGCGCATATTTGTTTTCAATACGACAGTGCCACAGACGGAGCAGGGCATTGACTTGTGATACATCTTGTTATGTTTCTGTAAAAGCGACCACTTTGAAAAAACGCTGTTACACTCTGGATAACCGCATCCATACCGTCGAGTATCTTATTGGTGGTCAAACGAAAAAAAAAAAAAAAATTAAATTAAATTGTGGTAAATTCCCAAATAAACTTTATGGAGCTTTCACAATCTCTTACCATTATGGACGAGTTGATGTTTCTGAAGCTTGCTTGGAGTCTGGAAACTCATCTGACATCCTTCATGCAAACATGGATATGGTTTTCGCCCTTCATGGTCCGTACAAACGTGGGCACTCAGTTTCTTATGTTTTTTGAAACGCATTTGACATCCGTCCCATGTACATGCGTACGGTTTTTCTTTTTTTATTTCCTCCGCAACCTTCATTAACGTCTCTGGGTCCAATGATGCCTCTCGCCTGTATCCACGTTTAGCACCACTCTTTATATTCAGATCCTCGTTATCTGAATTAATTGAAGAAACCAATGTTGGTAAGCTGGAAGAAGATCGGGATCTACGTAGTTCCGGCATTGGTGTTAGTGCCGATGATGATGTCTCTGATGGCGGCGTCTCTGATGGCGGCGTCTCTGATGATAATGATTGAACTGGTGATGAAGGAGTCGATAAAAAAGCTGTACAAATCTCAATGCTGGACAGACTTGCGAGTTCGTTATGCGTCTTGACATGTCGTGCAAGTTTATCCTTTGTGTAATAGCTTTTAGTGCACCCTGGATTTATACATTGAAATTCCCGTATCGATCCATGACTTTTAACATGAACCGCAAGATGATCTTCTCTCCTGAATGCGGCATTACATCCTGTATAAAGACATCTATAAGGTCGCTGTAGCCAAATGAAGAAGATTAGCAAGCAGTGGAGAAAAATAAAGGCGAATAAATAGCATAAGCCCAATTTTCAATTGACAAGACAACTTACTTCATCCGTATGTGAACGCTCATGTGCAGCTAACCGCGACGGCTTGGTATATTTTTTCCCACACCCAGAGTAAAGGCAGATATATTGCTTTGCCTTGGATGAAGATGACATTTTTGAAGAAATGGACGATCGGTGACTTGTGACTTCATGCACCGGTTCTTGATCTGATATGGTTACTTTTTCATCTTCGTTTTGTATTTGAATACTAGTTTCGTTATCGGGATTTCTACGCTTAAATGAATGGTGTTCTGAAGTAATAGTGGTCGTGGTGGAGACAATTGTTGTCTTACCATCATAATTATCATCATTCACTAGAGAATTATATTGAGAAAGCTTGTTGGTCGATAAAGGCGTCAAGCTAGTGGCTGTTGTGGATACTGCATCTACTGTTTCTTTTACAAGGTTGTCATTGTTGTTTTCTGGTACAATTTTACGTTTCTTCTTAACGGGATTATAGCTATCAATGTCAATGTCAATAGTGTCGATGTCTGTGCCACTGCTGATTGATCGATGTGAGATGCTTAGATCTAACTCTGAACTACTGCTGCTGCTCATGGTCAATTGCTATAAAGATGAGCAGATCCGTCCTCACTGTTATTGTTATATTTTGGCTACTGTTGTTGGTTTGGATGTTTAGGGTACTGAATTACAATAGAGGCAATAAATAGACAAGAATGGGTGATGCTGAAGCGACTACATTGGATGGCAGCAAGAGAATAAAAATGTGTAGGAATAGATCCTTCTCTTGTTTAGTCAATTTCTTCAACGAGTGACTGCTGGTAATAATATTTTTGGGCGAAGTTGCATGTTTGTTTTCTTACACTGTTGCAATTGTATACAATCCTATCTCTGCTGTCTAATAGTCATGATTTGGAATGAAGAGTTTCGAGTAGACTGTGAAGCGGACCGAAAAGCGGGGACAATTGAGTACACTGTTTACTTGCGTGAGCATAGGAATGTAAACCCTTCTCTTTTCTTATGGCGAAAATAAAATCTACGCCCAATTCCCCAGTTGAGCATTAAAAAAAAAAAAAAGCAGGCCCGTTCTTGTTCATCAAACTTATTTGTAAGAGTTCAACTATGCAGGGATAGAATATACATTTATACATATAAAAAAAGGCCCAGGTCAACCAAAATGATCCAGATCTTGGAGAACCAAAAAGTAAGGATTGCACTTTGTTAGCTTCAATTTAATCCCAGTCCAAAATATTTCAAGACAAGCAGATGCTCAGAAGTTGTCTTGAAGGCCAAGGGGCCAAGAAAGAAACGGCCATAAAATTTAAATCTTGTTTCTAATGCAAGACTATAACATGGATCGCCTGTGAAAAAGCATTGACGCCATGTGAGAAATGAAAAGAAACTGCATGATTGAGTTTTTGTTTGTTTATTTATTTGTTTGCTCTACCCTCTGACTCCGAGGTGGATGTCGGGCCATGGCGGGGACGAGGACAGGAAAACATGAAGAGCTTCCTCTCTCTTTTTTTTGTCCCTCTTGAACTAATCCCACTCCATCTGCCTCTACGTCTCTACTCTGCATGCTTATCTGTTTATTAGTCGATTTGTTTGTGTCACAGTTATCCTCACTCTGAAGGTACAATGTGTTAACTTGTAAAATACATTCTTGTCTCATCATTGAGATCGAGAAGGAATGTGGAATGGCGTCGAATGGGGGGATCAGCTTGACTGACAAGCCCTCTTTGGTTCCAAATTCATAGCACTTGAAAAACTTATTTGCTGACTGATATCCTGTGTCTTATTTCTGTACTCAATTCACTACTCCTTGCAGTCTAATCAACAAGCATAATTTGCACGACAATCGTTCCGTATTTAACCATGCCGTCTCTCGATCGCTCCGAAACAGATAGTTTATATTGTAACCCGACCGAAGATGGTGAATCCATCATGTCATCTTCAGGAGGTGCACCTTCTATCAAATCAACAAGCTCTCCCTCTGCAACCTCATCCCTCAGATCTGGATCTCAGTCGATAAAATCTAAAACCGCGTCAACCAAATCCAAATCCTCGTCTTACGCATCTGTACCTAAATCACCTCAATGGAAAGCAGCAGTCGATCCTCTAGGGATGTCCTCCAAAGCAGTAGGATTCATGCCCATGTTTAGCACACATCTCTATGCTCCTGGATTCCAGACTGCTGTTTCTACCAGTGCAACAAATGCAAATGAACCCAAGGCATATCAATCAAAACAACTTACGTTTGTTGAAAAGAAAAAAAGCTTTTCTTCTTCTTCTTCTTCAACTAAATCAAATAACCCTGGGAAATCTGAGAAGACTAAAACAGCGCCATCCAATAACTCTGTCAAATCACTAAATTCCTTAACCAAATCCACATTTTCCCCGGCCTTTGCAAGTAGCCTCAGTACACAGGATGAACATTTGTCAAACTTTCCTGACAAAAGGACTGTGGAAGAAACTAAGTCATTAAGCTCAAATAGCAGAGGTGGTGATGAGGAAATCAAGGAGGAGATAGTAATATCGAGAAATAGCAAGGAAATAGAAGGGACAGAAGCATTAGCAACAACAGCAACAACGGCCGTGATAATTTCAGCAACAGAAACTGTAATGAACAATGATATCGATAGTGCGTATGGCGATTCGGATGACATGACGTTTGTGAACAGCAGTACAGAGGTCGCTGTCCTGATGGAGGCTCAATCTTTACCGGACGCCTCTATTCATCCGTTTGATAAGACAGTGGTGACAACTAATACCAGCAGCGACGTGGTGGAAAGTATCAACAATCAAAATATTCTTTGTAAGCTTTCAACGGTAGAATCAACCACTCAGTTGCGGTCACCACCAATATCAATATCAACATCAGCACCACGGCCAACTCATACGCCTAATGAATTGATATTGAAACGAATGACCTCATGGGAGTACATAGGACGTGTCTACCATGGAAAAATGGCTTACTACAACACTATCTTGTTGACAGAAGCAGATCTTCGCAAGTTTTATACGCCAGAAGTTGTTCATAAAAGGTTTGTGAAAGGAAAAAAAAAAAAAAAAAAAAAAAATGCATGTATGCATAGTTACAAGAAGCTAACTTTTTTTTGGGGGGGGGACAGGACGCAGCAATACTTCATGTTGGGAACGTCCATTGCCAATATACTGGAAATACCCCATCTTCCTGACTTTGTAAAATCGCTCTCTGCAGTTTTACAAGAGTTTGAGCATTTTCAATCATCAGAAACAAAGTCTAAGATGGTAAGGCTGCTTCTTTTTTTAAAAAAAAATCAGTTTATGCTTAAAAAAGTTCTTGCATAATTGCTGCTTGGTTGATTTAACATACCATTGATACTATTTTATTTTGCAGAGCTTTTTAAAAAACGGGTGGAGAGTGCATGATGGGAAGTTCTTTGAAGAAACTAGCGAATACACACATTTCGAGACCAGATCCTTGGTAATTTTTTTAACGAGTCTCTATATTATAAAATGTGTAATGCACAGTATCTCGACTAAAAAAAAATTTTTATTGTCAATTTTAACTAGCCATTTGAAATGGACTATATTGTTATCTTCGCGACACTCTGCGAGATGATTGCCCAAGCTTACAAAAAGTTTGATACCTACAAGGCGAATATCATAATGGAATCAGATATGTTCCATAAAATCGATATTCGGTTCAAGGTAGGTGAATCATACACGCCTATTAAAAAAGAATAATAACAATAATACAAAGTGAAAACTGCAGCAACAGGAAAGTAACTTTTTTTTTTTTGGCGATTTAGAAAATCCTAAGTACCACAACGAGAGAACTCGACAATCTGGCACGTGAAACGATGCAGGAAGAGCTTTATTCAATAGATCCAATTGCTGGATTAACGATAGACTGGAATCAACAAGTACTTTCTATTGGCAACTAAATAAACATGGTTCATGCAGTTTTCCATCATCAGGGCACATGTATAAGAGCTTAACTTGATCTTTAGTTTTGTTATTACAGGTTACTTTACTATTATACTTTTTTTTTTTTTTTTTTTTTTTTTTTTTAAAGGCCATCGTCACTCTCGTCAGCCAAGAAGGTGTCATCATCGACATATGCATCAGCTCCAAACCCTTCGATATCAAAGGATTCTGGGCGATTTACATTATCGAAATCAATGGCTGCCACTCTTGGATTGGCAATTAGTGAGTTCCTATTATTATTGTTATAATTATTATTATTATTATTTGAAAGGAGCGGAAAATGCAATCAGAACACATTGTATAGATTCAAGCAAAAAAATAAAATAAAATTTGATCCGTTAACTGAAGTACAAATATAGAAATATGTACAATACATACTTCCTAATCATAATGAAGAGCCGCCAGAATTGCACCACGTTTCGAAGGATCAAAAAGACAGTATCAAGCACTTTCTCGGCTTCATGTCCTGATCCACAACCTTGAAGGATTAAAATCAATGTAATGAAGCAAAAGATCACCAAGATAATATCTAGAATGTTGGATGATGACCTCCAATATGTCTTTTTTTTTGAAGTTTTTTTTTTAGCATCCCTTTATCTCGTTTTTTTAACTTTCATTGAACACATCCAACAAACAGCCAAACAAAAAGAAAAGAAGTATATATTCTTACCCTGCCGAGCGCTGTTAGTCGCAAGGCGACCTCTGCAATCATAGTGCCATTGATGATGGACTCTAAAACGATAAACAGCGCCGAGCTAGAGCAACCCTGCTGAATGGAGAGGAATATGGACCAGATACTGAGGATGGCCATGACCAGATATAGGACCATGTAGAATTTAGAGTAGATGATCCTGTTGGCCAAATTCTGAAAAATCTCACGTCTCGACAGACTATGATGACTCCTCATCGCTGGCACTGCGTTTGGCTGTTCGCTAAAACGTAATTTGGAAAAAAAAAAAAAAAAAAAAAAAGAAATAGGTAAGGTGGCTGTGTCCAACAATATTATCTTTTTTTTTTCACAAACAAACTTGTTAAACGCAAGCCGAAAAGATGCTCTATATATTACCCAAGTATAGTGTATGCACTATCCATTAGGCCTTCTTCACGTTTATAAAATTATCCTTGTAGTCAATGCTGCCAATAAGCAGTAGAAGTGGACGTGCAAGAAGACGAAGAAGAGGAAGAGGAAGAGGAAGAGGAAGAGGAAGAGGAAGAGGAAGAGGAAGAGGAAGAGGAAGAATGTTGATGAAATGAATGGGGTAACATGCAAATATTGCAAAAAAAAAAAAAAAAAAAAAAAAGGGGGATAGTATAAAGTGAAAGTGATAATGAAAGTGTGCGAATGAATATGGAAATGCAAGAAAGTCGAAGAATGAAAGTGAAATTGTGTGGAGATGCCTGAAAGCGTTTCAAGGGCACTTCTCTAACACTTTTTGTTTATACATCCAGGAAGATGCGTGCGACACTAAAAAAAATTGATGCATTAATGCTTCATGCACGTGTAAGATTAGATGATGGCTTTAATGTTTATTAATTTATCCCTAATTGATGACTTTAAACGGAACTGAAAGGCTTGCCTCATTATTTCCTTGGCATTCCCATTGGTATTGGCAACTAGAATCGAATCCGACATCACGCACGCGTCTTTTCATCACCATGATCGTGCATATCTTATATTAAAAGAGAGAATACTAAGACTTGCCTGATGAGCCCTCTTATTTGCTTTCACAGACGAGCAACGTCGGTATCCAAGAGGCGACATGTCGATGAATTTACAGTGCCATCAAAGGGAAATGGCCTTGCTTAGGAGTTCTGTCAAAATTCTAAAAAGTGAGAGGAGAGACTAAGGGTGTAAAAAAACGCGCTTTACAATTGTGTGCATACGCATGCTAAATGTTTTGCCGGAAGGAAGGAGTAAAGGAATCTGTAATACATCTGTTACACGCAATGAATCGTATTTAACCAATCTTATTTGGAACAAATTCAGTTACCCGTATCATGGTGCCTGTGTGCTTGACTGCAACCAATTAAGCATGCGAATGCGTATTCTTCGTCATTCATGTTTGTTCTCCAAAAAAGACATTGATCCTCTTTTTTTTCTTTTCTTTTTATTCATCGCCCCTCTTTCTCCTGTCAAATCCCCTTTCTTCTTGCAAAGAAATCCATTCGTTCATCATTGTTCATCCGTTGTTGATCAGAGCATCCCCTCTCCGCTCCTTATTTTTTTTCTTTTCAGGCCACTCATACTCCCTTCCTTTCAATTCCACTCTTGTTTCTCCTTCAACTCACTTTAGCTGAGCTCCTCAATATCCACAAGAAAATACTTTTACTTCATTAACACATTAACAACAGCTCTTCATTGCAAATACTAAACCTCCAAAGCCAGTCAGTACCGACTCTGAATAGCTCGGTGAGTCTGACTTCTCTTTCCGCCCACACCTTCGACCTCAGACTAAACAAGTCGCATCCTTCACCTCCATGTCCTCATATGCCTCATCTGATAGCAATGTTAATGATGGGGACCAAAATCAAGCCCTTTCAACAGCAACAAAAACAACAGGAACATTACCTCAATTGACACAAGGTGCTTTTACTGCAACAATCACTGCTACTACTGCTACTGCAACCACTACAGCAACAGCCACTCTTTTTCCTCGTCCTCGCCCATCTTCACCTTCAACAAAAGCCCATAGACCGGCTGGAAAGGCCCATGATTGGTATTCAGGAGGGGTGGTCACTTCTCATGGCCGCTGGTTTAGGGATGCACAGAACAGGACGTTACTCTTGCGAGGAGTCAACATGTGTGCTAACTCAAAACTCCCAACTACACCCAATGGCAGCTCTCATTTGAATGAAGGCTTCTTCGATCACCGTAATGTTTGCTTTTTGGGCCGTCCATTTCCTCGGGATCAAGCAGACGAGCACTTTTCAAGGCTGCAACGATGGGGCCTGACGTTTGTACGTCTGCTGGTTCCATGGGAGGCATTAGAGCACTCTGGACCGTACGTATTTTTTTTAGTTATCCACTTTGATATAGATATCGAAGAGCGTTCAGCAACGAAAATGATGAGCGATGAGGTCAATGACCCTTCACTTCAAATTGTTTTTTTTTTTTTAAAAAAAAAAAAAAAAAAAAAAAAAAAAAAGTGCTCACGTCTGTCGTGTGCTTAGTCAGTTGGGGACCTTATGTTCGGCACGATACCTTCCTCGTGTTCTTGTGAGCTTGATACATTTGATGAAAATGTCTTGTTTGACCCCACAAGGAGCTAATTGATATCTCTTTTTTTTTTTTTTTTTTTTTTTTTTGTTACGACCGATCCTGATCATTTTAGAGGGATTTATGATGAAAAATTTATCGACTCCTTGATCGAGCTCATCGAACTTATGCCAAAGTATGGGATCAAGTGCTTTATCGATCCACATCAAGATTGCTGGTCTCGGTTTTCGGGCGGGTCAGGCGCACCGGGGTGGACATTTGAAGCGGCTGGACTCGATATTACAAAGTTTAAGACGACAGGAGCGGCCTATGTCCACAATACTAATCAATACCCAGGCGACTCACCACCTATGGTCTGGCCTACCAACTATACTAAACTTGCTGCAAGCACCATGTTTACTCTCTTCTGGGCTGGAGACACCTTTGCACCTCAAAAGACGTATCAAGGAGAGACAATCCAGCAATTCTTACAGAATCGATACATTGCATGCTATCAACATCTTGCAAGGTAACAAATAGACAATAAGATTGGCTTACGGTGTATTATGGCGTCATAGAAATGACGATGCTTACTTTTATTTCACAACCTTAATACTCCTGCTTAGGCGTTTGAACCATCTCGATGCGGTTATAGGTTATGAAGTAATGAATGAACCACAGTAAGTTAAAGATGCTTTCCTGTCCTGTGCTGAGACAGATATATTTGTCAAATCATATCGAAACTCACTCATTGCTTCTCACTCTCTTATAACATAGTCCCGGATACGTTGGCCTTAAAAACCTCAAGCGGTATGACTTTCGTACTAACCTGTTCTTTGGTGACTTTCCATCGGCGCTTGAGGCGATGGCGCTGGGTGATGGTATGACACTACCAATTGAGGTTTGGGTCAAATCATGGCCATATCCAACGAAGAAAGAAAAAACCAGGATTGTCAATGCGGAAAAGGAGTCTGCATGGCTTGATGGCAAATGCTTGTGGAGACAACATGGTGTTTGGAGTGTGAACCCAAAGACAGGCACGGCACAGCTAGACAAACCAGATTATTTCACAAAGGACCCTTCAACTGGCGAAAAAATCGACTTTTCAAGGTTCTACCTTGATTTCGTTAATAAATACTCAAAGGCCATACAGAGCGTGACCCCCTCGGCGTTCGTCTTCGTTGGACCCATCCCCAACGAGCCTCCACCAGTGTGGGGGGCAGGAGATCATGAGGAGAACATCGTTTATGCTCCTCACTGGTACGATCTGCACTCAATCTTCAACAAGACATTTGATGGCCGCGTTACGCATGATGTTCAGAGTCTCAGCAGAGTATGTTTGTTACTCTGCACTCTTTATATCCTTCTCTGCTCAGCTGCAAATCTAGGTTGAAAATAGCATATTTAGCTTATATATTAACTTTTTTTTTCTTTTTAGGGCAAGAACGTATTCTCTGCTACATATTTCGGGATCAAAGGAGCTAAGAGAAATTATCGTGGCCAGCTTGCCAATGTGCTCAAATTGGGACTGCAGAATGTGGGAATAAAGCCATGTCTCATTGGAGAATGTGGTATCCCTATGGATATCAACCAGCGAGCAGCGTTCATGAGTGGAGACTATGGACACCACTCCAAATTTCTGGATGCCATTTTGTCTGCTCTGGAATCAAACCTCCTAAGTTTCACGTAAGCTCGATTAGGCAACTAAATCTACATGGGCCCTGAGTATAGTGTACATAGTGGTTCTTAGCCATTTCTTGTATTGTAGATTTTACTTGACTGATTTTTTTTTCTCTAATGATAATCAGCCTTTGGAATTACAACGCCACCAACGACAATACTTATGGCGATCATTGGAACGGCGAAGATTTCTCCATTTTTTCACTAGATTCGCCCCAGTCATCGACTCCTCGCCTCTCTAGCGCAGGATCACCTTCCTCCTCAAAGACATCGCTTAGGCAACAGGCTCCAAACTTTGCAAAGGAAGTGATGCGGAGAGCGGCAGCTCAGAACGGCTCTGGCGAGCTACCGACCATAACAAACGGTAATGCCGTTGGCAGTGGGAACGATAACTCTACCGACAACGAAGACAGCGACACAATAGAGGACGAACTCTACACCGAAAGAGACGACGGACTAGAAACGATCATGGACTCCCCATTTGATCGATCCTATTTTTCGTTTGACCATGAGGAATCAGACCATGGACCTTATCATGAGGGACACCTTGGGGGTCGCGCACTAGATGCTATTGTGGTATGTTCATACAACTTCTATTGCCCAAACTCTTAAGGATTGACTAACAAGGCAAGTATGTATCATTTAATCTGACTTTTTTTTTTAAAAAAAAAAAAAAAAAAAAAAAAAAAAAAAAAGCGACCCTATGCAGCTAAAGTGGTAGGAGAACCAATCTCGAGCGAGTTTGATCTAATGACGTTGCAGTACACGTTCCGGTACTGTAACTACATTCAAGCACCGGTGCCGATCGTCCACATCACCACACCGGAACAGCTACATCGGGACCTTGACACCTCTCCATTGCATTCTGATTCTGTCAACTCCAGTGACTCGGCATTGGCCAATCAACTAATTGGGTCGTCCGGTGAAAAAACAGAACTAAATTCAACATGGTATGGCCATCCACCCAAGGATACAACGACTGCATTTGAAACCGAGATCTTTGTACCGCTGTATCACTATGATGGAGTCGAGCTGGAGATCCAAGTGAGTGATGGCGACTGGCTATTTGTGAAGGAGCGTCAGACATTATACTACCGACATAAAAATATGCAGCCGGGTGCAGTGCATTCGATCCGAATCAAGCCTCTTCGTCGACCTACAGCTGTTGTCGATAAAATTGAAGTTCAGGCTCTGGAATATGGAGAATCTGTGAAAAAACAGTCAATCAAGGCTAGAGATGCCATGCCAGAAGACAACTCAAACCGTTCCTGCCTTATCATGTAGTTTTTTCATTTTTTTAGACCAATAAAAGTTTTTTCCATGATTTGACATGGAACGCCACTAAAAATATACATTTATTTTTTTTTTTACCAATCCATGCTTCGTTTGACACTTTCTTCATTCATTCCATTCTCTCAAATCTACTTTGCCCAATACAATGTCGAGAAGGAATCGTGGTGCTGGTACTACCTATGTCAACAATGTTCGTGGACCTACTAGTGCATTGACTAGTTTCTTGAATGAACGTGGCATTCGTCGAGCCAACCCTGCTCCACAACCTCGTCCTCCTCGCAACAACACTGCTGTCTCTAGCACCGCCTCCACCGAACAGGAGGAACAAGAGGTGGAGGAGCAGCAACCAGACCAACAACAACAGGCGAGCTCCTCCTCATCCGCCTCACGAACTACCCGTACCGCTCGATTGACCCGAGGAAGGACTGTGACGACCTCGACCGGCACTTCTCTCTCTGAGTCTATTGACGTTAGAGTCGAGTCTGCATCACACGTTGTTACAGGAGACGATGGTAACGATAGTGATGAAGAAGAAGACGAACCCAGCCTCATACCTATTGCTGTTACAGCCCGAAGCACTCGTACCACTCGAGTCCGAGCCCGAACTGCTGTTACCGCCGATGCCGCCGTTTCTTCTAGCTCTTCTGCATCAGCAGCCTCATCATCCAAAGCCGCCAAGGCCAAGACTACTGAAGCCGCTGAGGCCCATCCATCCAAGAAGCGCTCTCGTAAGAAAGACGCTTCGGACGACTCCGATGACGAGGACTTCCATGACATTACCGGCTATGTTTCTCGATCCAAGTTTAGCCATAAGGGTAGGATGCCACAAGGCTCCAATAAGATTGAGTTTTGTTCACGATGCAGAGCTCGATTTACGATCAAGGCTGGGGCCACGCCTGCGGTGGATGAGAATGATGGTGGGTTGTTATGCCCTACCTGCGCTTCCTCCTCTAGTCCTTCAGTAGCTACTCCCAAAGCTCGGCCTGTCAAGCGACCAAGGAGAAAAGCGCAGAAAGCAGAGATTGAGAGTCAGGTTCCTTCGCTCCAGGATCTATGCATTCAGGTAAGTAAGACTTTGGCCTGACTTTCCTCCCTAATATCATGTGTTTTGGAAAGGCTTCATGGCTAATTTTTATTTTCTTGTACCAAATTCGTGTTCAGAAAATTGCAAACTGTATCGAAGATGTAGAAGGCTTTGGAGACATCAGTGACCTTAGCATGGACAAAATATGCAGGATCATCAGCCGAAACCGATCTTTGAATGCGAATACTCTCCAGCTCTTTTTGGACTCTCGTCATTCAGATTTATCCCTCTATGACTGCACTGATATCAATGCATTAGGTCTCCAAAATATTGCTCAGTTCTGTCCAAGTCTCCGATCTCTCAAGCTCAAGTTTTGTGGGCGCATCGATGATTCTGTCATGGATTACTATACAAGCCATTTATCTCAATTAACATCGTTATCTCTTATTGGACCCATCTTGATAACTGAGGCGTCCTACATCAAATTCTTTGAGGCCATGGGCGAGAGATTTACACGCTTCGAACTGAAGCACTCCGCCAGGTTCTCTTTAAAGGCGCTTAAGGCACTATGTGATAATTGCCCTAACTTGACCCATTTAAGACTTGGAGATTGTGGTCAGATGGACGACGAATGGATGGAACCGATTTCAAATCTGACAAAACTGAAATCGTTACGTCTGCGGAATCCGGAACGTGATAGAGTGAGCACTGAGAAAGTAGTCAAACTCATTCAAGCTGTGGGATCCGGATTGGAGGAGCTGGAACTTAAAGGGTTCGTGGAAATTGAAGATCCAGTTCTGTTGGACGCGATCCGGCCAAGTTGTGTTCGTTTGGAGCGGCTCAATATCTCTGGATGCGAAGAGTTCACAACAGAGGCCATTCAAACACTCTTCAAGGATTGGACCGTAAACCGTGGCCTGAGCTATATCAACCTTGAGAACTGTGTAATGCTCAAGGATGAAGCATTGATGGCAATCACAGCTCACTCGGCCACAACGTTGGAGACGCTAAACATCAAGGGACTGGATGAACTTACAAAAGATGCTTTACTCACCATAACTAAGTGTGAAAACTTGACCATGTTAGATGCCAGTTGGTGTCGTGCTATGGATGATGAAGTCATGGAGCAGCTTGTGAAAAGTGCGTCTAGATTGAACAAGGTGGTTGTCTGGGGTGATCACCGACTGACAGAGTGCTGTCCAAGCCGAAAGGGCATGAAGATTGTTGGACGTGAAGGTGACTTTATCGATCTGCGGTTCATGTAAGAAGCTATGCTATTCTTGGATAGAAAGCAGTTATTTAGATAATTAGAGAATGGGAATAAATGATGGCAGCGCCTGTCCATACGTATTGTGTGCATAACTGCAAGAATGTGGTTAAATCAGTGACAACGCAATCGATAATCTCGATTCATTAAATAGACTTGAACTTTATCGACGACCGTGTTATCACCAATGCGTTTAACTCGCGCTTCGAAGATGATCGCAAATGTCTTTTCAGAATTACCTGAGGATCCTCATTTGAGCCATTCCCTTTTATTCCTTTCTCCTAACATGCTGCTATCAGTTCTCAGCACGGAACAGCCATCTTTCATGGCGTCATCTTGTCTTGGAGCGGCGGTGTTCAAATCCTCCAGACTGATGCCACTTGTGCAGGAGAGGATCTCGATTTTGAAGAACGGGTCCATCCTGTTAATTCAAAAATCGGTGCAGTGTCTATGACCTTCCCAAAATTCTGAGATGTTTTTGTAAGGCCGATAATCAATGAGATCAAGAAGTGGTTTTTATTATCGTTGCTAGACGGGAATTTTATCAATCCTCGGCCATGACCGCTACATAATGTTTGCCCCTATGATAAAAATGGGGGTGCCTCCTTCCATTGTGGATCGCGAGCTACGCGCCCGGGCCATTTGTTGAACAAATGACGTTATGAAACCTGGTACACTGGCTTGAACAACCCACCCGATATCGCCTACACCGCACTCCATCCCTGCTGCCTCTGTAGAAAGAAGTAGCAAGACTCCTCCCTGCGTGAACCGCTCCAAATGAGAGATTTTACCTTCTTCAGATAGGTTAACACGAAAAACATTAATTTTAGATGCACTGCTGTCGGCCACATTATTTTTAAATACCAAGAATGCTCATCATCTCATGCTTTGCATCAAAGTAGGCAATAGTCTTTTTTTTTTGGTATCCAAGAGGAAGCTAAAGAATATGGCTATATTCTTGTCGGACTTATTGGATTGTTCCTACATGAGTCCCTCTGGGAATAGCCAAATAATTAGAGGAAGGAAATATACCAGTGTTTCGCCCCATCCGCACGATGCAATAAGGATACAATCTTTTCCTTGTTCGATACAACAGTGAGTCGTAGCTGTAGCTTCAAGGCCTTGAAGGCTATCTTAACCAATGTAAATGGCAAACTACCGGGCACTACAGAGCATGCCGGTAGCCAATTGGTTTAGTCTATCCACATCTTCGTTGAGGGGGCTAAAGATGGCGCGTTCAACGAGCATCTCAGGACGGAGCCCAGCATCTTCGATATCCGAGGATATCTGGCTAATGAACAACTACCCACGTTTGCGATCCTTATTCACAACAGGGGCATCAAGATTAAATTACTGAGTATTCTGATATAGCCGCCGTGAATGCCAATGCTAGCCGTCGGCTCTGTTCCGTCACCAATGCGAAGCAGCCATTCGACATATGCTCAGTTTTCAGGATGACTGTTAACCCACATACTTTTACTCAACCTGAGTGTTGTCACCGAAGGCCAAATACAAGATCTTTGCAATGAAGCATCCCTAGTTTTAGCCTACATCTCACAAACGATGATTGGGAGCACCTGTCTGAAGCCACCTCCAAACATAAATACCCTACCACCGAATGGAGTGCCTTGTGCCATACTATCTCGAAGCAGCCTATCGATGGTAGCATCAAAGTAATGCTTGTGTTGCAATGGAGCCTCACCTCAAAAGACGATGCCAGTATTACGTATTCTTATCGCAGCACCTTGTCACATACTAAGATTCCAGATGGAGCGACAGTCATGATCTCTAATTGCTCCGCCTTGAGTGCCAACTCAAACTCTTGACACCTTTGAGATTAGATGATTGTGATGAGACTTTGGCAAATTCCATAGTCATATGGTTTACCTTTGGATAAAGAACTTTGCCCTTTCTGTCATATGCTAAAGGCTAGTACTTGAGTAACCTCTTGAGTAAAATATAGTGCTCAAAAGCCCCAACTATTAGCATTCAAGGAATGAGGCTACGGTTGGGGAAGGGGAGCGTGTGCTTTGTCCATGATTATGAGCAGCCAGCATGGCTCCTGTATTGGCCTATATTCTTATAAATATATTCTTTCTGTGTTGTTTTTAAATCAACAATCTAGCTCTCACGTAAATACACGAAGGTATCCCTGCAAATCTACAAGTCATTAGATCTGAATGTATGAACGTTGATGTGTATTGCCATTTTGTTGTACAATCCGCGCTTGAACATTTGGGCCTTGAGACAATTTAAATAAATGAAAGTAATATATTCTTGGCCTCTTGATGAACGCCTCTATTAAAGCCGAAATCTATTGAGAGTACTATGTAGCAAAATCAAATATGCAATATGCAACTGCAATAACTTTTGAGGATCCGCTTAATTTTATAACTTTTAAGTTGCTTTAGGTGGGTTTAATAATGTCAATGAATACTAACCAACACTTTCAGATGAAAAACAATATTGAAAATAGCTGGCTAAGCGACAACTTTCATACCGAGCATTATCAAAGCTTGAGGATGCTAAAAAAAGAAGTTTGTTACTTAGTGAAATATTCAACGTAAACCCAGTTGGTAGGTATCGTGGAAAAGACCATTCATATTTATTGTATTTGCAGATATCCTTGCTATCTACCCCAACGTCATGTTTGGAAGCGTCCATATCCTGACCATGATCGAAATCTGTCTCAATTAAAAATTTAAAAAAATCTGCCTTTAATTGATAAACATCCGCATACATAAAAAACCGGCCCGGCAAAGTTAGGAAAAAAATTCAATACGAGCTTGAGCCCTTATGCTTCTCAATAGCACAACAAGGTATCAATGGACGAGCACTGGATACTAACTAGGGTGGGCGTAATAAAGATGCTTTTATTTGAGGAAGGTCGATCTACCAACACGCATTGGAGTAAGCCTAATACTCTGCAAAAAAAGACGCGAATAAGGTGTGTAACAGGATAGGATCTAACCTTATTCGACTGTAAAATAGTACCAAGTCAGACGAACTTTTGACAAAAGTGAAGGGCCGAACCGGGAATTGAACCCGGGACCTCTCGCACCCTAAGCGAGAATTATACCACTAAACCATCCGGCCATCGCTTGATGTTCGCTTACTTAAATAACATTATATTTCCAAATAGATATAGTCACGTGATAGCCACTACAATATCTTGGGCTTTCATTTGGCGCTTATGGGTCCTCGTTATCAAAAAAAAAAAAAAAAAAAAAAAAAGAAAAAAGACGTCTGTTTACACAATTTACACAAGCTAGGTATGCATATGTGAGAACATCGTCCGAGACATTTTTTTATTATTATTTCATATTTTCATTGTTTTGTTACTCTTCTCGGCAGGTTCTTTGGGGTGGAAGGACGTGAATATGATTTACAACGACGAGTATACACATATTTTTTCTTCTATTACTTTGTCATAACATAAAATAATTGAAAATGATAAATAATAAATTAATTAATAGAAAGAGTACATTAAGAAAAAGAAAATTATTATGTCCGATTAATTTGTTGATCTAATCAATAGTAGCTAAACCATGCCATGACCGGAAATTAAAGGATCAACGAAAGCGAAAGGGAAGGAGTCAAAAGTTCACGATACAATGGCGTGGAGGGACGGAGCAAAGAAAAAAAATGAGAAAAGAGTAAAAGATAGGGAAAAAAGAGAGAGAAAAAGGACAATGTTAATAACGGATCACACCCAAAACTTCCTGAATTCCTTATTTATAATTTCAATGGATCGTGCTTCGTGCTGCCTCATCATATAATGCTTCATACTCTGATCCACCAGTGTGCTGTTGAGGCAATGGCGTTCCGTTAGCTTGTGAACTACTGCCATTGCCTCCGTTCGTGTAGCTATCGTCCGGGAACCGAGCACGGATCCTCTCAAACATCTGCACAATCTTTTCTTCATTTCCATTGAAAATGTCCTTGACTGTGTACCCATCCGTTGAGATGCCAACACGGTCCATGAACTTGAATGCAGTCAGCAAATTCTCAAGCATCTGAAGAGTATATGTAGCATTGGGAATTCTCTTGTCGACCTGCTCGCCAGACAGCTGCTCAATCAGCCGTACAAGCACTACTCCTGAACGCAGTGACTGTGTCATATCATTGACGGGTCCCACTGAAGGAGGCAAGTTACGGTTGATCCAATCAACGTATTGTTCTTGCGTCTATTTCAATTAAATCCATATGTAAGTGACCAAAAAAAAGTGTTTAGATTATATGAGTATAAAAGACGATGTTTGAGAGAGTTTACAAAGCCGACTTACCCAATGTCCACCTTGATGGCTAGGGCCTTGACCAGATGAAGAAAGGCTGTCATGACCCTGGTGATGGAATGAGTCCAGCTCACTATCAGGCCGTAAGTTCTTAAGATGCTGAGAACGTTGCTGTTGGCCATATCTTTCATCGTCCTCATCTCGCCATGGATCACCATCATTGTTATGACCGTCATCCTGGTCAGGTTGCACAAAGCTATGCCGCTGGTTTTGCTGATGTTGATGATTAGGACTTTGACGGCCAAGATTCTGGGACTGGTGCATGTTATTGTTCATCCCATTGCCGTTGTCATTCTGGTAATATTGCTTAGAATTCCCCTCATATTCATCCTGGAGATATCCCTCACCGTCGGAGTCCGGATCATCGTAGTCTAACATCTGCTGTTGCTGCTGTTGTTGTTGCTGCTGCTGCTGCTGCTGCTGCTGTTGTTGTTGTTGTTGTTGTTGTTGCTGCTGCTGCTGTCGTTGCTGCTCCTGCTGATACTTTTGATCATATTGCTGCTGTTGCTGTTGCTGTTGCTGAGCACGCATGGGTTGGCCGTTTGGACCGATGGCACGATTACGCCTAGAAGGCGAAGGTGGTCGAGGAGCCATCTTTCTGGCAACATGGAGTGGGATCGTAGGAATATTACTGGATGAGATCACAGGGGCAGTGGGGTCACGACCGATGGTAACCTTCATGAGGGCCTTGAGCCATCCTTTCATATCATGCTCACTTTCAGTATAAAAATAAAAGCTGCGGAGTTCTTCATGGACTGCCTTGAAGCAGTACTTTCCTGCATAGATGTTTTCATCTTGAATAATCTTGTATCCAACCAAATTGATGTAGTCCTTGCTGGCGTTCTCCTTGGGCGAGTTCATGTAGTAAAGAGTTACGCCCTTGAGCATGAACCAGCGGCTCTTCCAAGTCCTATATGTGTCGCCTCTCTTCTTAAGCCATCCAGCATAATCAGGTTTCCCAATAAGCTCCAGAGATACAACCTTGTCACTTGGGTCTGCTTTACCATTCATTTGACGGTGACTGCTATCAGGAACATGCTGTTTCCGTTGTTGCCTTGGAGATGATGGCTCCTGATACTGATCAGGTGAAAACGGTTCTTGATGCACCATCTCAGGACTAGTTGGCATATTTCGAGGGTATTGATCCATTGACTGCTCCATCGATCGAAGTCCATAAGGTTGCTCATCAGAGTGGGCCGAGTTGGGTCCTCTTATTTGCTGAGACACTGGGCTAGGCATTTGTGGCGGACGGGGTGCGTTACGATCCCACTGACCACGCTGATGGTTTGACGTTGATGAGTATGCAGATGTGGCGCTTTGACGCTGACTGCCTTTAGGACCATTGGCTTCAGCCAAGCTTCCGCCGCTAGCAGAACCCACAGTGTCGGAACGAGATATTGCGGGGTTACGTCCATGCATATCATAATCTGAAGGCTGCTGGTGACGCAATGTGGGGGACTGAACAGATGAAGGGGGTGACATGGGAGCACTACGAGGATCTTGAAGGTTCTGCCGAGGATCATTCACGTAATCACTCCGAGGATCGTATGAAGCGCGAGGACTGGGTCCTCCAGCAGAAGCCATGCGTGGTGGAATGTTTGGTCCGCCACCATTTCCTCCAGCAAACATGGCACCGACTGAGTTGGTTAGGCCAGCATACTGACCCTTGGGTCCTTTGTCACCCTTTGTAAGCTGCTTCAATGTTGTGATTGCATTCATGATGTTGAAGCGTTTGCCAAACGAGTTGATTTCCAACTCTTTAAGATTGTTCAGGTTTAATTCCAACAAAATGGCGCCCGAGATTTCATTATCTGTATCATGAAGAGTTTAAAATTACAACAGCTTTAATTAGCCGCACTTTTTTTTTTTTTTTTTTTTTTTTTTTTTTCCTCATCTTACCAATAAAGCTGTTGACAACGCCGTCGAATCCGACCCAGCGCAACCAATAGGCCACCTGATCAATGTTCCAGGTTGAAGGGTGACCTTCCAATTGAGGGTCCTGCAGACTTTCCTCGATGGTTTGAGGCGAGACTTTGTTAGAGCCTCCATTGGATGTAGCATTGCCTGCATTGTTGCCTCCGAATGCAATTCGAGAACCGCCAGAGGTTGGACTACTAATCGTAGGACTCTGGTTGATGTGCATGTTGTTGAGACCGTTGCTGAGATTGTTCATGTGGCTACCATTCATATTGTTGCCTCCGTATTTATTGTTATTGATATTTTCATTATGATATGGATTGCGGTCGCCTGTGGGTGAATTGGACTGATTTTGGTCAGGAGGATCTATTGTAAGAAAGTGGGGACAGGGCGTCAATATTTGATAAGGGAGTTTTTTTTTTTTATCTGGTTCTTGGACTCTTATCTAGGACCTCGCCCGAGATCATGTTTAAGAGAATTCGATCATTATGAAGATAATGGCCACATATTGAGGAAAAAAAAAAAAGACTCTGACAACATGCACCCAATTCTTCCTTCATACAGGCTGGGAATAAACATCAGGCGCTCTCATTATTGAGAAAAAAAAAAACTTGGCCTAACTGCAATTTAAACCAGAGCCAAATTGATAGATAATATTTTTCATTTTGCCAAGTTGAAAGGGAGAGATGAAGGATGTACCGGGCCCTTATTGGTGGTAGGAGAAGACAGAGCCATAGATCGGTAGACCCTGGTCATTCTTATACACATTTGCATTCACATATACTCCGACAAGGATAAAAGGACTTACTTGGAACGGTATAGTTCTGCGGAAACAGACCCGTCTCGCCACGAACATTAGTACCCTAATTGATGATAGTAGAGAGTAAAAAGATATACATTAAGGACTACTTTGGGCTGTATCTGGTGTTCTGCGTGTAAAAAAAAGGAGGTGAGGAGAGTGAGAGATGAGGAGGTCAATTAGCTTACCTCCCACCATCCGTCCTGGTAGAGTTCATCTTTCTGGATGACAATAATGGGCTCGCCAATGTGAAAGGAGATTTCATCTTCGGCCTCGGCCTCGAAGTTGTGAATGGCCCAAACGGTCTCGGGCATGATGTATTATTTAGTCGCGTGGTGATTCGTTACTTGCGTTTTTTTTGTATGTACTTTGGACTGTTTGTTGTTTCTTTCAACAGTACAGAATAGTAGACTGATGAAGAATAATGATAGTAATAAAAAAGAAAGAGAGCAATTGTGGGAGTGTGTTAGCTGTTATTTTGTATACAGTTACAGACCACAATGTGAAAAGAGTAAGAGAGAAAAAGAGCATAGGGAGTGTTTTGTAGGAAAGAAGGGGGGGAGAACGAGAGCGAACACAGACAAAATGGAGCAGAATCAGCTATAAATGTTGTTTCCCAGCAAACATTGTGGTTCTTGTCTTTATCATCATATTTCAATATGCATTTTGCAATCATTAGAAAAGGAGCGAAAAGTCAAAATACGACCACATTCAGAGAAAAAAAGAAAGAAAGAAAGAAAAAGCTAAAGTGGGAGAGAGAGTCAATAAAGACAAATGACAATGTTGAAGACAATGGCAGAGTTGCGAATTTAGAGAGAAATGCGAGGGCGCCAAAAGTGTGAAGAGTTCTATTGCGAGTATCGTGGTCGGACCAACTCCATGCCATCATGCCATGGTATCCCGTGCTTTCCGTTACATGCATTACTCTCGGAGTAAACAGGCGATTATCTTGCCTGAAGTATTATTTTATAAATCATGATTGATACATGACCCTTTTTTTAATGAATACTGAAATGGCCCGTTATTGAAGCACACCAAAACGACGTCAATGAAGAAAACAGTAAAGAGAAAAGGGGAGCAAGCAGGAAGGAGATGAAAATAGAGTATGATGAGACCCCGAGGAGGAGAGGGAGGAATGACAATGATATATTGGGCTAAGATTGATAAATGTCAATGTACAGATGTACAGAAATATGCAGATGGGTGCAGAAATGTGCAGTGGTCATTTATCAATTAACAGCAAGGATTGCCATACTTTCTTAATTAAATAAAAATGAAAAAGTTGTTGTCAAATTTCTCTCTATTGTTGAAGGGAAAGGGGCATCAATTCGTAAAAGTTGTTTGGTTCGGTCGTTTTTGGTCGTTTTTGGTCGTTTTGGTCGTTTTGGTCGTGAGGATGGTGGCGTGGAATAGCGAGAAGAGGCGTTAATGAAATGGTATAATGAAGAAAATAAAAATATACAGAAAATAAATTAAAGTGACACAGCTTGCAGGGCAAGTGCACGGAAAGGGAAAGGAAAAGGGAATGAGGAGGGATGGAGATGAATGAGGAAAGGAAAGAAGAAAAAAAAAAAAAAAGGAATGAACCAGCCAGAATGATTGAGCAAAGTAATGATGACTGACTCTTTTTTTTTTTTGTGAAGTGAGCATAAACACACTCTGTAGGCTTAGTATAAAAGGATAACAAAAGAGAGGAGAGCGCGCGGCAATTGTTTGTTTTGACTTGCAGCGATAATTCGTTTAATGAGCAGCCTTATTCTTTCACCCCCAAATTTGCAATTGCTGCAATTACAGCAAATGAAAGTGTTCCTGAACACTTTTAAATTCAGGAACAACTTCATTTTATACATGTGCCCCTTAGACCTAAAAAAAAAAAACCAGTCATTGTGTTCTTTTAAATCTCTTAATCTCTCTGACCAAAGGGGCAGGGATTGCAACAAGAAAGGAGTATCCACAACGCCCATCTTCATGTATTAATACATGTACATCATGTACACTTGGTCTGGTTATCAAATTGCCCTTATTCAGCCAGGATCAATTCTACATTGTTTATAGGCCTAAGCGGATCCTTTCTTTCACTCTTTTTTAACTTTATACCACAAAAATACATAACCGATAGAATTATTACAACATCTTTGAATCCTGGCTCTCATCCGCAGATGAACACAGGGCTCCTCTTTTTTTTTCTCTTCTAGTGACCCTTAGACTCTGCTTGCTGCATGTATGCTTATTTCCAAGACTAAGAAAGGAGTGAGAGTATACTCTGCATGAAGCTATTTCTCTGTTCATGTAAAGTAATGAATCTTTTCACATCACTCTTTTTTTTTTTTTCTGCTCACTTTTCAATATTCAGTTTGGAGGTCAGAAATCAACCCATATTTCGTTTTGTATCGAATGCCGCCTTTCTGTAGCCTGGGAGCATCGGTCAAGATGTTTTTGTTTCCTTACAGGTGTATTCATGTATAGTAGCAAGAAATGTTATCATTCTGGATTAGAGTATAAAAATGCCTGACTAGGTGAAACAATTAGCCATATACAACCATGTTGGATTGTTAATGCTTAATAAGAAAAAAAAGCTTAAAGTTTCCTTCATCTGTCGGAAGTAGCAATAATTAATCAAAAAAAACCTTTTAATATGCCATGTGAAGGCCACATTGATGGATTCTACACTATAGTATAATGAGCTGCTCTTCCTTATAAAACAGAGAATACATTCATTTCTAATAGTCTTTTCTTTTTCACTACATGTACTTCTATCCTCTCTTATTAGAATACGTATTGATGTTGTTAGAAATACAGACATTCATAACGGCCTGCGATGGACCATCCTTCCAAGACTCACCTAACCCTGTTTCAGTTTTTAGTTTACATGTACTGCTGCTGGAGCCAAGGTGTCGCATAGTCTTGTATTTATGTCTGTTTTTTTATTTTTGAGAAAATTCGCTCAAGAAACCCGTGCGGCATACGGCATGGAGTTTCATCTTTTTTTTTTTTTTTTTCTTCAAGACCCTGTCCTCTTCTTAGCATGTTTGTCAACTGCAAAAAGAGCTTTCCTTTTTTTTTTTTTTTTTTTTTTTTTTTGTTTTTTTTTTGTTTTTAGTCCTTAATAGTCAACTGATAAGCCAATAGATCAAATACTTTTTTTTTTTTTTGCTCATTAGTTTTAATGTTCAACTTTATAAACCGTACACATTGTACAAATTAAATGCAATGTCGCACGAGAGAAACTATGTAACGAACCATGCGATAGAAAAGTATACATGTTTACAGCTGTCCGAAACTACCAGTAGAATATTCGATAGCAGGTCTACATTCTCACAATCGCCTCAAGAAAAGTAAGGGGAATTCAAAGCTGGAGTTGTTCCACTTTTTTTTTTTTTTTTTTTTTTTTTTTTAGCCGCACGAGCAAAGTATCTACTGACATTTCAGCAAATATACTTCGCATCTGAAGTTTTCAGATATGAATTTACGTTATCAGCTTTTTTATTCTTTATTTTTAAATCAAAACATCGCTGACAGCATTTTGTCGCTCCTCTCCTTGTACAATAAATAATGCCATTACCGGACAACTATCCATATACTATTTACAACTATTACCAAAGACCCTTATTTCCGTTACCAAGAAAATAAAGCTTGCAAAGAAAAACACGTATATATATAATTTATATTACTAGATACATCAATTTATTAATGTTGATTCGCGGCCCTACCAAACAAAGCCCAAACTCCAGAAAAAAAAAGAAAAAGAAAAAGAAAAAAAAAGAAAAAGAAAAAGAAAAAGAAAAAAAAAGATAAGGAAAAAAAGAAAAAGAAAAAAAAAAAGATTCTTTTTTTGTCTTGAAAGTCTCAGTAACCATTAAAGTGCTTGCTCTGCAAAGGTCAGTTCAATTACGATAGGATATATTGAGAACTTGTAGCTTGTTTCCTACAACAATAGATACATATTTCTATATATACAACATCCTGACAAGGACGGACAATCATGTCGAATCTCATTACATTGCTCAGATTACTACCTATAAAAATAAGGCTGCTTGTTCCTCGGAGCATAAGCCATCGTCTGAGCAGTGGCAGTGCCACTGGGTTGACTGGATATGCGACATGCATAGACGCGCCGCGTTAATGTTTTTACTTTGGTACTAAATCGAATTATTTATTGCTCTCACTTTTTTTTTTATTATTATTATAAACTTTCCGACCTCGCCCCACTTCCTCTTCATTTCTCTCTTCTATTCATTTACAGCTTCATCAAGGCATATTGTCTCCTATCTCTACTCATTACTTCAACCTTTGTTCGATTGCCAAAGACAAGTTACAAAGGAGAACAAGGATAGACCTAGCTCGAGTTACTTTTTTAAAAGCACAAAAGCATCAAGATCTACTGCGACATGACCGGGATGTCTCCAAAACCTACCGTGGCTGATGCTGCTAGCATCAATAATACAACTAATACTAATGCCACTTACGCAGAGGGACTCAACGAGATCCGGGATCGTATGATGACTGTAGAAAGCCAGCAGAACCAGCCAGCCAGTACCACAGCCCGAGGATTGGATACTGCTGGCAACCGTATGTTCGCAGCTGGTAATAAAGTCATGGAGGTTCATGAAATGGGTGCGCTCGGTTTATCGACGGTTAAGAGGGTCTTGGGTGATAATGCCAAGCCAGTTCTCAATAGCATGATTCAGTTGGCAGACAAGATTGTCGATGTCGGAAAAGTGGTGCCAATCGTAGCCCCGGTCTTTGTCATCTTGAAGGTTAGTTAATGACTTGAAAAAAGGCTTTTATGGGTACTTGAGCTACTCTGTATGTGACACCGTTTCCTCACCACTAATTTAATACATCTGCCCAAAATATGAAATAAAAATAAAAATATTAGATTATAATTGATGCCGAGCAAAAGGCGCGTGATACCGATGAAAAATGTCAGGATTTGATGGAGCGTATCAATTTCATGGTTAGTCATCTACTTGTTTTGGAACGCATTGAAGTCATGGATATACTCCGGACAGTCATGCAACGAGTTCAGGATGTGCTCAAGGATGCCGCGGCCTTGATTGAAGCCTACAGGAAGCAAGGCAGGGTTGCCCGGCGGTTGAAGATGTCTAATACCCAAAACTTTGAGAGCATGGCCGAACGTATCTCTAGCTGCTCCTCTGATTTGATGATGAGTCTGCAGATCCAGCAGACGGGCGACCTTTCCGTCCTGAGGAGAGCGGTCCCTAGGGACCTAGTCGCCGAGAATTTCATTAAAGACCATGGAGGACAAGAAGCCATTAATGTGAGTGCTTTCCCTATTTGTATTCATGAGGAGAAAGGATATGGTGACGAATACTGAAGATTTTTATTTTTATTATATTAGAACAATCCTACACTTGTCAAAGAGTTTGCAGAAAAAATGCATTTGGCTATGTCAGACCAAGTTATGACTCAGATGAGATCTAATTTGCAGGAAGTGATGGCTCAGAACCAGCGTCAGATCGAAGAGTTGATTCGCCAGTCCTCTAGCACTAACGTCGCAGATACCATCAAAACTATTGCAAATCAGCAGCGAGAATGGGAATCTGAGCGGAAGCTAACTTGTGTGCAATGCAATCAAGATTACAAAATTTCTGCTAACGGTCCCCAAGCATGCGGTTTCCACTCTGCGGTCGCCAACTATGACCGATACCGTTGCTGCAACCGGACGTCGCCATGTAAGATAGGGTATCATCAGCCAGAACACCATTCTAAATACCCTTACAGTAATTTTTATCCTTGGTCCTACGGTTTGCTCGGTTATTCGGATACTGTTGACTACTGGGCTAAGCTTATTGAAATCGACTTGGAGGAGGATGACAGTACGCAGAAGGTCCGTGTAGGAAAGCTGCTTCGGTGGAAGACTTGGGGTGAGCTTATCCCGATCCCTCTAATGCTTGTCAACATTGGCCACGTCAGGGATGATCTTCTGCATTATCTTGAAATCCTTGATGCAGCTGGAATAGAGGATGAACGGAAGAGAGTGCTAAGAACCGGTAACACACGTATTTTCAAGAATGCTCCTGAAGGCGAGACAGAGGCTTATTCAATGGGTGAATGGATTCTGGATCAAGGGACGCAACAAATCACAGGCATGAAACTGACTGTCAAGGTCAAGAGTAGTAAGGAGCCAACAGTATGTATCTTACCAATCGACCCCAAGGAAGTCAGTATGGCGCCTGGAAAATCCCTCGAATACCTATCTAAGGGAGAATGGCAGGTTTACAAACCCGAGACGCCCTACGTGTTCCCAAAGACGCTTCAACTAGGCCCAGTTCTGCGGGAGACGCGCCTAAGGGAACCTAGGACATTCAAGACCAAAGCGCCACACGGCTATCCCGTTATTTTGAGCGCTCCTTCAGAGATGGTGGCTAACAATAACCAATTGGTTTCACGGCGGGATATTGATCGCTTCCTGGGGCACTGGCGCGCGCTCAATACTGCACCTCTATCGACTCAGAACCAAATTATCTTTTTGTCAGCAAAAGCCGAATTCCGCCTTGTGGGTGAGAAGGAATACAAACCCGTCAAATACTTCGGATTACGGCTGAATGCTAAGTTTCCACTTTCTGTGGCGCCGTCACAAGCGATCGACATCCCATTTGAGTTTACTGTTGACAAGCCGGAAAAGGTCAGAGAGGACAGAGACCACCTGGTCGCAATCAATTTTGCGCATTTGACTATTCATCATCCACTCCGCGTTCGGATCACTTTAACGGATATTGGAGGGCAGAGTATTTCACTTGTGCAAGAGTACGTTCACCTTGTCATGGGTATCACGCCTCGCAAAGAAAACGATATTGGTTACTTTTTTGTTGATGATATCGATATTAGTCAACGGACTCTTGTCACAATCACCAAGTCGCCTTCCCCTGACTACTTTCTTTCTATCTGTGCCAATCGAGAAGCTCCCATCAAACTGACTGTGACAGACCTTCACAAGATTGTATATAAGGCGCAACAGACGGGCGTCACTCAAGTTGATATGAAGTTGGGCCAGCATAACCTAGGAATTAACTGGACGATATGGGCTCTTGTGGACTTGAACTGTAGACGGGTATACGGGTTTAAGGTTCTGGTGTACCATGGCAAGAAGACTCCTGTTAAAACTTCGGCTTGTCTAGGATACGCGCCATGCCCACTCTATTGCGAAGATGATATGGAGACACGTCCGATCCAGTATGCCGAGGAGTCCAAGATTGTGCCTCAAGTTACTCATCGTGATAATGTAGTTGTAGTCGAGGATGATCCATACGATGACGATGTCCCTCCAGCCCCAGCCCCAATTCCAGCTCCAGCTCCAGCTCCAACTCCAGTCCCAGTTCCGGCCTCAACTCCTCTCTCAAGTTTCGCACCAGTTCATATTCCTGCTCTTGAGCCTATTATAGCTTCTGTCCCTCCACCCGCTGCAGCTACCGCGCCTTCCCTGTCTACTCCGTCCATTGTTGCACCGATGACTCCAATCCCAGAAGCAATATCATCTGGTGCGCCAGTGCCTGGAATGACCTCTATCCAGATTGCCACTGCCCCTTCTATTGATGCTCTCCAAGCCAAAGTTGCTGCTCTTGAGGCCCGCCTAGAAGCCGCCGAACGCCATGATGCGCTTATGACTAAGATCCTGGCGCTAGAAAAGCGATTGGATGCAGCTGCAGCTGCACCAGCAACGCCTTCCGAGCCCGACAGAGTCTCAGTACTAGAGAATAGATTAGCTTCTATGGACCAGAAGCTGGATTCTATGAATATTAATTTGAGATTGTTGGATGGTAATGCATCCAGGTTAGCCATGTCGCTTGAAAAGATTGCTAACCTCCTGTCAAGTTAAAATGCGGATGACAAATAGATAAAAGAGAGGCAGTGATCAATGCAGCAAATACTTTTCGGCTACCAAACATAGTTCGCCAAGGATGCCTTTGAATGCTAAACCATACATCACTGCTCTTAATCAGTAGTGGTTTATTCAGATATAAGTAAGAGAGGGCTACAATGATGTCGAATAAAATTGTTAGACAGATGTTATAACCATCCCCTCCAGTAGGTAGCATCCAAAAATTTAGACATTTTGTCAAGATGCACTTAGAGGGATCGGAGCGAGTCTATTTCAGCCTATGAATTGACAATGTAAGGCATGCTTCAATGACATCAGCAGTACTTTGAGGAGTGTTTGGAGTAGCGAGTGCGGTCAAGGACTTAAAGGATTTTGTAAATAACAAGGCCTACAACTAATTTATGGCAGATCAGACTGCCTAATCAGCGTAAGTGAATCGGATGAAATTTTACTATGGTCGAACAAGAATTGGAGGCAGTTAACTAAAGGAAGCTGGAAATCAACATTCCAAACTTTCAAATATAAACCGAAACTTTATTCCAGGGCAAGGGGCACCCGTCTATTTTTGTTGCCATGAGAGATGTTACTCCATTCTCTTGCTGCATGCTCAAAACCGACTGGGTGGAGAGAAATAGCTGAATGAACATAGCAATTGTAATAATGAACAGCATACACAATTTTGGGACCCAATATCATTGCTTCTGGTGTCAATACGATCATTAAATGACAATCGAGCCATTTTGTCAATTGTATTGGTACTCTCTAGTAGTGTTGTATCTGTAGGCAACCTATATAATTAGTGTTTTGTATGCTTTCCTTTGACTTTGTAGGCTGCCTGGTGCCCCTTTGACACGCTCTCAATCAGTTTATGACAGGCCTCTGATAGAATCGCGTACAAGGTTGAGTGAAGTCAACAGAAAGCTCCTGGAGCAGCAAGGAACTATAAGCGAGCAGTGTCTTCCTTTGGTCACACATGAGGTGCCTACGCCCATTGTAGCAAAGCTACCGACGCCCTACGTGGCCAAAGTTCAAAGGACTAGACAATATTCGAGATCTTATCGGGAATAGCTCCTCTATGATATACCTGGAAGATATCCAATTAGACATAGTGAAGAAGGAAGAGCGTGCAGGTCGAAGAAGCCACCCCGCTGTTATTTTACCCAAGAACAGGGTAGTGTCTCTGGTATCGAGGCCACCGTCATATTATCCTAAGCATATTACCAACCGCCTTGGGTGCTTACCACGACATAGACCCAAAAGTAGGATAAAGTTCTACATGGATGACTTAAGGAAAATGACACAAGTCCTGTCATATCTTCATTGTTTAGATACCAGCCTTCCCTTATATACCACACGTCTACAAAGGCTCTTCCTGCTCTATATCAGCCCAAAGGCTGCTTTAGCATAAAGAGTTCATTCTTCAATGAAGCGAGAAGTGACTTAATTCTTTTGGCCACCCTGGTTAGTGTTATCAGCGTCGCCACTTTACAAACCTTTTCCCCTTCAAACCATGCAAAAGCAATAAAACAACCACACTTGGTATGGAAACACGACTGAATAGGCTCTTAAGGGGATCAACAATGGTGATTGGGTTATGTTGTATCTATCTCTAATTGGCTGTTGCCAATGTTACCTTTCCCTTCCACATTTACTTTTATTCCTACAAAATTTGGCCTCGGTATGGTTGTAGAGGTAGTGTAGTGCAGACATGTGCGAACTACACAGGAACACTGTCCTTTTATGCGGCACAATCACATCCCTTTGTTAGGGAGATGTTGATCATATAGCACTGCTTTTGTGGGCGGATATGTCCATATACTTGTATGGAGTGCCTCTGAGGAAAGCTACTTCCTGGCCACAGGGTCCCTAGATGCTTCTTTTCGGATGTTGCAGGTTGTGAATAAGGACGATCAATATCGGCATCGCTTGAAGTGAGGCACTAGACAAACGGTCATTAACGCTAGTAACGTCTGTATTCAAGATGAAAGTGGGTTGAGTGAAGTCAACAGAAAGCTCCCGGAGCAGAGAGTGGCTATAAGCGAGCAATGTCTTCCTTTGGCCGCACATGAGGTGTCTAAGCCCATTGTAGCAACGCCACCAGTGCCCTACGTGACCAAAGAACCCCTAAGCAGACCACCACTAAGACCCATCATTATAGACAGGTTCAAAGACAATGAGTTGGAGGAATAGTATGCCAGGCGGATCGATCAAAGAATACCGCTTTAAATGCAATGTGTGCAGCGAATGCACTTTTGCACGTGTCATTTCTTGCAGAGCTGCGACTAGGGAGAACAACAAGTAGCATGCGATTGAGAGCATCAAGTTAAAGACTAAAGCGGGAGGTGTTAGTTAGTTAGTTGCCATAAACAAGAGAATAATGTGCCATGTCCTTGTATAAGCTAGTACGCGTCAAGAGCAGTAGTGTACACATTAATTATCAGCCTCTGCTTTTATTCAATATCTCCGTGCAACTCTGCATGGCGTCTACACGTAGAAGGTATTCTTATATATTCCTCTGGATAAGGCTACATTCTGCTCACACAGTATATACAACAGCTCAGATATGCCTCGTAATATGGATCCACATCCGTAGTTCAGCTGATTGATCGGGATGAACCTCCATTCGATTAAGTTGTAAGCCACCATCTTTGGCATACATTTCGTTCCTTCCAGGCTTGATTTAAAAATCGCCGTTGTGCTTTTTCAGCGTCCCTTCAGTAAACAGACTTCTGATGCGTATGCTTTAGAGGATAACAAAAAAAAAGCTCAGACTTTGTTTTATCGAGAGGAGCCGTTCCTGAGGATGATGGTGGATATCAAAGCTTTTTTGATTTTTTGTGCGTGTTATCGTTCTGTTAAATTATTAGTTGCGATGTTTAGATGATTGCCTCTTTCTGCTCCACAAAGTCACGCATCCTGTATGATATTTACTTTCCATTGGCTTTTGCTCACGAATGGCCAGGCTGGATTTGAATGGTCGCCAATAAGAGCAATCGTCATTTTTTTCTTAATCTAAGACAGGTTTGTCTATTCCAGCCAGAGAGTGAATAAGGTAACGCAATTTAAAATAAAAGAGGACATGAAACGCTTTCGTATACATTTATCTTACCAGAGAGTAAAGATAGGACGAGAGGCCTTCTGCTATCCAGCACGTACCAATCTTGGATGCTTCGACCCCATGCTTAGGGATTTTGACATTCTATAGGCTAGTATGCTCCACTTTTAGTCCCTGGTCCGGATCCTGTAACTTCTCGGTCAACATTGCTATTGCCATTCTGACTTATGCTGTCACACATTGGCTGCTATTGGCTCATCATCGTCATCCGTTCGTTAGTGAGCCACAAAGGGGTGAGTTATTATTGATGTGAGCTTACATTAAGATCGATTGGTAGTAGTTATTATTCCCATGAATGATAGTCAGTGGTAATCATTATTCTCATGAAATGATGCTAATGAAAAATAGATCAACACAGGAACCTCGTTCGCTTACCTTATCGTCTATTATAAAATCCCTTGCAATTGTTTCTTCAGTATCATTTTATCCATTATCTTTTTCTCTTTCTCTTTCTCTTCCTTTCTTTCTACTCCTTCTCTGCCTCTCAAGGAACCTTCGACATCCATCAAAAGTCATAAAAAGATCTCATGAAGCTCTATTCTGCAATCGCTCTTGTAGCTCTTACAAGTCTGGCCTTGACTTCTAAATCTGCACAGTCTGCTCCCCTGAACAGTTGCATGACGTGTCTCCAGAGCTCTCTCTCATCTTTATCTGACTGCAAGGGTCTTGATATCCAAATCGGTAACTTGAATCCTGGCAACAACCCTTCGGCTTTCGCAACCTGCCTCTGCTCTTCCTTGGATGCAGCCTGGGTCGATGCCTGCACTGGTGCAGAGCACTGTGATCAAGATATCCTGTCATTCAAGAACACATATAGCGAAAACATTCAAGCGGCAGGATTGTCTTGCCAACCCACACCGGTCTTTTTACCTGCAAAATTTTAAACAGCAGTGATAAAGGAAATAGCAAAGCAATAATAAATATACATGTATATATATAAAAAGAATATTGGAAATGTCCCAATGAGATTACCAAATTCAGTACCCTTCTTCCTTTATTGACTGTCGTTTTAGTACCATGGAAAAGCGTCCATTAGATGCGCTTGCCGGTGGTCTAGCGACATCAAAGTATTTATTAAGAACTAAGCAAGATCTTCTTCTTCGACCGTTTATATCAGAATAGGTTGTAAAGCCAGCATAGGTGAATCGGATGAAATATTACCATTGCCCAACCAGAGTTAAAGGGCAATTAGTTAAAAAGAAGGCAGGGGTCATAGCGCATCGTTCTCTCACCATCTTCATATTTTTCTCCACAATTTGATTACATGGTCGATATATAAAAAAGACAGCTCCTGACCTAATGCAATGATATTGGAGCTCATTTCTCCTCAAGCACAAACAAAATGATCAAATAATCAAAAACAAAGAGATGTGCTTTAATGAAGACGGAAATGCGAATGCCTATTTTGTAACCCTTTCATGAGTTTGAGAGAAGAAAGTACATGTATATATATATTAAACACTTGCAATATGCCGCCGATTTTGTTTGAGCTGGGCACTGTTGCACAAATAAAGAACATTGGGCAAAGGCGAAAGTGACATGTGCTGAGTAATAATAATTATAAAATTATAAAACTTGGATACTCTCCACTTTGTTTATACCTTTGTCATACCATGTTACTGGTGTTGGAGTAAGGATCACTAAAGTCAAGTGTTCTTCCTCATCTCCATCCTCCTCATTTTCATCTCCATCCTCATCTCCAAAACCTCATCTGTCATCACGTTTCTCCAAGACCTATTAAAAGAACAGTTATGAAATTCTCAGTTGCTCTGATCATTGCATTCGCGTTCACTGTATCCTCAGTTTCGGCACAGAATGACGGCAACAATACAGATGGAGCTATATGCACGACTTGTCTCCAGGATTCACTTCGTGCTCTTCCACTCTGTAAGGATCTCAATATCACCATGGGAAGCTTTAATCCAGGAGAATCTGTTGCTTATGCTGCATGCATGTGTTCTTCCTTGGATGGAGCATGGGTTGATCTCTGCAAGGATCCTTCAAAATGCGGTCCTGACGTCGAATCTTTCAAGGGGACATACGCCGCCACGATGGAGCAAGCTGGATTAAGATGCAATGGAACGACGCCAACTTTTATTCCTCAACCCACAGACCCTGTAGAGCCTAGCTCTGCACTTCCAACTGCCTCCGGTAGTGGGCCTTCAATGGCTTCCCCTAGTGATAAGCCATCGTCCAGCATCGTTGGCGCAATGCCTTCGACATTTTTCATGCAGCTTATGGGTGCTGTGTCAGTTGCTGTTGCTATTGGAGCCAGCTTTATCTAGAGAAGGGAAATTATAGTAATAGTTTATTAAAATTACATCGGCTCTGGTCCTTTTTTACAATGATGGAGAGGAAAACATGTACATCTCAATTATAATGCATACTTCTTGGACGCGATTCATTTCCAGGGTTCAGTCTTCGTTACATTGTTGTATACATGTGCATGTCTATTTATCTACTAGAGAAAGTCGACAAATGTTATCTGAATAGAGAGTACTTTATCCACTTTAAATCCTTGAAAAGATATTTGTCAACGACTTTCTAGCGAGGACTCTACTACGGCAATTAATATAGGCTTGATTGGCTTGTCATTCTAACTGCCTTGTTCTTCCTACATCGTTTGCAAGTGTATGTCAAATATAAACTTTTACCTTTCAAATTAGGAATATACAGTATAGAAAAGTGCACTTGGTTGCTATAGCTGCTGGCGCAGTTGCTATACAAATGCAGCCACTGGCTGACAACTTATTATTTTAGGGTGGCTCAATCAAATATCGCTAGTAGCAGACGTGTACAACAGTGTCAAAGGGAAAGTGACTAGTCTAGCCTAGCCTGTCCATGAATCGTTAGGTGTGAGGGCATTTGAAGTTTTTGTCCTACAGCCAATTAATGTAGTTACGCTTTGCTTGGAATTTGAGACTTTGCATGGACACAACAGAGAGAAGGTGGCTGAGGACAAAGTAGTGTGCACACGCGCTTTTTATAAAGATGTATTAATCCGAAAGTCGTTACTTCAGAAGAACTTGGAGTGGATTGCTTGTTTGGAAAGGGAGGACACCTTTCCACAAGTAAGAACGCTTGAGTCCAAGATTCATTCTAGAATCAGCATGTGTATCAATGTGTACAGTATTTGAAGGCAGAGGCAGGATAGCTGTCTATTTTTATCGACATACAAAAAAACGAAGAGGAACGTGCAAAGTAAATGAAATTGTCCACAGACAGAGAGAGAATTTTTATTTGTTTCTCTTTATTCCAATTAAGCTCATGCTTCTGAGCATTTAGCCCTCACTACACTGCCTCACTTTTCTCCCATTGTTTGTATGTCGACGGTTGGTGAAGGCTCTTTATTCGTCTACCTGTGCTCTCTTTCTTTTATTTTATGCTCTTCTTAAGACGCCGGGACTAAATTACTCTTAGCAGATCGCTCTCGATTGAACAGTAGAAAGCCGACCATGGTGCATATTTGCTTGTTGTTTTTCGTATTTAGAGTTGTTGGTGGCAAAAAAACAATGGCGTTGTTTATCTTTTGAAGAGTTCCTTCAACTATAAAAAAGAGACAAACGTCTTGCTTCTCCCACCATCTTCAATCATCTCACGTCAACTCCACCGCTTCCTCACAGACGCCTTTCGTAAATTATACGTTCACATACACATACACACCCATACATATATAATAACATCACACAATGCGCTTCCAAAACGTCGTTGCCTCTATCCTGATCGTGGCTCTTGCCTCGTCTTCGTCCATGGTCGCTGCTCAGGCTGAAATGTCCGAAGCCTGCGGAAACTGTTTGACCAAGAGTGCCCAGAGCGTCAAGGCTTGCAACGGTTTTGATCCCAACATGGATCCCGCCAAAGCGGCTGCAGATAAGACATGCTACTGCACTATGGCCTCAAACACCGCATGGGTCGAGAAGTGTAACAGTGATTGTGGTGCAGATTTCACCAGTTTGGTCATCCAGGGTTTCAAGTACGGCAAGGATACTTACTGCAAGGGTGTCGATGTTAGCGCAAATGGTAATGCTGGATGTGCCCTCAGCGTCTCCAAGTCTGCCGGTGTTGCCATGGCTTTGGCTGGTGTCTTTGTCCAGGCTATTTTGTAAAATACATTCTAATTAATAATAAGAAATGTTCTTCGTACACCATGCCTGAACGAACCATGCTTTGGGTGCTGACTGATGGATGTGCCGAGCGATGTTATCTGACTAATATCTCTTGATAAAGAGATATAGCTGCGCCGCATAAAAGGATATTGTTCCTGTGTAGTTCGCACATGTCTGCACCACCACTACCTCTACAACTATACCGAAGCCATGTATTAAATGTTTTAGCTGTCATTTGGGTAGTACAGGAGCATTTGTCTTTATTTCAGCAGATGCCACATGAGGCTAATGACAAGTACATACAAAGAGATGGAAACGAAGAGATCGATGAGTATATAAGGAAGTCCATATATGGGGGAGAGAGCACTCTGATCAAGACGATCGAAAAAAAAAAAAAAAAAAAAAAAAAAAGAGCACAAGAAAAAGCGGCGCATTCTTTTTCACAACACAACAGGGCCGGAAATGTCTTTTTTTTTTTTTTTTTTTTTTGGCAGAACCAAGTTGATAGTAGGAAATAATTGCCTTATCACTAGTTCTTTTCTTATCTTTTTTTTTTTTTTTTTTTTTTGTCTGTTTTGATGGGCTGAAAGAGTTATCCGTAATGTATGGGTGATGCGCCTTTAGGAAAGACATCCTTAAAGACATTAGAAATGGTAAAGAAAAAAATTGGACAGAGGAGCCCAGGATGATTTGCACCGCCCAACCATGCCTAAGTCCTTTCTAACTCTAAATACAATCAAAACTAAGAAATGAACCATGGAATGCAGGCCACATAAATGTTCGCCGTCCTCCACTCCCCTTCCTTTTCAGATCTTTTACTTCAATCTTCAACCTTTTTTCCCCTTCTTTTAATCATTTTGTAGTAGATCCTGTCAACCAAGTACGTCGCATTTTTTTTTTTTTTTTTAGATATCATTTGAAATCGTTCATGCGTTATCAGTCCTTTTTCACGTCAATACTTGTCCTTGTCGCTGCTGTCGTCAATGCCCAAATGAACCCTGCTATCCCCTCACAAGCCTGTAACGACTGCATCAATTCCAATATTCGTTCACTCTCCCCTTGTTCCACGATTGAATACAGTGGCAACTATGCAGTTCCAAGTACACTGGATGCGGAAAGCAAAAAATGTGCCTGTGTTCAGGCATCGACAACCTCATGGATCACCTCTTGTCAAGGCGAGAGTAAATGTTCTAGTTCCTTTGTCCAAACCATTTTGCAGTCTTATGAGGTGGTGAAACCAAAGATCTGTGAAGGCGTTGATATCAATTCGTTAAACAATCCCAGTAATACGGCACATTTATCTACTACTCCTTTTAATATAGCTAGAGCCACTGCCCTTGGGGTCACTGTGGTGGCCATTGGCCAAGTGCTGTAAAGTATAAATAGTAATAACAATAATAATATACCCCATTCAAGGCAGAAATGATGTTTCTATTCTTATTGCTATTTCAGCTTTTTTTTTCTTTTCTTTTCTTTTTTTTTTTTCTTGATTCTTCTAGTTCTATATCACTATGTAATAAATCATTCACATTCACATTCACATTATTATTATTATTATTATTATTATTATTATTATTATTATTATTATTATTATTATTATTATTATTATTATTATTATTATTATTATTATTATTATTATTATTTTTTCTTTCAAAAATACAACTTATTTTAATCGAAGAAAAAAAGGGTACTGTATCTTGAGGCTTGAGGCTTGGTTTCATACGAATTGTAGGGAAAATATATTTGATTGAACATGTTACATGTAAATAGCGCTAGGGTGTCAAGTTCTCAAGGAGTGTTAGTATGGTCTGACATGTTCTGTGGAGACCAGAAGGACAATTACAGCAATAGGTACAGTAGCGACAATAGCAACAGCGGTGCCAACGCCCGAATTTTACAAATGAAAACAAGCCAAACAATGCATTCACCTTAAACCCCCTATCCGCTTCCAGAGTTGCTATACTTCTTCTTGGTATTATGGCGACTCGGATGATGGTTTAAGAGAGTAATTCATTTTTTATCTCCATGTCCGTGGATGTCAGATAGTTACTTTCTTCAATTCAATAAAAGTGTTCTCGGTTGAACTATACGCATATGGTTTAGGTCAAATGTATAAAGGAACAGTCAGCAATATGGGCTCTCTACTTTCTGCTTTGACGCGCAACGATGTCATTTTTTTTTTCTGGATCTGAACAAACACTTAGGAACTGTTTGTGCAACGTATATTATCTATGATGCTGTTAAACCGGCCGATCGGAAGCCATGCCCCTTTCATGTGTTTATGGAAGAAAGTGAAATCATAATGATGGCCTTTAGGATTGGCGTTGAAGGTATAAAAAGATGCCTTGAGCAAGGTCTAAACCAAGCCTTTAATTTTCTTGTTTAACATATTTTATCCTTTTCTAAACTTCAGCATGCATCTCCGATCCCTGTTCATTTCAGCAACTGTAGCAGGCATTACAGCTGCACAGTCAGCACCATCCGCACTACCACCGTCGCCTATGTCCCCAGCGCCTACAAGTACCCCAGCGCCAGGCGCCCACAATAAGGAATGTGCAGAATGTCTTCGGAAGAATATCCAGTCAATCTCCAACTGCGCGAGCTATAGTGAGGTACCTGGATCCAATGCGACAGATTCAGGGGCTAAGAGATGTTTTTGTGCATTAGCATCATCCTTTCATTGGCTGACATCATGCCAGAACGACCAGAGTGGATGCCCAGCAGCGTATGTAGAGCTTAGTATGGATGCGTATAATAAGACCAAGGGAGCGATGTGCGCGAATGTTGACATGGAGGGTGCAGGAAGAACAGTCATTACTTCAAGTTTTGCGGTGGTATTAGTTTTTGTTACAACCTTAATTGTAATTATGTAATTTTGTAATTAAAGCATTCAATTATCGAGCTATTCAATAAAAGAAAAAGCAGTCCTATCCTTTTCTTTTTTCCGCCCATTTGGGCTTTGCCACTGTTCTTTCTTTCTTTTTTTTTTTTTTTTTTTTTCTTTGTCTCTTCCCTTCTCTTCCCTACTCCTTCTTTCATACCTGGATAACTTACATACCAACATCACTCCCGAAACATACTCAGCCTTATCTGAACCAACTCTGTCATGTCCAAAGAGCACTGCTTTTACTGCTTCGATGCCCTTGTTGCTTACTTTGAATTAAGGCCTGTTGCAGAGCCTACTTTTGAAAATGAAGAATAGTTAGTATTCATTTCTTCTATAATTTCTTCCATGAGCGAATGAAAAAAAAAAAAAAAAAAAGTCACTTTAATTCATTTACTCATTCTTCCATTCCTACATTCATGAAGATATTCAATTGAATTTCATCTAGCAAAGAATGGAATGGGGCAAGCAAAGAGCTTTTTTTTTTTTTTTTTTTTTTTTTAATACTTTTTATTGTTCTTTTCTATGAGTTCATTAATTCCTCAACAACAAACACTAATCTTTCTCGTTTTCTTTTTAAATTTATCATATATACGACTGAATGACGTTTTAATTGGCTTTACTTCTCCTTCGCTGGGGATATACTTTTGTATGTTTCGGCTGTCCATCGCTTTCATTATAATATCATTATTATCTCCTTTTTCGTAGTCCATTGTTTGTTACTTGGAACACGAGCAAGAATGGAGACATGACAGACTTGGTCTTGCGAGGATGTATTGGCAATTTCTCAGCAATGCCTTTGCATTCTGGGCTGAAGGAGTATGCCCTGACCAGGTTTGTTGAACAGATATTTCCTTTTTTTTTTTTTTTTTTTTTTTTTTTCTCGTACCTGTCACAGTTTTACCTCTAACCAAATATGAGACAAAACTAAAAAAAAAAAAATCATCTCCTATTCAATCTGAATTTTTTTTTTACTAATTAGTGCTTTCAAGGATGGACGATTCCCACCAATATTGAAGAAGGAAATTCCATCGTTGACATGCCAGTAAGGAAAAAAAGAAGTGATACGCATGATAGATGACATTAAAAAAAGGGAGCATATAGAGATTTGTGAAATAGTGGCAATTGAGCCCGTGAACAGTCCTGTGCGCAGATGATAGAAAAGTCAATCTGTTAACTGATGATCAACTTCTTTTGCACCCCCTTTTTCAATATTTTTTTTTTTTTTTTTTTTTTTTTTTTAAAAAAAAGCGTCTCACTACTAGTGAACTTTGAAAAGGGCGAAAATTATCTCGATTGGGAAGTAAGTAAAAAAAAAACTTTTTGTTGCAATCAAACATATAAAAAAAGCTTTTGTACCCGTTACTCACCCTTATATTTTGAATTTTTTTTTTCCCTCTCTCCTGCCAGGCTGGTACTCATGGTATCTGGATCGAGTTCCGGGACACAAATGGTCGCAAGAGGACGGCAACTTACTTGCCAGAGGTAGCCAAGGAGCAAAAATGGACTAAAGAGAAGGCTATTGAGTCTTTACTGCGTAAAGGAGGATTCCGGGGGACCATTACCAAGGATGTCCTGGATGGCATCATCCTTACCCGCTACCAAAGTCAAAAAGCTGGAATGACTTATGCGGAGTACTTGGCCTTTCGTTGATCAAACAGGATGATGATTCAGGATGTTTCTCCTCCCATCATTCTTTCTTTTCATTCTTTTTTTTTTTTTTCTTATATTTCCTTTTTAATAGACTCAAACATCCCGTCCCTGTCTTACATTCATTTTTAGTCTGAATGAATGAATAACCAGAAAAGATAATTGTGGATGTTTATACTCCCAATAATTGAGGATACGCTGCATGAGCATGCTTCTAATTGAAGAGGCAAGGCCACAAAGATCTAGAAGCCGTTGTATCCTTTTAAATAAAACTATGATTTAGCATTTAGGACGCGTCGCACAGTCACAACTTTGTTTTTTAAAAAAAAGGAAAGCTTTAACATTCTTTACTTCCTCCTTACATTTCAACGAATTGTCTACAATGTCGTCCCGTTACCCACCTCAAAGTAGAATGCCAACTTTGGTGCCACAGAGAACAGAGAGGTTATGGTACCCTCGACAGAATGGAGTTGAGCACATGCAAGATGAATTACAACAAGAAGAACTGGCCTATCAACGTTTGGTTAGGGCACATTTACAAAATTAAAAGCAAAAAAAAAAAAAAAAAAAAAAAAAAAAAAAGAGGTGAGGTGTAAAAGAACTAGGATCATTTTTACTTTTTCTTTTTTCTTTCTTATTTGTTAGCAAAAAAGTATACAGAAATCAGGAACGCATTTCATACCTCCAGGCTTATCAAAACCATTTGTGGTAATGGAATGGGTTTTTATTGAATTGTGTTGTATTGTTTTATTTTTTAACTTTTGTACAAGACATCATCCTGATCATTTCTCTTTCTCTCTTTCTCTCTTTCTCTTCATCTCTCTCTCTCTCTAATTTGATCTATTAGGACCTTGAGGAAGAGCAGGAGGAAGATGAGGAGGAGGAGGAAGAAGAAGAGGAAGAAGAAGAGGAAGAAGGGATAGAGTATGAGGAAGCACTTGATGGATATGACAATGGCGATGGCTACGGTGATGGCTATGGTGATAGTGATAGTGCATTGATACAAGATTTGGATCAGACTCTAGACAATGAGGATTTCCAGGACTTGGATCTGGACCTAGACCTTGATAACCTGGATATGGATATGGATATGGACTTGGGGCTTAATCATGAGCATCTTCAAGTGGATTATCTTAGAGAACCTATATCGCCGTCTATGATATCGACAAGAGTAACAAGAGCAACAGAAGCAATGGCAACAGGATCAGCATTACCGTCAGTATCAGCAACAGTGCAGTCCCCAAATTCCCCATTTCCTTTAACATCCTTTGCGGACGAGTTGGATCAAGATATCTTGGACATTTTAGACGACCAAAGTGAAGCCGAACAAGAGGATTCTGATCAAGCAGCCATGATGTTGATGATGGATCGTGATCTGGATGCTGAGGTAGAGGAAGCGGACCTTTATGCAACTGATAGTGATCTTGAACATCAGAAAGATTCATCATTATAAATACACCATAATATATATATATATATTTTTTAAAAAAAAAGTAAAATAATAAAACATGCCTTCTCTGCGACCTCTTTCTCCCTTTCTTTCTTTTTTTTTTATTTTATTTTTTTTATTGTAACATCTTTATTTTTGTGTTTCTTTGTAAGGTTGCTAATAGACAAAGGCGAAGGGGGTTTTTTTAATGTTGTTCTATCCTCTAATGGTGATTGGCTTCTCGGGTAACAAACGATTGCTCCTGCTAGTCTTGTCAACATGATCCAAACCAATAAAGTCTCCAGATACAATTTCCGCTTCGCTCAATATGTCATCTAAATGCAGCAATAGCGAACATAAAAATAAAAGTTGAGTATTAAGCTTATATAAATACATGCATTTTTTTTTTCTTTTTTTACAAGGCATACGATGCTCATGAAGTTGTTAAAGCTTACCGTCGTTCAATACATTAAGCTTGCCACCCTGATATAAAACAAACTTGATCTTGGCAAAGTCCTTCTCATTCATGCCCAATCGTGCCCGCATACGCACTTTCATCTCTGCAAAAGGTTCGTTCTGGAAGGAAGGAAAAAAAAAAAAAAGTTAATAAGCAAAGAAAAATGAGAGATAAACTGCACAGATATGAGAAAAGCGAAAAAAGTGTTTTACCTCCTTGATAACCATCCGGAATGGGATGCCGTGTGTTCGTGTAATATCATTGTGGAAGTGGGTACATGGAATGATAACATCTTCTTCCTTGCGGTCAAGCTCCGATACTGGAACTTCCTCCACATAAATTGACAATGAATCGTGGACGCTGCTAATTGGGTCCATAACCCCATATTCTTTGATCAAATTGCCATTAAACACTGCAAACATACGAAGCTTCTTGCTTCCTTCTGGCGCCAGTTTGATCTTAGGTAACAATGCATCCACAACCGCACTCATGGTACTGGTCTTTAGCAATAATAGCTCATGGGTCGACTGGTCGCTCAGGGCGGGGCCAAGCCATGTGACCTTAATCAACCGTTTGCTCTCCAGTTCTACAATGCTGATGCTCAATTTCTCATAATAAATCACACTCAATCTTCCTACTCCAGCACCATTCATTCCAGCAAGCGCCTGTGGATTATGCAATTGTTGATGGTGATGATGTTGGATATATCCGGGAGCCAACATTTCCTGTAGCTGCATATTCGGTATACGCTTGATAATTGCCTTTGGAAGGCCACTGGGTGCGCCTGCAGATGTAAATTGAATATGTAATGGATCTGTTCCTAATTTTTCCGCAAGTTTGGACGCTACTTGATCATATGTGCTCTTCTTGCTAAGCTCAATAGAGTATGTCTTCAATGAGGGATCTTCAGTATTCTTTGGCTTGAAATCCACCACAATTCGGTTGCAAAGATATTCATAGTAACTCGGAATAAGCGGCTTTGCATTCGAAGCTGTGAGCTCGGATATTCTTTTTTTTTTTTTTTTTTTTTTTTTTTTTTTTAAATAAAGAAAGGAAGGACGAATGAGCCAATTTCTGTAATTCCAAAATAAAACAAAAAAAAAAAAAAAAAAAAAAAAAAAATTGCCAGCAAAATTTAACATACTGCCTTGGTGTCAATTCTTCTTGGAAAACAATAATATCACCTCCCTGAATCTCGCTGTGTTGAAATGATGACTTCATCTTCATTGGCTCAATCATAGTGGGTTTGATTTCCTAGATATGGAAAGGACGTTAGAGGTTATGTGAGCAAAAAGATTTTCATCATAACAAAAAGTCGTTAAAACTATGAGCAAAGAAGCTGCTATATAGCAGTTTTTTTTTTTTTTTTTTTTTTTTTGTTTTGCTTTGTTTGTTTTTACCTCAAAGAGTAGCAATTTTGTACCAGGCGCAAAGCCCTTTTTTTCATTGAGAATACCCACAATGTCGCCAACCCTGTTGGCCTTTTGAACATAAATTCTTCCTACTCCCTCCAGTTTGGAGGTGTATGGATCGTAAAACTTTGTAAAGATCATGATAGTACCACTGGCACCCTCGTTTGGGGTGGGAAGCGTCTTCGCACCTCCGGGACTATCCGCAAATTCGACATAGCATTTCAGATCCGCCTGAGTACGCGTTCCATATCTTTCCTTGATTACATCCATTGCTTAGAGCATGAAAAATAAGTTGTTTTTTTGTCAGTGTTTAAGGCACGTCACAAAAAACAAAAAAAAAAAAAAAATAAAATAAAAAAAAAAATGGAGTTTGCAGTTTCGACTTACTCAAGTTCAAATCCGTATCTGGGATAGGGGTGTCCGTGCGAACAGTATCATTCTGACGCTTTACTAGAGTCCAAATTCGAATCTGGTCCTCCGTCAATCCATAGGTATTAGCGACAACTTCCTTGAACTTGGCAAACGTGTCCTGCTTCCTGACTTTGATCAGCTTACCAGCTGTAGGATTTAATGGGTTAAAGAGATCAAATCCATCATGTTGCTTCACATCTGCTTCCGAGATCACTCGGGCATTGTAAAACAACATCGATTCTTCTCGGTCTTTACGTCTGTTTTCCAATGCAATTCGTTCATCATCCAGCCGGCGCTGCAGATGTTCAGGAATATCAGCAGCAGTCAATGGTTTTAATATTTCATCCATGGCATTGTCCTGAATATAGACCAACATGTAAGCGTTCGTGAAACGTTTGTGTCTATTCATCTGCCGCATTGCCAGTGTCATGCTCGCCAGATTCTCTAAAGGCTCTCCTCCTCCATAGTTCTCGTCCAACACTTCTTTCATAGTCGCTATCGTCACACGGTCGTCATCAAAGCGATACCACTTGCCGTCGCGCTCGGGTTTGAGAAGCGCAAAGTAATGGCCTCCATGCAAATCTCCAGAGTGAACCAGTACACTATATGCATTAAGGACAACAATAGCAATGAAAAAAAAAAAAAAATCAATATTTGACGAGGAAAAAAAATAGTGAATCATAAGCTTTTTTTTTTTACTCTTGTTGTTGTTAGTCATACCCATGTAATGTGTATTTGAATCCATCGGGTCCAGCCTTTTGCTTTTCCTCACTGTCCTCGACAAAAGGAGCTAGATCGATATTAAGCGGGAACTCGTGTCGGTCATTGATCTTAACCATCGCATCCCGTTCAATATCGTACTCGAAGCGTTTCAATTGAAGATGAAGGACTGGCGGCAAGGTCTCAAAGATCACTCCCTTCTTTGCATCCTGAAGCCCATGACCTTCTGCCATGTACTTGTTGTCACCATCAAGAGTCTCAACGTCAATATAATTGGCAAACGAATCATACAGCGTTTTGCACCCCTTAACATTGAGCTGAATATCTATGATATAGTAGAGCAGGATATACAGGATATTTCAATATAGCGAATAAGTAAGCAGGTTCGCTCCAACAAATGTCTGATAAAAAAAATAAAATAAAATAAAATAAAATAAAATAAAATAAAAAAAAGAAAGTGAAATTCCGTCATTCTTCTATACCATAAAAGTTCTCAACTCTAGACGATTCGTATTCGACATTGATACATTTGATGTAGCTCTTCATCCTGCCAACGAATAATTTCTGAATAGCGCCTTCAGCCGCTGTGCCCTAAAAAAGGAAAAAAAAAGATTTTCATTAGTCATCGTTCATCGTAGGCGGTCATCCATTGAATCATATACAATGATAATGCGTCATACAGAGCATTGGCAAATTGTATCTGTTCAATTTTTTTTTTTTTTTTTTTTTTTTTTTTTGCAATGGCATGTGTGTCTATCATTATACCTTCATCTTGCCCTCCAAATTATCTTGCAGGACACGATTAAATTCCTGGACATCATGCTGCATAAAGCTCTCTAACGAGTTCCATCCAAATGATTTTGTCAGCTCTGTGGTCCCGACAGAGTTATTGCTTGTTGCTAACTGATAGAAAACACGTTGAAGGGCTAATGATACGGACTTGGAAGGTTCATCTTCTGCTGTGGGGATGTTGAAGACAGCTTTGCGGAAATAATTGGTGAAGAACAAGGACTGAAGAAGCGAGTTCATATAGCAGGTTGCTCCTTGGTTTTTGAGACCCACATATCCCGTCATCACCTTGGAATCATAGTCTATAAAATTGTGCCAGAGCACTCCTGTTGGATCGTTATACACTCGTACATAAGCCGTGATTACAGTATGACCCTTGTCAAGCAGTGGCAGTCCTCGGTGATCAAGTGGAGTTTCCAGCTTTTTGATCTCTGTAAAGCGAGTGAATCCCCAATCAGCTTCCTCAATCGTGAACCGGTGCTGAGCATCTAGAAAAAGGGAGAAAAAAAAAAAAAAAAAAGATGAGATGGCTTGCTTTTAACAAGAATGTTTTTTTTTTTTTTTTTTTTTTTTTTTTTGGAATCAAACCGCAGTCCAAAGTAATAAGACACTCTTCCTCCTATGTTTTTGCTCCCTTACTATTTGCAATGTAGACTGTTGGATTATGTGGGTTGGACATCAAAAGTGCAAACTGAGCGCAGACATGCCAGTGAGGATCAGTCTGGTCCCTGGGTTCCGCAGAGTCCAGATAGAGAGCTACACTTTCAGGTGCATTGTTGCCTTGAGGAAAGAGGAGAATGCGCCTGAATAACAGTTGGTTGATCAGAAATAACAACAACCAAAAAGATTAAAAAAAAACTTGATTAGCAATTTTTCATCTGTGGGCAAAAGGAGATGTGACAAGTTGACAACCTTTACGATTGATGATGAGGCAGATTGTGAATATGAATATAAAAGACAACAGAATATCATCATCGTCATCATCGTCATCATCAAGAAGAAAGGTTTTTTTGATGCAATTTACCATTTGTATCCTCCAATCTCAAACTCAGGCCCTGTCACTCGCTTGTCCAGAGCTTTCCAATCGGTAATATGCCATTGGAACATCCCACATGCACGTTCTTCAAGGTCCGGATGAGTAGGGATCAATGTCTTGGTCATCCATTCCACTAAAGGGAGTCGCGAGTCAACAGTAAGGGGAAAATACAGAAATATATGAGTGATCCTTTTTTTTTTTACTAGTGGCTTTCTGATTCAGTTGCCGCACGCAAAAGAACAAAAAAAAAAACTTTAAAGATATATGGATCATATGCATACGCATCCTTCACGTTACCATCATCGACCGAATGATATTCCTGAACAGCTGGTTTTTCTTCTATGGGTGACGCACGCTTCGGTCTGGTGTTGGGATGTCCTTCCTATAAAAAAAGTGGTTTCATGGAACATGTTTGAATGACGCCATTGAGCAAATTTGTAATGTGGTACCTGAAATCGCCCGCTCATGCACCATTTTCTTATTAATGTTCCGATGGGGAGATAATCACGTCTCCACATGGATGGATGCATACTTTTTTTTTTTTTTTTTTTCTTTTTTTTTTTTTTGCACGATGCACATATTGTGAACGCAATGTATTTAACGTTGATTTTAAACACATTCATGAAATAAATAAAAAAAATTTATAGACAAGAGCGGAACGTGTGAGTGATAGGACAGTATTGACATCAGAACGTACCATATTGCGGGGGAGATATTGATAGGCGAATACGAAGAGGCAGAGGAGGACAAGGACTTGAGGACTGAGGTAGGCAAAGACGAGGTGGAGTAGGGCGTCAATGATGGATAGATTTGTATTGAGTTATTGAGTCTTTTTATTTTTTATTTTTTTTTTTCTTTTGTTGAATGTTAGATAAAGTTGGTGATATAGTTGGTTATTGTTGATGGTAATAGTCAAAGTGGATTGTAATAGAAGTAGCGATGATGGTTGTAGTGAAGAAGTGAGAGAAGTAGAGAAGAGAAGTAATAGGGTGTGAAGTGAATATCAAACGTGAGGTTCTCTATTTTATTTTATTTTGGCGGCAGAAACAAAAAAGGGTTTGAAAGAAAAGAAGAGAAGAGTGAGGAAAAGAAGAGCCGACCGAGCACCCTTTTATCAAAATCAGTCCAAAAGTCCTCGCGTTGTTTTGTTCGCATGTTCGCACGCACACCTTGGCACATCCAGCACACTGACACACAGACAGTAAAAAAAAAAGTGGAAGAAAGAGATTTACATTTACGTGTTCTGTGCCAAGGCATCCTGCGTCGTATCACCTGACGAATAATCGACTGCTTTTTTTTTTTTTTTTAGTGACGCTCCATCTCTCTTGAAGTAAGCTCTTTACTTTGCTTTTTTTTTTTTTTTTTTTTTTTTTTGTTGTTTGGCAATGTCAGCAACAAGCGCTGCTGGACATCAGTCCCACCAGCCTTCATCCTCATCCTCTCAACAGGTCGACCCCGCCATCGAGAAACTCGTTCGTGAAACCAAATCGCTCAAGCAAAAGATCGACCTTCTTGAAGCAGAAAATAAAGCACTCAAAAAATCACTTTTCGAGTTGTCCTATATCTACTCCTCACAGTTAGGACAAGAAAAGGCCCATTGCTGTCAGGATATACAGAAGTGCCATCGTTATAGTAATAATCATACCCATCACCAACAGCAGCAACCACAACAATATGGACATAATAATCATCATACATCAGCAACAGCAACAGCAACAACGGACGAAGGAGATTCATCAGGAAATAATAGTATAACAGGAAAGGGTACAAGCGCCAATCCAAGTTCAGGTCAGAGCACAGTTGGCTTTCAGAATGATATGGCTCAGCTTTTGGATCAACTCCTCTCAAATATGACGATTACACAACAAAATCAAAACAAAGTCGATGCAGGAACAACCAATCCTATCAGTAGCTCCGATCCTACCCTACGAAATGTAGAAACACAATTCAAGAATGCAGCAGATCTGATCAAGGCAGAAGAGGACAACGTGCGGCGGCTGAATATGGGCAATATCGGTAAAGCAAAACAAAGCAAAGCAGGGCAAGAAGAAAATGAAGTTGAAAGAAGAAGAAAAAAATGTCGTCCAGGTTTCAAAAAAAAAGAGGCGAAAAGGATTAATTTACACCTTCTTTTTTCCTTTATTTAAATTTATTCCACAGTGTCGAGACAAGATGGATCTTCAAAATCAGATGGACGACAATTCTACTTGAAAAACGACTTGAAGGGTCATCAAGGAGCTGTCTATGCTGTACAATACTCTCCTAATGGCAAATTCCTCGCTACCGGCTCGTTTGATAAGACTGTGAGGATTTGGGATGGCACAACGAATCAAAATGAGTTGTATGTTCTCAAGGGGCATGGACTCAATATATCGGATTTGGCATGGGGATATGATTCTACTGTTCTGCTTTCAGCTGCCTATGATAAGACCTGCAGGCTCTGGGAAGTCGAATCAGGAAAACTTTTGGATAATTTTGACCACGATGGCTTTGTACAGTGTGTACGATTTCATCCGCAAAGTAGGCTAAAATATTTTATGATCATTATTACTATTCAAGGGAAAAAGAAAAAAAAAAAAATGCTTCTCCAAGGACAAGGATTGCAGATGGTTCTATAGCATCATTGCTAGAATTAATGCTCTCCTTACAAAAAAATTTAAAAATATATAGATAACAATATCTTCTTCAGTGGAACAACACGCAACCTATTAAGCATGATTGACATAAGGAGAGACAATAGTGGCGCACCTGCTACGGCGATCAAGAACGACACAATGGTCAACTCAATGTAATTTTGCATACTAAAGTACTCGAAGTTTCTTTTGTCAACAATAGTCTTCAAAAAAATATCCGCAGCTTAACGAATTCCTCTTGGATGATTTGAAACAAACAAATAATAGCTATGTATACCATGACGGTCTGACCGTCATATCCGGAGATTCTTCCGGATATCTGAAAACTTGGGACATCAGGATGGGTCGAGTATTGCAATCCATTTTGAACGAGCCCACAAAAAAACCTATTTCTCATATTGCAGTCTCAAAGCAGCGTGGAACTTTGGATGGCATTGATAGCGTTGAGAATGAAGAGCCGGAATCCCGCTGGCTCGCTGTGAATAGCTATGACAATGGTAGAGCATGATTTCCGATTACAGACGGATTTTTTTTTTCTTCCTTTAGTTCAGAAATGCTTATATATATGTTTTAAATACGCTTTTATATATATTTTCAGTAATTCGAGTTTATGATAGGGGATTCGAGCCACCAACGACAATACCACGTCTCATCCATTCACTGAAGGGCTACAGGAATAAACATTGGCCTATCAAAAGCGCCTTTTTCCATGGACAAGAATGTACGCCGCTTACTTTTAGTGTGTATTTATGAGTTCCAGATTATCTAATTCATCTTATTGACGCACTTTTTTTTTTTTTTTTTTTTTTTTTCCTGCTTGTTTCATGTGTGATGCTGACAGATATTGCTGGTGCGGCGACTAGACGGCCAGGAAAAGTGCGAGGTGCTGACGGAGATGAAGAGCCCCAGTCGATTCTTTCAGACAAAGATATGCCTCTAGAGTCTAGTCTATTGCTTGCTTCAGGAAGCATGGACCCATACGTGTATCTGTTTGATGTTAGTGCAGGGGATGGACAATATGAACTACTTCAAAAGCTGCCTGGACATACGGATCGGGTGTATGATGTGGACTTTCATCCGATTGATCATGTTCTCGCCTCAGGATCCGCAGATTTCACCGTTAAAGTTTGGGGTCGTGCCTCAAAGAGGAAGAAATAATCGTAGGAAGAAGAGCTCCATAAAGTCTTTTTTTTTTTTTTTTTTTTTGACAGTAAAATAGAAGATGGCTGCTTTGAACCATGTTGATTGTCTTTATTTTATTTTTTATTTGTCATTTATTTATTTGCTTCTACAGCTTTCCGAGGCGAACAGCACCATCAATGCGAACGATTTCACCGTTCATCATTGGGTTCTCGATAATAGCACAAGCCAGGTGTGCAAATTCACTGGGCTTACCCGCACGGTAAGGATGAATCATGTGTTTTTCCAACACGGATTGCTTGATTGAGTTGCCCATAGGCGTGCTAAAGACCCCTGGGGCAATGGTGCAGACACGGACATAGCCTGCCAAGTCACGGGCCATGGGTAGAGTCATGCCAGCAACACCACCTTTGGAGGCAGAGTAAGCGGTTTGACCAGATTGTCTGAAGAAAAGACAAAAGAAAAAGGTCAATCGCAGTATTTTATTTGTCAGTTTGAATTTCAAACTGACAGTTTCAAAGAAAATAACTTTTTTTTACGTCTTGGATTTTTCTATTATTGTTACGTACCCTTCTGTATAAGCAATTGATGCGACATTAATGATGATACCAGGGTCCTCTAACGAAAGAAAGAAAGAAAAAAAAGTTTGTTGCTATTCGCGTTGCCACTGCCGATACATATTGAAATTGAGTAGAATGAACCTACCATCTTTCTCAGTCTGCTCTTTAACGTTAGCAACAATATGTGCAGCAATCAATCTGCAAACGTTGAATGTGCCAATCAAGTTGATCCTAATGACTTCCTCAAAGATATTCAATGACTGTGGTTCTCCATTTCTGAACACGATCTAAGAGAACATTAAAAAAGAAAAAAGAAGTAGAAGGGCAATAGTATATGAATATATCGTGTGAACAAAGTTGCAACCTTTTTTTTTTTTTTTTTTTTTTTTTTTTTTGGCTTTGTTTTTAGCTTTTTGTTTTTGCTTCACCTTTTGAGCCATGCCTATGCCTCCACAGTTAATAACGCCCGAGAGATTGCCAAATTTTTGTACACCCTTTTCGATCGAAGACAAGACTGAATCCTCACTGGCAACGTCAGTTGCACCAGGCCAGAGGACGGTATCCGGGTATTCTGCAGCAATGGCCTCCCCACGCTCCTCATTGATGTCGAAAATCACAACCTTGCCGCCCTTTGCTACTATAGCGCGAACTGTCGCCTCACCTTGTTTGGAAGAATAAAAAAATGGTGAGCCGAGCTGTATAAATTAAACAGTTGACAAAGTGGAGGAAAATAACTGCCATACCAAGCCCGGAGCTACCGCCAGTAACAACAAATGCTTTCCCCTGGATATGCCTTAATTATTCAAAGCAAGCCTGAGCATTAGTATGTTTATTACTTTTGTCGTTTGGAGTTGAATTTTACATTATATTTTTTATTTTATTTTAATTTCACTGGTTTGTTTCCACCTACATTGTTTTGAATGTATAAAAAAAGTGAGCGCGTGAAGATTGATGGAGAGAGTGTACAAAGAATAAAAGAAGAAGAAAAAAAAAAAAAAAAAAAAAAAAAAAGAATGAAAGCTAATGTTTAATGTAGATGGTGAACCGGGGGCTATGACCCTGTGTGCTGTCAAAGTAAACGGTATTTAGGAGGATCGGGCTTGAATATGGTTTGCACAACACGAGTCTCACCAAAGTTCAAGACGCGACGAAAGTGAGTCGATCAGAAACACCCTGTTGCAAGAAACCAAGGATCATGATATCAACAATCATCATCTGAGGCCCTTTTCTAAACCTCTCCTCTCCCGCATGTTTTTTTCTTGAAGCCGCGCTTAACACTCTTGAGCAGATTTCTCTAGGGACTGTTATACTTTCAACTTTTTCTTTGTTTCTCTTTAGGACAAGGATTCATTTTATAAAGATATAATTTACAAGTGCAGGCCTACTGTTTTTTCTATGCACGACTTGAGCCTTGCTTGATCGCTAACTTGGAATTAACAGCTTCATGTAACAAGCAACTTTACGTGATAGACACCCTGTTTGATATCATGTCCAACTACAGGGTATTCACCCCATGGTAATTACCGCAAAGCTTCTCACGTTTATGCATAGAGATAGAGTTTCCTCGGCGGAAGGGATACGGCCATGGTTCACCCTGGCTAGTCCTTAAATATTACGGATTGGAGGACATGGCGAGTGCTTTGAAGGAGTCCATAGTCTCAATAGCTTGAGAGAGAATCGATTGCCAGTCACCCACACACGGGGACAAAGGGGAAGAAGTGAGTCAAGATGTATTTGTTTTAATGAACTCAGACAATATCTTCAAACACCCACAAGCTACTTCACCCGCAGTTGCTCATCCTCCCTTTTCCTTTCCTTCTTCCTTACTCACCTTTTCTGCATTTCCTATACCTCAACTCTCTTTCTTCATCTCCCCCCTCTGTCAACTGTATAATCATGGCTGCATCATCTCAGTTCTCTATCAAATCCATTGTTCGTCCTAATATCTTGGCCCTAAAGCCATATCGTTGTGCTCGAGATGACTATTCCATGGGTGTACTTCTCGATGCCAACGAAAATGCTTATGGCCCCGCGTTGAACCCTCTTTCAGATGCAGCAGTTACCAGTTCTGGACTTGATATCAATCGTTATCCTGACCCACACCAGCATGATCTTAAGAATTTGATCGCCAAATTCAGGAATATCCCCAATGCCACTCCCGAGAACTTCTTTTTGGGTGTTGGTAGCGATGAAGTGATTGATATGGTCTTCCGGGTCTTTTGTGTCCCTGGCAAAGATGCAGTCCTAATCACTCCTCCGACCTATGGCATGTACTCTGTCTGTGCGCAGATCAACGATGTGGAGGTTCACAAGGCCACTCTAACCCTTGATGGGCGGTTTCAATTGAACGTTGAGGAGGTACTATTTTGTTGTCATAATGATCTTATTTACGGATTTTATTTTAGTTAAATCAATTAAAGAGTGAAATCGTAGCTATTTCAAACTGATTTTTTTTTTTTTTTTTTTTTTTTTCAACATTCTCTAGATCGAAAAACAGGTCGAGGCTCACCCTAATATCAAGGCTATTTTCTTGTGCAGCCCAGGAAACCCAACTGGATCAGCATTGACACACGAGAGTATTCGTCGGGTCCTAACCTTGCCTAATTATAAGGGTGTCGTTGTTGTGGATGAGGCATATGTGGATTTCATTGATGCCAACAAAGAAGGCACCACAGCTACCTGGGTTAATGATTATCCCAATTTGATTGTGATGCAGACCATGAGCAAGAGTTTTGGACTTGCAGGAGTTCGGTATGTTTATTTTTTTAGAAAAAAAAAAAATGCTTTGAGATGATAAAGTTTATTTACTGTCTTTTTTTTATTTTTATTTTTTATTATTATTATTAATTGACAACCTCCAGCCTGGGAGTTGCGATCACTACACCCGAAATAGCTCACTACATGAATGCTACAAAGGCACCCTACAACATCGCTAGTACGACCTCACGAGTAGCTCAGGAAGCTCTTCAGCCTAAAGCATTAGAAATCCTTCGTCAGAACATTGCAGTCATGGTTCAGGAACGCACTCGACTGTTGGAGGCATTCAAGTCTATCTCAGGACTGGGTCGTGTTTTAGGTACCAACGATGCCAACTTTGTGTTAGTAGAGGTGTTGGACAAGGATGGCAAACCCTGTAATGAGCGTGCCCACCATATCTATACGGACATGGCCAAAAACCAGGGACTGGTTGTTCGATTCAGAGGCACAGAGATTGGATGTGAAGGATGTTTGCGCATCACTGTCGGTACACCTGAGGAGAATGATGTAGTCATCAAGAGGTTGACGGAACAACTTTCTGCATAGAAACAACACACCAATGTGTTTATTTCACGAAAAAAAAAAAAAAAAAAAAAAAAGCAATATAGATCTTTCATTGAAATCAATATGTAAAAGTAAAAAAGAATGAGCCCCATATAGTCTTAATCATGTTCCCACTATTGCATTAATTATAATGATTTTTTAAAAAAAAAAAAAAAAAAAAAAAATACCGTGTGTAAGGAAATACAAGAGGGAAGAGGCGTCTATGGTCGCGTTGCAAAGATGGCATTGATGAATTGTCAATAAAAATAGGGGGAGGCTCTCGTTGGAGGCAGGGTGGAATAGGACTTTTAATTTTTCCCCTGATGCATTCCGCACAAAAAACTGCCACGTTGACTCCTGGACTTCTTCTTCCTTTCCTTTCTTTCTCCTTCCCCCTTCCAATTTCCTTTGGGCACCAACCACCATCCGCATCATTATCCTTATCATATCATCTCTTCTTTCCCACCATGACCCGCTCTTTACGCATACTCTTCATAATTGTACCATTGATCCTTGTTGTGTTATCGACTACTGACCGAGTCTCGGCTCAATTCGATATCTCCATTCCCTGCAACGACTGCTTGGAGAAACAAATTGTGACTCTTCCTTCTTGCGCAGGTGTCAACCTGTCAAACCTTTCAGACTATTCGAATCCTCAATATAGGACCTGTCTCTGCGAGTCAACCTTTGATTACAGTTGGCTACAGCCATGCTCCACCAGTTGTCAGCCCAAGGAGCTTACGGATTTTCAGACGAATTTCCCCGAGTTAATTAAGACCACATTCAACCTGACCTGCGTCAAACCCACACCCTCGTCTTCATCCTCTCCTTCACCTTCACCCACATCGAGCCTTGCACCCAACAGTGCTGTAGGACATCAACTACGATGGGGTTGGGGTAATCTAGATTCGAAGATGATCTTGGGATGGATTATAGTATTGATTTCATCCACTGCATTAACTATGGTGTCTAGTCTTTAGATCTACTACACTCTTTCACTATCTTATTTCACATAGAAACTCATACACATCTATATCTCTCTGTTTCCCCACTGTCAATTCGATCTATTCATTAATAAATACACAAGAATCCTCCCAAGAATGAGGGCTACAATCATGATGTCGGTTGGGTGGGATGAAATATTTGGCAAAAAAGTAAATAAATAAAGACACAGGAACAAGTGCAGGATGGCTCAAAAGTCCTAGACTGGTGCTTGTTATGCCTATTCAAAGCTTTCACGTACGACTGTGCAATTGTAGTCTAGACTGCTTATCTATTTTACTGTTTTACTGTTTTAAAGAGACAGAGTTTCTCTGCGACGAGAGGTCGACCCATTAAAAAAAGAAAAAAGAAAGGCCAAGACAAATTAAAATTATAGCCAGTCTCTTGGCATTTTCTGTGAGTGCTTATAAAAAGTAGTGTCCTTTCCCATTTTACTTCCTCACTTTTTTCTTACCTCGATTCAACAACTTCAGTACAGGACAAAGACAAGAAAAAGATAGGACGAAACACAAACAAGTTTACACAGAAAGCCAAGAAAACAAGGAAGATCAATCTCTATTCACACCCACACACTCTTTCCTTTCGGTCGAACAAAGCGCAAACGTAAAACGTAACAACACTCAACGCAAAGCACACAGAAAAGCACCTGCACAAAAGGACACACCATGTTTGCATCTCTTGTAGGACTCATCCATCAACCCAGCATTGCAATCCGGGTCCCTAATGACGACTCGACCTTCAATCCAAAGGAATACCCCAGTCTCAGCTTCATTGCCACAGGAAAAGTCCAGGGTAAGATCCGACTTATCCATGGAACTGAGGATGATTCCAACCTTGCGATGATCTCAACTCGCATTTGGGTCACCAAAGAGAATGATAAAGATGAGGTTGCAATCAAGCTAAGCTTTGATAATAAGACACATGTGTTCACTCTTGAGGTAAAAAAAACAAAAAGAAAATTGTATTAGGATTTATACTTTGAGAAACAATAATATTGATTGGATAACATTGATAGGGACCAACACGGTTTGGAAGCTTCAACATTTATCATGAGACGACCATCCAGATCCCTCGGTCATTCCAGCATCTTGGATCTCTGCGTCTCAAGGCACCCAACACATCTTTCTCGGCCGAAGGCCTTGATCATCTCCTTTGGACATCTGTCCAGACAGAGCTATCCAATGCAGCCATCGCACTTCAATACCTGGCTGCTGCAGACTCCATCGCCCTCCGGACCAGCAACTCAAGTATCTCTGGTGTCTTCTCTGCAGGACATATTGATTTGACAACGTCCAATGGATCTATCTCTGCGAAACTCCGGGTCGAAGATGCACAGGATGGTCGACAATCAATTGTGATGACAAAGACATCGAATGCTTCGATTCATCTACATGTGGATGCTACAACGACACGACAGGGTATTTGGATGGAGAACACAACCAAGAATGGCAAGATTGTGATTGGTACATTATTGGGCCCCAGTGAGAAGAGCTCAAACATTAGCACAACGACCTCGAACTCCAAGATTGAGTTCAATCTGGATGCTTCACAGACGGGACAGGCTTTGGAGGTGACTAACAAAACATCCAATGCCAGTATCCTGTCTTCTATCATGGTGCCGCCATCCCAATTTGTCAAATGCCTAGCACAGTCGGCGGATGGCTCCGTAACTGTGAATCTGGTAAGTAGTCGTGGCAGCGGAATAGGCTGTTAAAAATCGTGGAATGAAGGAAAACAAATCAAAGGTCCTTGATCTTTAACATCTGTTGATTATTGATAATATATTTATATATTAAAATATATAGACCGACGATTTCAAAGGCTGGTTCGACCTGGAGACAAGCAATAGTTCTACGACAGTCGAGGGATCCCATTTGATGTTTGAGACAGAAAAGAAAAATACTAAGCGTGGATATCACGACCAGGGTGAGAGTCAAGTCAAATTGTTGACATCGAACAGCTCTGCAAAACTGAACTTCTATTCTGCGGGAGCAAGCCTTGCAGCAGATGTCCTCGCCAAGCATGAATATTTGTAAATTTTAAATAGGCCATGATGTTTGTGCGTGGAAATAAAAAAGAAATAAAGTCTGTTGCCACAACATTGACCAATGCAAGGGTGTGATTTTGAGCACTTGACTGTTAAATGAAAAATGACTGTGCCTGAAACAACACAAAACCTTAATTTTTTTTTTTTAGTTGAATCAGTTCAACAATTCATTTGTTCAGAACATTCATCCACTTTATTGCATTATTAACATTCAAACATGGATCACTTCACACTCGAGTCGCAGGTAGCCCTGCCTGGGCCAAGTCAACCCATTCCTGTGGTAGTTTATAAGCATATCCATACCTCCATGCGACTTGTCTTTGTCGATATCCCTGGTCCACAGGCCACAGCCACTATCATTGTGCCCACCATTGTTAAAGACTCGCGTGGTCTACCTCATACTCTGGAGCACCGTAAGTCTCTAATGGCAGATGTTGCTGGATTTTTCCTTTTCTTTTTCCTCTAATTACTTCAATTTGCTAACATTTAGATGAATTATCTTCATAGTGGTCTTTTGCGGATCAAAAAACTACCCTAATAGAGGATACCTCGATTCATTGGCCAACAGATGTCTTTCCACTGGTACCAATGCATACACTGTACGCTTTACATGTCTGGAAACAAGAACAGTTTTTTTTTTTTTTTTTTTTTTTTTTTTTTTTTTACATTTCATGTTGATTTACTTTCGCTTCTCCTTTTTTCTTTCTTTCTTTCGAATAGACAGAAGACTATACAGGATATACAATTGCAACAGCGGGTCGGGATGGAATGGCAGAAATTCTACCAGTATTTTTAGATCATGTACTACATCCAACTCTTCGTGATGATCAGTATGTCACCGAAGTTTATCACATTGATGGCGAAGGAAAACAACAAGGCGTTGTCTTTTCAGAAATGGCTGCACGTGAAAACTCGGAGGCTGATCTGGTAATGAGATAGTCTCAACAACAACAGCAAAAAAACTGAAGACTTGATCAGCAGAAAATTTGGTTTTAATTTTTTTTTTTTTACAAACGACTTGATACAACAACAACAACAACAAAAAAAAAAAAAAAATAGCTAGATCTAGGTCTTCGTCGTTTATTGTACCCAAAATCACAAACATATTATTACGAATGTGGAGGTTTAACGGCTGAGATTCCCAAGATGACTAATGACGATATTCGAGAATACCATAAAAAATTTTATAACCCCTCCAACATGATAATCGTTGTCGCAGGTGATGGACTTCAACCAGAGCGGATATTCACTACCTTGATCCAACAACGTATCCTTTCAGATGGTACTAGCACTGGGATTGATGGCGATAATATAGTAAACTTCGATATCATTCAGGAGATGGATATCTCAAGGGGTCGGGAAGATGCTCCCATCATGATGATTCAGAATCAAGAACAAGACCAGGACCAGGGCTCAAAAAAAGAAAAAAGACTTGTTTCTCGCACAATTCATTTTCCATCTGCAGATGAAGATGTTGGATCGATCGGATATGGATGGTTGGGACCAGGGACCTCTGACCTTCATTCTATGGTTGCTCTTGATATTTTATTCCGGTTCCTGCATGAGACTTCGGCTTCACCATTTGCACAGGCCTTTGTGGAGCGTCGGAACCCTATGGCGAGCCACGTGGATTTTGATGTGAAGGGCTGTATTGATAGCAGCTTGCTGCTATTGTTCTCAGGAGTACCAATTCGAAGAAAGGATAATAGTCAAATCAATCAGAGGAGCGAGTCACCAAATTCTGGAAACTATAATAATACAGACACTGAAGAGAGTTCGAGTGACATTGAGCAGGATGATGATGAGGACCAGTTAGATGATGATGACGATGATAAAGATAGCAATGAAGAGGGGAATGTAGGATCTGAGGATGAATATGGATCCGAAGATGATAGAGATGATAACGATAATCAACATAATGAAGTCAATGATAGTGGTGATGACCTTCAAGCAGAAGCCCAAGATCTATACGAACCAGGATACTTCCATTCGCAGGTGATGCATGTTCTTCAGGATTTCGTTGACCATGGGCTCATGTCTGATCCTACAGAGATGTCTCGGATTATTGCTCGACATCGTACCAAGATTTATGAATCGATCGAAGACGACCCACATGAGGCAGCGACAGCATATTTGGTTCCCGATATCCTCGCTTACGCCTATTTAGAAAAAGACAAGACAAAACCTGCAGCCATCGGAACACGAGGCAGTATCTTTGCAATTATTGACGAGCTCGAGACCAAGGAACCTTCGTTCTGGAGGAACCTTGCCAAGAAGTGGTTATTGGACCCCGCTATGGTAGAAGTCTGTATGGTTCCAGATAGTAAACTGGGCAAGACAATCAAATCGATGGTATCCAAAACCCAGAACGAACTCATGAATCTGTTGGGTGAAGAAGGCCTCAGAAAACAAGGACAGATGGTCGTGGAGGCAGTAGAAGCAAACAAAGTCAATCTAACGCCAGAGATCATCGCCAAGATGCCTCCAATTTCAGACGCATCCAAGGTCCCCACGATCCCTATCCGCTCACGATATGAACCTACAGGAATAGAGAGCAAAGATGATGCAAGGCCATTTAAATTGGTCCAGGTGGTTGAAACAAATACATTTTTCACGCATGTTAAACTATGTCTGCCTTTGACACACCTGGACGAAGACCTGCGTCCTTACTTGGTTCTTTTCCAAGAACTTATCTTCCAATCTTCTTGCACTATGCCTAAGTGCCTTGTCAATGATGATGGCTCAAAAGAAATTGTCTTTGAGCCTTTAGATTATCAGTCTGTGGTAACCTTAGTCTCCAACACGTTTGTTTCGCACGAGGCAGCCGTTGGTTTTGGGAACGATATCTTTGCATGCTCCTGGTTGTCAGAGCTCTTTGTCTTCGCCTGTTCAGCTGAGAGATCCAAGTTCAAGGAGCAATGCGAGCTTTTACTACAAGTGCTCATGTTCACCCAGTTCACTGAGGACCGTGTCCTCACCGTGGCTAAGAACCTGATTACCCAAATCATGGAGCTCAAGCGAGATGGCGGTGATATGTTGGCGATGGTCAGTACACGTATGACAACGCCTGTCCGTGGTTATGAGACTGCTACAGCATATTGTAAAACTCTCCATACTCCCATTGGTCTTACCCAGGCTCGACTCCGATATCCTGCTCATTTGGAATCTGTGACACCGGTCTTGGGCAATGATATGGCCATCTCTATATTCCGTCAAGAACCATTCTTGAAGAAGCTGGTTCAGGAAATGAAACAAAGGACTGATCAGGTCCCTAAGATCATACAGAAATTGGAGTGTATCAAACAGGCTCTGCTACAGTCCATGTCAGAAATCATGATGAACTCGACTAGGAACGGAAATACGCCTGTAGTGGGGTTTGCACAAATTGGGGTCCCTATTGGCTTTAGCGGTCATGGAGCTTCTGGCACAAGTGGTGACAGTTCAGGAACGAAAGATCCCGTTAGGATGCTCACAGATATCTGGGACCGCACATATGAGCTGTATCAGGCTACATCAGGATCCTCATTGAGGAACAACGGCGCTATCATATCTTCAGAATCACTCAAAAGCTCCAAAAAGCGCAAACCATCAGAACCGTTCCACCAACAACAGGAACAACCTAGCGTGCGCATCTTAAAGGATGAAGTCGAGACAACCATTAAGACTTCACACCTGACACTCAAAGAAGATGGGTTGAATAATACTAATAAGTTTATTATCAATAACAATAACGAGACTCGTGCCTCTAATATTGTTGACGCTGCTGTGGCATCGAATAAGACAGGATCATTCGTACCAGGGTCCATTGGACTCCATCCTTTCCCTTTCCCTAGAACTCCTTATCGTCCCCTGGTAACAGCGGCACATGCAGATGATGATCATGATATGCAACAGGACTCCAGCCATTCATCGTCTGTGTCTAGGTCAGGGCCTGCGCCTAACAGTGTCTTGATCCCTCTGAAATCCATCACATCCTCATACTTGGTCTCGATCGTGCCTTGTGACATTGTATACGATCCTACAACAGCTTCAGAGGAGACCATTATGGATCAATACGCAACTCTTCTGCTCTGTGAGGTCTTGTCTCGGAGTGAGGGACCTTTGTATTCTGCGATTCGTGGACAGGGATATGCCTACGGATGCTCCATTTCTGTATATTTATGGACGGCTCAGATGGCGTTTGAGGTCCGAGATGCTATGGACCCGATTAAGGCTTATGATGCATTTTTAGATATCATTCGTAGAATGGATACGGATTGGGAACAGGTAGTCGGGACAGTGTTTGAGATGGAGACCGCCATGGCCTCTCAGGCATATCAGACATGTATGGAGCGCGCTACTGCAGGTGGGGCCTTATCTTGGGTCCTTCGAGGAGCTATTCGGGTAAGAGCTTATTTGTGTTTAAGCATTTATGATATGTCGTCTTCTGCTTAAATCACATATTTATGTTTGATTTGGCTTGTTTTTCTCTCTCTCTCTTTCTCTCCATATCCCAGGGCTATACATCATTGGAGGAGCTGAGCATGAGCGGCAACTACCTCTATAAGGTCAGTGCCCTAGATCTGAAGCGTGTTTATAGAAAGTACTTTAAGCAATTCCTGAATGGCCATGAGGGGTAAGTTTTTTTTTTTATTTTTATTTTTTTTTTTTTATTTTTATTTTTTTTTTTTAGTTCACTTGCCAGATTCTTTTTATTTGATTTGATCTGATTATGATTCTTTCTTTTTTTTTTTTTTTTTTTTTTTTTTTTCTTAGATTGACTACCGTTTTGCTGACTCCTCCTTCGCCTCCAGAGTCAATCAAAACTCATTTTGCTCAATACGGTATCGATTTCAAAGAAGCGACGCTTAAAGATTTTGAAATTGAACCAGCATTTGATTTTGTCCCGGTCAACACTCCTTCTTCCTCCCGAATCATTTCGCCTGCAGGGACCACTCCTGGCTCCCCATTATCATCCTCTTCCTCATCCGTTATTTAAGATGAAACTATAATAGATCTTGTTTTGTTTTTCGACTATAGTCAAAGCGAATACAGCATTTCCTCGTGATTTTTTTTGCAAAAGTTTGTTTTGTACTGAACGGTGGAGTTGAACACAGACAATGTATTATATTGAACGAAGTGACTGAATAAAGCGAAGCAAAATTGATAAGATACCCCCTACTTCATACTAGCTGTGGAGACACGGCGGACATCAAACTGGTCAGGGGTAAAGGACCTTAATCTTCTTGCCCCACAGGTATTGAAGTTGTTGATGTACTTGCTCATATCTCCGCCAAACTATATACTGTGCATGTGCAGCAATTTCATCCTTGTGGAGAAGCACATGCATGTATTAATTGACTTTGTATGTCGCTGATTCGTATGAGTGGCTCATTCCTCCGTGTACTACTTGCTCATTTTGCTTTTGTACAACTGCTTCGCCCGCGGGGAGAGAGAGCTCTGTGCGAATATATGACACTTGGACCCCTAAAAATTTAGAGCCTGTAGTTTAAAAAAAAAAAAAAAAAAGCCAAACAATGCAGTACGAAATAAACAAAGGCCCTTACGGACTATGAAATGATAGGCTTCTCACAAGTTTGTTGCCAAATCAGCTTATTAACACACCTTGATAAAAAAAGCTCCTTCACCAATTGTAACAAACATTTTTCATATATACAATGGCAATCACTTGTATGTCCCTTGACTTGTGCAACCATCACTGCACCGTTACACCTTGCGTCTAGTGCGCGTCAATTCCATAACAGATCCAACAAGTTGCTTTCACGAGATTTTTTTTTATTTTGTTGCAATCCAATAATGTAAGTGTAACAATCTGTGTATGCCCCTGTACCTCAGCTTTGTCTTTTCCCCAAAAGATCTTTTGCCTCTATTGCCTCTTCTAAAACCAACTCCGGGCTATGTAGTACGCGCTTGTTTGCAATAGCGCCAAAGCGTTTTCTTTAATAGGAATGGACGTATTAAATATGTCCCTGCTCACTGACATTACCGACTATTGATAACAATGTTTGAGCTCGGCTTTAACATGCATTAATGAGGACAGTTGCCGTCCCTGGCGAAGCCTAATATTGTTCAGGAACCCCACCGAATGTTTTAATTAACTTTATGCGCTCTGATTATTTGCATGAGATCCAAAAGATACGCTGATCTCCTCATGGTCGACACCGTTGCTACTATAATAGATGTCAATGCAGTGTATCCAGCCGACTTAGAAAAAGTACAAATAGCGAGATAAATCTTTCTGTTTTTTTTTTTTTTTTTTGTTTGAATATCATCATCCTCCAAGTTATCTTTTCACGACACCAGCACACTCACTCACTTCCTCTACGGATCAAAGAAATTTAAGCAACAATGAAGTTTACTATCTCCTCCGTCATTAGCGCTGCCGCCACCGCCCTGGTCCTTTCTCTTTCGGCTATCCAAGTTCAATCCCTTCCAGCTGATCCCGCAAGATCTGTTGCACTTAAAAAACGTGCGATCGAGGGCTTGAATAATTTTGACTGCAAGTTAACCCCTGCTCATCCTCGTCCTGTGATCCTGGTTCATGCAACTCTACTCACTGTCGATTCTTGGTCCACTTTTGCGCCCGAATTGGCCAAGCGCGGCTACTGCGTCTTTGGTCTCACCTATGGCAAATACAAGAAAATCCCCGAGTTTGGAGGTCTTGCTCCGATCGAGGATTCTGCCCAGGAGCTTGCCAATTTTGCAGACGAAGTCATGAGCAAGATGAAAGTCTCCCAAGTTGATATTGTTGGGCATTCGCAAGGTGGTATTCTGGCGAGATACTGGATGAAGTATCTTGGCGGAGCCGGCAAGGTTTACAGACATGTTGGAGTTTCTCCCATTAATCATGGTACAACTCTGAGCGGAATCACGACACTGACTAAGGCTATGAAGATGTTCGAGCCGTCCCAGCCCACCTTCGACTCGTTCGCGCCATCATTTTATCAAATGGTCGTGAACTCCACTTTCATGCAAAAGCTGAATGCTGGAGGTGACACTGCTCTTGGCGTCATCCATTCCAACATCGCTACCAAGTATGTCTTTTTTCGATTATAAACTTATAACGCATAATCTGTCACAATACTCTTTGACACTTTTTTTTTTTTTTTTTTTTTTTTGCTAATCTATTCACAATCAATAGATATGATGAAGTCGTTACTCCTTGGGAGACATGCTTCCAGGAGGGCCCTGAGATCACAAACGTTTTACTTCAGGACCTCTGCGCTTTGTCAGTGAACGAGCATCGTAAGTCACTGTTTGTTTGTAAGGTTAAGATGTAAGAACACGAGAAAAGTCCAGTGGTTGATTTTTGTATTGTTTATTTTATTAGTTACCATGGTCAATACCAAGGTTGTCCTTCAGTTCGTCCTCAACCAGCTCGATCCAGCCACTGCTAAGACTGCGAACTGCTTGTCGATGTTCTAAGTCAAGGGTAGAAGGATAGGGCTGATTTCCTTAGGGAATTAATAGCCTTCGACCTACGGCTTTTCAGCTAACGTCTTATACTTATACACAACGATGCACTCGTACTTTACTGTTGGTTCTTTCATAAATGACGCAGGTCGTCTACCATGATTGTATTGATTCAGATTATAGTATTCAATAAAGCTTTCGATAAACTTTCATATTTGGATCCTGGTGAGATGCATTATAGGATCTACATGATAGATGCCTCCAATTTTTCGGTTGAATTGCCGCTTTTTATTGTTTTCGTCTTTTACCACGAACGTCTAGCAGAAAAGAGAGCTGGAGCGCTGAGGCTATCTCAAAGACATCTAATTTACTGTACTCAATGATTTGCAAGCAAAGTCTTGACCCTTGTCCAATATGGTCCTTGGATGCTACAGGGACGGTTTTCCGCAATGGTAGTCACATCATTATCTACCTCCATCTGCGTTTCTTCTCCTCTCTCTCCTCTTCGTAGTCCGTCTTCAGGGCTAGCCTTCGTTTGTTCGTTGGTAGCAGCATTCTCTCCCTTCCCTCCTCTCATGAGATCACGATGTGCCCGCTCTACATTCTCCATTGCAGTTCGAACAGGATCATACCCTATTCCTTGAGCTGTTAAAAGAACAGCGAGCAATCGAAGTAATTCCTCCTCGAACACTACAACATCTCCAGAGTCATATCCTGCAGCTACAGCAGCTTCACCAACTGACGTCGATGATGATGAAGTCCATGGTGAAGTTAGTGCCACGGCTAAACAGCATAGCATCCACTCAAAATACTGTATCTGCAGTGCTGGTAATGTTGCAGACAGGGCATCCGTAATCCATGAATCCAGGGCCCCAGATTGGTTAGCTCGCGTTAAGTACTGCAAAATAAACATTAATACATTGAGAGGCGCCTGGCACACTATACGAGATGCTTCCACCTGTCTAGCCAGCTCTAAGGCCTCAGTATCATCCTCTTCATCATCATGCGGCTGATGATTCGGCGGTGAATCAGGAGCGTCTTCATCTCTCTCAACACCACCTATACTCTGTGCCCTATCTTCATCCTTATCTTTTTCTTTCTTAGCTTCATGGTCACCATCTTTTGTTTTGTCGCTCTGTTTGCCATTCTTAGGCAACACACTACTATCCGATCGCAGGCCGCTGAAGCCTGCTAGTTGTGCCTCCACATCCGCTGCCTGCTCATCCAAGTCCATCTTGGCTCTTCGGTCAATCTCTTCCTCTGCATCTAAATCTTTAATACTGAAATTGCTCGCTCCTCCACTGCCTCCACTACTCCCTCCGCCTCCTAATATGGTATTTCCTTCACCGTGGACAACCCTTCCTTCCATCTCCATTTTTTTCAGTAACTTGAGTTGGACTTTCTTCTCGCGCTTTTTCAACTTCTTTGCCTTTTTTCTACGGTCCATTTTGGCCACCATTGGATCAGGCTCTTCCAGCTCATTCAACATTAGTTTAGGTGCTGCATTTGTGATCGAGCTAGTTTCACTGACTTGCTTCAAAAGTTCCTGTGCATCCAGCCCGGCAACTCCGCCGGCACCGGAGTCTGCAATGCCTCCTGCTCCTGCGCCAGCCAAGTCGTCTGGCAAATCGTCCCCACTCGAGTAGATCATCCCGCTGATTCTACCCACAACGCGTTTTGTTTGGAACATTGTCAGCACTGCATAAAATGGACTCACTCGACGGTTATACAAGTTACGAACACGACGCTTTTTGGTGCCTCCTAACGCTGCAGATGGACGTAATATGGATACTGTGCCAGCAGCTGTATTTGATGATGCCATCGCACTACCATCCCCTGCATTTTTTACAGTATTATTACCACTAGTGCCACTAGCTGTGAAAGTATCGGCTGGAAACTCAATTGGCTCTATCCATTTTTTAGACCCAGGTTCTAGGTAGGAACTGCTCTCCTCTGGTTTAATTACGAGACCCACTAACGCACTCATGATCATTTCCATGACCCATTGTCCTGTCTTAATATTTGATTTTGTTTTCATTGTTAACGCCCCTGTTGCTGATGTTGTTGATGTTGCTGTTGCCATCGTTGCTGCGTCATTATTACTGACCAATCCTTCCTTCAAGTACTTTGCTGCTGAAAAAGCCAGCCCTTCCGCACCAAGCTCTCGATCTCGATCACCACCAATGCCACCGCTACTACTACTGCCACTATTACTACTACCACTTCCATCCCAACACATAAAATCAATCAAGATCTGGTCTAACAGGAACTTTTGGTCGCTTGGATAAACTGACTTGATCAACCCAACCAGCTTTTCAGAGAAGACTGCCCCATCCATATGCCCTAGCAATGTGATCCACCGCTCCAGTTCGGAATCCGCCTGAGCAGCATATTTGGTTGGTAATTGTGGTAGATGAGTCAAGCCCATGATCGGAGACCATAGTGGGTTCGAGAGTTTGGCCTGTTGATGAGCACTCACGCTGCTTGCAAGAGTTGAAGTGGATGGCAGGTGTGTAGATGGTACAAAGCTACCGCCGGCCCCTGTTCCGGCTCCAACTCCAACTCCAGTTCCAGCACCGCCAGTAGCAGACGATGTTTGTGAGGCAAGCACGGATGCATATCCTGTCATCGCCTGGTCCACAAATTGAGAGGTGGTCTTAAACGGCTTTGTATTTGTTTTATCGCCTCCATTGTTGCCGTCGGCGCTATTATCACGTGACGCCACAGTTGTCAACGGGGACGCAGGTGAGGGCTGCTGTCCTAATACCCCTGTTGGTGTTGATAAAGAAGAAGAAGGGCTGGACGCTGCTGTCGGAGACAATGTTGACGAGACTACACTGAGTGATCCCCCTGTCTCGGTTCCTCCAGTACTTTTGAGACGTTTCCTTGAAACAGGATCTAGAGGATCCGATCCATTGAAGCCGCTACCAACACCACTTGCCCCTCCTCCGACGAGTGGTCGTTTGATACCTCTGTCCAGCCCAGATCCAGATCCACCTCCACTGACGCTAGTGCCGATGCCACCAACATTACTACCCGCACTACCACTAGATCTTGATTGCATTTTGGCATCCGCTGCGGTTTCTTGTTGATACAAAGCTAAAAGCTTTGGAAGATTCCGTCCACGTTCTGTCTCAAAGAATACTTCCAGCGCTGCACATGCTTCCGCTAATAATAATGCTAGCTGATGGCAAGCCTGGTCTAATTCCTGTTGTTGCTCATCAAACTTGTTAATATCAACCCCTGTCGCTGCTGTTGTCGACCCAGCTTCTGTTATAACAGTCATAGGCTCAGCAGACGAACCTTTTTTCCGTCCGAGTACCCCAAGGACGAGCCCTCTAGCGGCCGCCGCCTGCTTTGAATCACGATTATGATTCTTTGCATATCGGCGACATGAAATTAGAGTCTGAATCAATGCCAGCACGGCTCTCTTGGATGCTTTTGCCGCCACTGTTGCTATTGCTGCCGTCTCTACTACTGTGGCAGCACTGGTTTCTGTGGCAGCTGTTGATAATGATGATGACGATGATGGTGATGGTGATGACGAACGCCATTCATAATCTAGAGCTTCAATCAAGTCTATAGGAAGATCACGCTCGAAACCGTGTCGTGGTCCGTGTTCTAAAAACGTGTCCAAAAATACCTGGATCACCAATTCAGGACATCCAGATTTTAGAAATTCAAGTTGCCAGGGTGAAAACTGAGGCTGATGATGATGGCGATTATTCTCTGAACCTCCTGGAATCCGTCTCTTCCCTTTACCATTTTCCTTGAGTGCTGATGATAGTGGCGACGTCGATGAGCAATGTGTTTTATAAAACTCATAAAGGTCCCATAATGCTGGTCGTGTCTCTGTTGCAGCACCCTCCTCCTCTTCTTCTTCTTCCACTTTTTTGTCTTCTCCAGATATGCTCCGGGCACTTTTTTGTTGCTCTTGCTCTTGCTGGTATTGTTGATATTGTCGTCTTCGGCGCTCAATGGTCTTCAGGATCCTAGGGATTCCGTTATCGGATAGTAAAGCTGCAGCTCTGGCTGCAGTTGCCGCGGTTGAGAACATGGAAACGGAAGATGCAGCTGCAGGTTTGGCCCCCTTGATCGCCACTGCTGCTTCCGCTGCAAATCCTGAATTGTGGCATTCAGATCCAAGACGGATCCAAGTCGAACGCGGGATCTGTTTAAGCCAAGACCTAAGAATCCGAGGATCCAAAGATGTTGTTGTGGTTGTTGAGGTAGATGGGGTTTTTTTGGATGGTGATGTTGGGATCGGCGACTGAATAATAGAGTTGTCAAGGAGCAGCGCGGAAATCGAATCCGGCAAAAGTGCTAAGATGCTGGACGACATTTTTTTTTTTATGCGTATATGTTTTGTAACAACAACAACAACAACAATAATAATAATAATAATAAGCCCTGATTCTTGTTTGCCCTTCTGAATCGAGAAAGCCTTTAGGGTATGCCTGATAAAGGATTTTATGCTGCCAAAGCCAACTGGCTAAAAGTATATATGAAAGGAGTGTTTGATATTAGTAGGGTATATGTAATGAAAAAGTTCTTGGTATATTAGGTTTAAAGGATCCCAAAGTGGAAAAAAAAAAAAAAAAAAAAAAGATGGAAACTCTCCTACTTGTCACTCCACTAAAAATGGTAAAATAATACGATAGGGTTCAACACGCTTCCCAGGAAGGTATATCCACAGATGAAGTTTATAGGCTAATGTGCAAAACTTTGCCAATCACTTCATTGAAATGCAAGAAAAGATGAATGCGTCAGGCAACATCAAAGAGAGACACGACTCACACAACTTTAATGATTTTTATTACGGGGCCAAAGTCGTTTTGTTCTCACGTGGTATGCATGATCTATTTGGTGGCGTACAAATCAAAATCTGTTATCAAAGAATGAAATTGAATGTCAAAGCCCAGCCTTTTTTTTTTTTTTTTTTTTTTTTTATTGTTATTATGATTACTATTCATCAAACTCAGTATCAGAAGAAGCTTTCTTTTAACATGGTATGAGAACAGGCCTTAGGTATTGACAGCAACAAGCTGTTCACCTGAACACATCCGTGTTCCTGAAGCTGGAGTTATCCTTGAGTGCATCATTATGTGTCTTATATTCCATAATCGTGTCTGCAGGTAGATTCAGTACTCGCTTCATTGTGTCCCTACAAGATCGAGCGTCATTTTTTTTTTTTTTTTTTTTTTTTTTTTGTTTTTGTTTTGTGGTTGTTTTTTATACGAGAAAATAAGAAGATTGTTAATATTTCGTTTCTAGATCGTCTTATTTCGAATATCAGCTTGTATCCATGTAAGAGTTACCTAATCTTCAAGTTGATACGCCCTTCGTGTGCAGACTGGTTCCATAGCGAAAGGATGTCCTCGCCTCCACGGATCGACAACACCGCGCCACAGATTTCAGATCCAACATCAAACTGGTCTCCGATTACAGCCATCACCTTCAAAAAAAAAAAAAAAAAAAAAAAAAGGCGGTTAGCAAGAGACGCACTATATCGGATTCGCAATAATTAAAAATTAAAGATGGGTATTGAGTTATGTACCAGATTCTCCCAATAACGGCTCGCTAGTCCCTTCTTCAACCGGACAATCCATTTGCCTCCATTAATATTGGTCGCATCTTCCCACACAGGTCGCACACCTTGTTTGAACAAGTGATAGTCGCTTACAGTTGGTAATTCATGAGGTCGTTTTAGATGCGAATATACAGCCCAAAAGTCCTCTACCTATCATCAGAGACATCCAATCACCCAATAAATATATTAAATGGAGGGAAGAAAGAGTGGGTGAGTATTTGGGGTTTGCTTTAAAAAATAAGAAAAGGATAAACAACCTTTTAAATTTTCTCAAACCTGATTATAATAATAATAACGCTTCATACCGATCCAAAGGTGGCGATCTTCTTCATTGAGCTTTCATAATTCACAATTTTGCTACCAGGAGCACGATGCATGAACCAAAACACCCAGTTGAAGTGCAATGGGTGCAGTGATCCAGTGCTTATACCAGTCAAGGGGACAGCAGTCGATTTTGAGGTTCCTGCAACAGTGGATCCCGCTGCAGATGTACCTGTTCCCGATCCTGATCCAGATGATTCTACGCTGCTGCTAGAAACTCCACCTGTGACAGCAGGAGGTCGACTTTGATTCCCTGAGATACCGTGAGCAAGTTTGGAACTGTAGTGAAGTTGCCCTGATTCGCCCCGAACACTTCCACCACCACCACTACCGCCACTAATACTGCCGCCAAAATCCAATGCACCTCCAGAGATCGTGGGTCCATTGCTGGCCGCGCTGGATGATGACGCCGGACCCGAGGTAGATGCTGCCAATCCAAGTCCAGCAGAAGAACTCTGCCTCTGCAATTGCACTAGTTTAGAGCTGCCTCCGCTGCTACCTGTCGTGGATGCATTTCCATCGCCTTGAGTGCGAGTTCTATATCGAATGGAGTGAGAGACAACACCCAGGCGATGGTTTAAAGTTTGGGTCGAAATTGAGTGATCAGCTTTTTGAGTTCAAAAAAGCACGATAATACACGAGACAAAAAAAAAAAAAAAAAAAGCAAAGAAAACGTACGACTTGCGAGTACCCCAAGCAGATTCCATGGGTTGATGTAGATATGTTTGTCTTTAGTTTCTTCCTTTAAAAAAAAAAATAAAAATAAAAATAAAAAAAAAAGTCAAGAGACAAAGGCGAAAATGTGAAAATATAAAGAATATAAATTGATGTACAAGATGCTGATCTGTGCATGAACACGAAAAAATGGTCAGATCAGGTCCAGTTTATGGGTTATTCAGTTACGACGCATACTCTCTTCTTGACTGACAGATGCATCTCAAGTAAAAAAAAACAGAAGCCCCCTTCTCCTCTTACCTCAAAAAAGAACTAGAAGCCCTACGAGGCGATGAATGCAAAACGTGGGTAAGGGAAGGAGAAGGAAAAGAAGGGAAAAGAAAAGGGGGAAACGGATGGAAAATGGTAAAGGATCTGATTTAGATGTCACGAATGTTTTGAAATCAATCTTTCTCTCTTAGTATTATCCCTCTTGTCTTGAGATTATATTTTGTATTTCAAGGAGAACAAGTTTGTCAGGAGTTGCAATAGAAGAAGGCGACAAGCGCTATTCTGTTTGCTGTTTGTGTTGGAGTGATGAAGACATTTCTTCTGAAAAATCTCGTGGCTGATCACATGATCATATGTCTCAGTTTGTAGAAAAGCAAATAGTTAAATACATGTATCCTGATGGACCTTTATCAAAAAAAAAAAAAAAAAAAAAAAAAAAAAAAAGTATATTTGTATTCCTACAGATCCTGGTCTTCCATAAAGCCGACAGCCTTGTTGCTATACCTCATCAACTCCTTCTGAAGATTTAAATCATTAGCTACAGGGTTACGCTGTCGGATTCGTTCATCAAACCAAAACTCTCCAGAGATCCCTTCGACCTCTTCACTCAACGCAAGATACAAGACTGTTCTCGCGCCCCGTGTTGGTGTCCTCAACAGATATTTGAAGCCGAGTCGTGTAATAATGTACAATGTCCAGGAATAGTTGAATAGCCCTGTGTAGCACACGCCAGGGTGCAGGCAGTTTACGGTGATATTAGGATGTGTCTTAGCAAGGCTACGAGCTAGATGACGGACAAACAGCACGGTTGCCAGCTTAGATGAGCAATAGTTATGGATACGATCATAATACTTGGCAGATGTAATGCCACGATAATTGATCTCAGTCGCCCCATAGTGCGCTGATGATGTCAGCATCACAATGCGGGCCTTAGGTGCTTTCTTGACTAAGGGTAACAGCAGATATGTAAGGAAATAGTGCCCCAAATGATTGATTCCAAATTGGCTGTCATGACCTTCAGCCGTGGGCCGGAAATTTGGTAAATCCATCACGCCAGCATCTAATGGAAGAAAAGGAGAAAATAAAGCGTTAATTTTATGGAAGGGTTCTTCTTTTCTTCATTTTTCTTTGCCTCCTTGGCCAAAGCTGATATACATACTGTTGATAAGAAGGTCAACAGCAGAGGTGCGCTTGGATACGTTCTGCACAAAGGCCTGTACGTCCTTGAGGGAACCGAGATCAAGATAGAGGAACTCCACGTTCATGTTACCCGTCTTGGCTTTGATTGATTTAACCGCTTGAATACCAGCTTCGGTCGCCCTATCGCCTTTTATAGTACATTCAAATGTCAATGAATGTTAAGGATCGCGCGTTATATTAGTTTTTTTTTTGACAAGAAATGAACATTCTATGCACTCACCAATTATCAAATGGTAATTTGCCTCGGCGAGAGCCATCGCGGTTATCAATCCTATTCCGTTTGCACCACCTTAGAGTTTTTTTTTTTTTTTTTTTTTTTTTTTAAGGCATGAATATAAGAACGTTTAGTTTTTTTTATTTTTTATTTTATTTTTTATTTTTTTATTACTTTTTAGATTACCTGTTATTACAGCTACCTTGCGTCGTTCGCCTTTGGAAACTGCATCTGCAATCACCACTTTGCTGGAGGCGATAGAACTTGCAATCCGCTTTTCGACTGGAGGCACGTTTGGCAGGCCTTTCTCTCCCAATATCCATTCAGGTATATTTAGTATGATGATTTCTACCATCAAAATGCATATTTCCACAAGACGTTTCGGGAAGTAGCGCGATGCCGAGAGTCGAACCACTGTCCTGTCAAAGAGTTCTCCGCCAAATTGCGTTCCTGGTGTCGCAGGGATGTACACTACATTTGTTATTGCTGCTGTCACTTCTTGTTGCTTTGGTTCGGCTGTCCTATTGGACATTGACGCTGCGCCTATATCCTTCATATTGAGGCTTCAGAATTAGGAAATGGATAGAAGTTGAAGAGAAGAGAAGAGGAAAGAGAAGAGAAGAAGACAAGCGCGCGAGTGGAAAGTGTCAGCCGAGTGAATATAGTCAATATTTGTTTACATTCGAAGTACTTGTATGACTGGATTGCGACGCTTCTTCAACCGAGCTCTGAACCAGACAAACAACAAAAAACATGGCTTCTAGTATATATCCTCTTCCTCAAATAAGTGGAGGAAACAAACTCTGACGAACATCCAATTAAGGACATATTATTAAAGGATTTGTTCTAAATTTCCAAACACATATGCATGTGCATAAATGTTGGGTTGGCTTTATTTGTAACATTGGCATTGTAAGCGTTGCATGACATTCATTCATGCAAATGCTATATCTTTCGGCTCGGAAGAGTGACAGTAAGTGAACAACTACAGGATTCTAAAGAGGTGAGATCAAGCAATGCCGAGAAAGGTCTTTTTCTTTTTTTTTTTCTGGTTTTTTTTTTTTTTTTTTTTTTTCCTTTATCCCATCCCTCATTTACCTTCTCTCGCTTTCTACTGATCCAGAGGACTTAACAATATAACTTGTTTCTAAAGGAAAATAAAAAAAAAAAAAAAAGCCATGATTGAAGTCGATGTCTTTTGGAGCTTCTCTTTCGGAGCCGTCTTTGCCGCATGCTCTGCTGGATCGATCTCCAAAAATATTGCCTTTCAAACTCCCTTCTGGTCCGCTCCTTCTTTTGTTTACACCCTCCTATTCCTATCCTTGATCTTTGCTCCCTCTGGCCTCTACCTCCTCTGGGACAATCCCGGCTGGGAATCCATGTTTGTCCTTGGTGATAAGAACGAAATCCATGCAATCTTGCCGACTCTCTTTGCATTCACCAATGTCCTGCTAGGCATCATTGGTTACTATGTTACCTACTCTAAAATAAGATCTCTAACCTTGAAAAGAACTCAATCAAAAGAATCATTGCCAATGTCTTACCACAAATATTGGATTCATGCCTACACTTGCTTCTGTGCAATCTTGGGTATGGGCTATAATCGTTTTATGTACCCAAGCGATTATGTTGCTTGGCGAGCTGGTCTCCAATATCCATTGACGGATTTCTTCACATCCAGGATACTCTTTACGCTTTTGAGTATGGGTGTCATCTTGCTTCCGGTAAATTTATTAGAAGAGTAAAAGGTTTTCGTGGAAAAAAAAAAAAAAAAAAAAAACTAACAGTTAAAACAAATCCATCATCAAAAGGCTGTCTATATCCCAGTCTATGTCTGGTTGAAGGGTACATTGATTAGGCCTGGCGACAAGTCCCGTCTCACCTTGACCTGTATTTTCTATATACTCCAGGGTGTCTCTGTTGTTTCCACCTGTATGTATTCAACCAATACCTCTTTTATTATTAGCATTATTACATATTCTAATTTTCATACTTTAACTACCCTTCTTAATATATGTAAGTGTTTGGTGCCTACATCGTCAGGTACCACGAAAACGACCCTAAACAAACATTTATTCAGAACCTTTGGGCCTTGTTTGACAATGGAAACATCCTTAGCCGAGATAGTAAATGGTCGCCTTTGCTTGGCTTCTGGGTTGCAGGTAAAAATAAAAAAAAAATAAAAAAAAAAATAAAAAAAATAAAAAAAAAAATAAAAAAAATAAAAAAAATAAAAAAAATAAAAAAATAAAATAAAACCTTTCTGGCACAACTAAAACTCACACAACTTTAAATGTCTTAGAAACCGCTGTCATGCTCCTCGTCTATGTGCCCATTCTCTTCGTTCCCTCTATCCCCACTATTGCTGCTACTCACAAGTCTCAATAAAAACTAAACACATATTTATTGTGAACGCGGATATCTTTGTATTAGCATTTTTTATTACAGAAAAAAGAAAAAAAAAAAAAAAAAAGTACTGTACAGGGATTTAATTTTGTATTGTTTGTGGATATTTGTCTTCTTTGCATCATCAAATGTCAATGTCTTCGGATGAATTGCGTGCTGGGCTTGCAATCGGATCTATAACTTCATCCATATTCTGGTCTTGGTCCTGAGACGGCGATATATCTAGATCTGTCGACATATCGTCGAGATCAACGTCCGTTAGAGTTGACTCAGGACCGGAATCCTCACCCTCGTCAATATCCATCCGTTCCACTGAAATATTTGTCTCAGCTTCAGAGCTCCGTCTAGGAAGATGTTCAGATATAGATGATTGTAAATTCTTGGGAGATATAGGCCCCATGTCCTCGTCCGCTTGCATTGCTAAAGTCTGTGGTTGCTCAGCCTCATTGTTGGCAGGTTCAACATCAGATGATTGCACTACTACAGATTCACCTCCATTTATCGCTGGTGTATCCTCTTGTTGGTGCTGCTCCTGGTGACTAAGGAATGCAGTCTCGGAGGCTTCTTGCTGAGCTGATTCACCCTCCGGTTCTGACTTTTTCTCTAAACCTTGAGTCCCATTCTGTTGGGTGCTGTTAATGGTTACTAAGATGGCAGTAAAGTCATCATATTCCTGAATCGAATCCGTGTACAGCCCCGTCATTCCTTCGCGATCCGATAATGTACTGACAATTCTCTGGTGAGTCCAACCTCGATCAATCTTGTCTCCCACAAATTGGGAGACTGCAGCGTTCTGGTCCTGCATTTTGCCTCCTCGCATCACATAGTCCCACAATCCATCGGATGCCATCAGTAAATAACCATGCTGAATGCTAGAGATATCGATGAACGTAATATCAGGTTTACTGCTCAGAATCGGCTTGACAGGGTCCAGCTTGTACAATACATCGCCAATGCAGGCCCCCAGGTTGATCGAGGCTGCTTGTCCATTCCTTGTTCGGTAAGGAATACCATAAAGATTTGATGCACCATTCTTGACTCGTATCCGTGCTTCTTTTAGTGACTGTCGATGTTTTTTATCGTTTTTGAAGTTGGGATCAAACCTGATCACCTTATCGTCGTGTGTCACAAACTCGCCACCATTAGCATAGATTGTCTGTGCAAGTCGTTCCAGTGATGGGGTGTGGTCCTCACTGGAGAAATCCACATTCCATCGTCCTGTCATGTCTCTGGTGCTTAGAATTGTTCGACTGTCGCCAACGTTCACACAGATGAGCCATTTGTCGATGAATATATTAACAATCAACGTCGTACCATCACTGCCAGGATCGTGTTGGAGTTTTTTGGCCTTGTAAAGCAGATATTGCTGTTTCTTATGATCAAGGTACTCCTTATCAATCAGCCGGATTGCCTCTGTAATACGTGTTTTCACAGTCTCCTGGACATCAGGCAAAGACAAATCCTCGGGTTTGTATTTTCCCAAAATCACCTGCATTACGCCAGGTATCGTCGCGATTACAAACGATGAGCAAGCCCGTCCACCATGACCATCAGTAATACAAAACAATCGCCCCAAATACCCTTCACTGTGCTTCAAATCAGCCACTGCATATCCATCCTCACAGTCTGGTTTAGTTAGCCTCTCACGTCTGCTAGTCCTTAGTCGAGGATAAGTATAACCAGTTTGCTGCTCCACTGCAAACCACATTGGCTCCTTTGTAAGATCAACACCATATTGTGACCGCTTGTCAGGATACTCAATTTCCAATAGTGCCTGTTGACCTCTAATACAAAAAAATAAATAAATAAATAGCAAGATAATATTAATGAGTAAAATCTTATATCACCGGTTGTGTCATAGCTTTGGTGACATCCCCAAAGATCCCTGGTAAAAAAACATACTTCAGATGCTCCATGAACTCCCCAGTTTGTGTAGGATTGATAGATAGGTTCATAAGTGCTGATTGGTTGATATCTGTGTCATAAACATAACCCTTTGGTAATTTTTTGAGGCCATTTGGCATATCTTGCTTAGCAAGAATCTTTTGTTGCATAGGAGGGGAATCTGTTCGCACTCGCTTTGAAGATGGCTTTGAATAGCCGTTTGAGGACCTGTCCTCATCATCATTGTAATCCTCCTCCATGCTATCTGAGTCCGAAGTGTCTGATGATGGCGCCACAGGTTTGCGTTTTTTTTTCCTTCCCGCTGGTTTTTTTTTACGTATGGTTGATGTAGTTCTAATTTTTGTATCTACTCCATAACAAAAAAAATTATGCAAGTTAGTTGATCATTGTGTGAATACGTAAACTGTGGTATACAGCACCTATTAGATACAAATTTTTCGCTTTTCAAAAAAAAAAAAAAAAAAAAAAAAAAAAAAGGACACGTCTTACCATTTCCGGCTTCAAAAGACTCTCTAGCATCTGATGATGGCTCTTCCAGTACTCTGAGATCCATTCGATAATATGTTGTACTATTCAACCGCAACTTTTCAATTGGCTCAAACGTTTTGAGAGCTTGTGCTAAAGCCAATCCTGTCGATATAGCGCCTTGTATAGTACCCTTTGGTGTCCGACCACTAGATGCATCGTGCAAGTTTCGTCAGTCCATTAACATAGTTTTTTTTTAAAAAAACAAAAAAGCCCTCTTTCATGCTTCGACATCAATCAATAGAGTTCATACCCAAGGCTTGCAAGACCGAAATGCCGCACACCATCTAATAGTAATCAACAAATATATAAGCATACATGAGAGAAAACCAAAAAGAACTTAGAATGCCATCCTCGATATTTCCGTGCATAACCAATGAAAATTATAAAAAAGCATCACAGACGCGGTATAACAAGAACTTACCGACTAGATCCATGGCGCTCTGCCAATGGTTGCCATAGACAAGTAAAACTTTACAGATCGCGACAAACAATGGGTTTTTAGTCTGCTCTGCCCTCAGGTTGAAATCCTCAAGGTCTGGTAATTTGGTGGATGCTGGTAATGCTGCGAGGGGTTCTGGGAGTTGAGATGGTGACGCAGCAGGTCTGCCTCTTTTCTTTTTTGTAGGCTTTGGCTCTGTAGACTCTGCTTCTTCATTTGCTAGCTCTGTTGTTGTTGCTAACGCCTCGTTTCCAGGCAACTGTACTGCTTCTGCTTCCTCTATTCCCTCTGCTCTCTCTATTCCTTCTGCACTTGATTCTGCCTCCATTGGTGCTGCTGTTGACTCACCATTGGTACTTTTCCCATCCACAAATTCGTTTAGCGTTGAGCTGATGACTTTAGGTGATGTAGCCGTGGCATTCTCGGTGGCATTATTAGTTGTGGCTGAATGTTCTGTAGGCGATGCTAGAGTCGAGTTCGTTCCAAGTAATGAAGTTGCGGAATAATTAACAGCATTGCTGTCACTACTGTTTGGAAGCGCCGAATTTGGTGTGGATGGCTCCATTCCAAGGGTTGTAATGGTGGTACTTGTTGAGATCGATTCTTGATCAGGTTCCTGATTATCTTGACTTGTCGAGATGTTATCGCGTACAAGAAGAGAGGGTGTGGACCGATGTTGTTTTTCCTGGTCCATAGCGGTGTTCATGCTATCCACAAGGTCCATGCCTGATAAATTTTGTTGGGGAAGAGTGTTTTTAAATCGTTCGAGATTTTCTTATTAAGAGACGAAGATTAATGCTGAAGAAAGAGTGTGGATTAATGGCGAGGATGTGTTGCAAGGATAAAAACAAGCCATCACCTCTAATTAGGGACCTTCGCAGCTGCTCTGACACAAAGCAATGTCTAATTAAAACAGGAACGAGAACGATGTCCTTGGACAATTATCCTTTCTCTCCTTTTTTCTCCTTGTAAGACCAATTATAATGGTGAAATGCCTTTCGGATCCACCTAAATTAAAGAAGAGCTGATGCGGCGGTTAAAGACGAGAATAATAATGGAGAAGAAAGAAAAGAAAGTTTAACAGATGCAGGGTTGTGACCATTACTTACTAAGCCGCAGAGGTAACGAACAACGAACAATTGCCTCATCACTTGCAAAGTACCGCGGCAACCTCTAGTAAATTGGGAAACAACTTGACAGAAAGAACATGGAGCACTCTGCTGCTGCATCTAAATGGGCTCGGGAGCCATCAAGCGATGAGGAAGAGTCTTCAAGACGAAAGCGGAGAGAGAAACGCTTTAAAAAGTCAAGAGACTCGCCTGCATCTCGCGAGGGTAGTCGAACACCCACCTCAACCTCTTCTGGTCGTCTCTTATCGCGGGATACAGATCTCCAATATCAACAGCACAGTCGAGATTCTGCACTTAAGCACGAGATCACAGCTCAAAAATATGAATCTAGCAGCGAATCTATTGATTATCAGCAAGACTGGAGTCGAGACCACTCATCCTTATCCACACTTAAGAACCCTGACCACCATCAACACCACCAGCAAGTACCAGAATATCGCATTAAAGTGCCGGATATACCACAACATCCCGTCCTCACAGGGTGTCGTAGCGTTGAGAATTATGAAAAATTGAACAGAATTTCTGAAGGAACGTATGGAGTCGTCTATCGCGCCAAAGATCGCGTGACAGGTGAAATCGTAGCTCTTAAAAAGCTAAAGCTAGATCAGGAGAAAAATGGCTTTCCAATTACAAGCTTACGTGAAGTCTACACGCTCCTCTTAGCAAAGCATCCGCACATTGTCAATGTGCGTGAGATCGTTGTAGGTGACAAGTTGACTCAGTAAGGGACTTTCTTTTTTTTAAAAAAAAAAAAAAAAAAAAAAAAAATTAAGGAACATATGGCAACATTTTTCTATAAAAACAAAAAAGGACTGACAATTATCTACTTTCGCTTATCATATTAGGATCTTTATTGTCATGGACTTCATTGAGCATGATCTTAAGGAATTGATGAGCGGAATGAGAGCGCCTTTTTTGCAATCTGAAGTTAAAACGCTTATGCTACAGTTATTATCTGCGACAGAACTACTGCATGAGAACTGGATATTGCATCGTGACCTAAAGACTTCGAATCTTTTGCTCAACAACCAAGGCGAGATAAAAGTTGCCGACTTTGGGTTGGCAAGACGATATGGAGAACCACAAGATCAGATGACACAACCTGTTGTCACGCTCTGGTACAGGCAGGTGTAGCCTTTTTTTTTTTTTTTTTTTTTTTTTTTTTTCGTCGATGTGATGAGTCAATAATAGGATGCCTGGATCATATTACAACTAACAGGACAGACACACCTTTTAAACGCCTTTTTTTTCTTGAGAGAAATAGAGCACCAGAGTTACTACTCGGATCAAAACACTATACTACCGCCATTGATATATGGTCTATAGGATGCATTTTTGCGGAATTTGTTAATAATGAACCACTCTTACCTGGACGAAGTGAAGCGGAGCAGTTGGAAAAGGTACGATATTCCTCGTGAACTTTGTCCATGAAATGATGTGAAAGAAAAAAAAAAAAAAAAAGAAAAAAAAGAGCTGACCGCAGCTTTTATTTTTTATTTTTTATTTTTTCATCCTACTAAGATCTTTAAGCTTCTTGGAATGCCTAATGATAAAATCTGGCCTGGATACTCAAAACTACCTTTTGCCAGTCATGTCCCCAATTTTGTTCAACCTTATAATTTACTCCGGAAACGGCTGCCCTACTTGACTGAGAATGGGCTCGATCTTATGTCAAGAATGTTGACCTATGACCCCGCAAAGCGAATCACCGCTGAGGAGGCTCTCCAGCACCCCTATTTTTCGTAAGTTTACACGTATTTCAAAGAAGAAAAAAAAGCCTACCTGCTTTTTGCATCTTACTTTGCATCTAAGCTGATAATGAGCACATGTTTTTATCATTCACATATTAGTGAGGCTCCGCCACCAAAACATCCATCAATGTTTCCAACCTGGCCATCCAAAGGTGAAAGGGCAGCAAGACGTAATGCTTCACCAACTGCCCCACAGGCAGGGCATGGTTACGGGCAAGATGACGATGAAACCGGTGGACTGTTTAATTTTGCAAACCAAGAGTCCACTGGTTTCCGACTCAAGGTCTAATTCAACTCATCAAATAATATCTTTAATCCATTAACCATTATTTGCTGGGATAGGGTGTTCCTTATAACAGGAATCGAATAAAGAGACAGACCCATCATTTCAGTAATTCAAACAGTGACTCTATATTAAATATTTATAAAAAATAACACTCTATAATTTTTAGTCAAAAGAATGGGTATATCAAGGGATCACAGCAGCTGCAAATCGTGAATCGCCCAGAGCAAAGAAGATTGGATGTTCATGGGGAACTTTGTGAGCAGCCGCAAGCAGAGAGGCTCTAGATACTCAGGCCTATGAGATCATGACAGAAAAAAAAAAAAAAAAAAAAAAAAAAAAGTTAAAAACGTATTCATCTGAATCTGACGTTAGTTTAAATTGACTTTCATATTCCTGCTTGTCTCACCTCATCCATGGCGCTTCGACCTCAACCTCAACCTCTGCCCCAGGCTCTATTCCCTCTTCTTCCTCCGGATGCAAAGATGACGCATCATCCTCTTTCGTGCTGAAGATAGGGGCGGTTCTTGTGACATGAGAAACTTCTGAAGTTAACAAAACACTGCTGACCATCGATGTGCGGTCATCAAAATCATCCATTCTCCCAGCAGATATCTCACTATGAGTACCGTTATTAGGAATAGTCCGCGGTCTGATAGGAGTATTAGCTTGTTCCTTTTCATCCTCTAATGCATCTGCGTTATCACTCTCGTCTTTATCGTTGATCTTTTCATCATCGTCTGCGCCTTCTTCATCTGCAGCTTCGGTATCCCCACGTTGCTCCACGATCTTCTTGCGGGTTTCCTCCAGTAGTTCTGCAAGACGCTCTTCAATACGGTCCACCACCTCGAACGGTGCTAAGGGTGCAACCTTTGTGATCGAATCCAGTAACAGTTGTACAAATTCCAGGTGGTGTGGTCTCTTTAATGCTAGCTGTAGGACTTGCCATAAAAACTCCATAACTAATGTCGACAGCGCGGGATACTCCTGGTGTTGTGCAACCCCAGCATCTTTACTCTTACTCTTACTCTTACTCTTCGGTTTTTCCCGGAGTGGTGGAAGATCTGTTAATGAGGTAACACCATATGAGATCATGTTCAATAGAGATCCTGAAGCGCCAGGGTTGCGGAACGATTCCAGTGTAGGGTCCTGGAAGGCATGTAAAAGTCCATCCGCTATATAATTGACCCCTTGCAAGTAGACATCGCCATCACTGTTCGTTGCGAACTCTCCAAAATATACATTATTGCGAGAGTCTGAGTTCTCATCCACAGCGTCCTTGAGCAATAAAATGATCAGCTCAAATGGCGCACAAACCTTGATCACCTGATCCATGAGCCAATGATATCCTGTTGTGAATGCAATCCTGTAAAATGTAGGAATGTTTGGGTCTCGGGCGGCTACCTCACTTGGGCCATCATCATTAGGAATTACATAGTACTCGCGTTTTCGCAAGGGTCGCTGTGAATTATAGGCAGTATAATAATCAACGACTTGACGCAAGGCCTCGACATTGGAGGCTCTGCATGGATGCAGAGGCAAGGAAGGTGCACCTTTCAATAAATAAATAGATTCCTGTCCTCCAGGTGGAAAAATGTACCCAGGTCTGAGTTCCGATAACTGAACTGTAGCCTTAGAGCAAAAGTCGCGAAATTTCTTAGGTCCATACAAATTCCGTGCAATGGCTATTTCGCAGTGATCCCTGATCTCAACCTTAGTTACTGCGACTCTGCACATCTGCTGTAATGCATCCTTCTCAAACTTTAGGATCGCCTGGTCGTCCTCACGGTCTTCTGCTCTCAATGATCTGCTAAGCTTTTCCATTAGCTCCGGCTGAGTCTAAAAAAAGAAATAAAAAAGGACACATACATTGTAAATGAATAATATTCATACATGTAGTTTGTCCAGGATTTTTTTTTTTTTTTTTTTTTTTTATTTGTACCTGGCACATTTGAGTGATCTCCTCTTGAAGCAAAGCAGTGGTAGTTCCTTTGAGACCGAACCTTGCTGCTTGCTTCATAACATCCATGCCACGCCTAATGCGAGCATTTAATGAGCTTATCTGGAGATCACGATCGGAGCACCAGTTACCGGTATATAATAGCCGCAGTGAAGCCTCAATCGCATAAAGCTCTAATGCATCAACACATTGAATCTCTATAACCTGGGAATCATTGCTGTCTCGGTCATCCAATAAAGTAATGGTCTTTTCATTTAGATCCTTCTTTCCTGCGAAGAGCGACGCAAAGAAATCGCTCTCTTTGCTGAGGATACGTGAGTGAAGGCTCAGTGTCCTTTTGAGTGATCCTGGGACCTGTAGAATGGCCGTGACATCGCTATAAAGGCCCTCTTCGAACAGAACCCGGCTAGCGCTGAGGTGCGGCATAGGTGCGACAGCAGGCTCCGGACTTGGTACAGGACTATTGCTAACAGGCGAAGAGGCACTCATAGAAGAGACTCGCCTTGAATTGGATCTTGACGGCGGAAAAGACGGAAGGAAAGAGCTGAACTCCATCATGTACTTCCTGTTAATAACGAGAAATAAACAAAATAATGAAAAGAAGTGGAGTAGAGTGGAGAGATAGAAACAGGAGTAGATGAAAGGAGTAAGGAACGAATGAATGAATGAATGAATGAACGAATGAATGAATGAATGAAAGAGAAAGAATGGAATTATGGACTAGATGAGCAAAAGACAGAGAGTTGTAGTGAACGACCTGTCTTTGTGTGACCTTTCGTCTTCACAACGGTTCCCCTGCCTGTTCCTTGTGCACTACGCCCGGGAAAAACTAAATTGTTTGACCAAACTCTGTTGCCACAGTCGGCATGAATTTATTTATTATTTTTATTTTTTTGAGACAGAAGGAAAAGAAACCAAGGTTTGGCATTCGACTCGTGTTTTGTTGCAACAGTTGCGTCAAATATTCTTGATCTCTGTAACACCGTGGCATGTCTGTCCTTTTGCCTATCCTCAACCTCAACATGTCTAGCAAATTTGTATCCAGCGTGGTCTTAGGCTAATAAAATCTGCAATTGGAGGGATCGAAAGATCAGATTATGCAGATGAAGGACAAGCCACACTGCCATAAGTTCAATTGCTGCAATTGCTTACCGGTAGAACTATTGCAATACAACAATAGGACAATAAGGACAATAGGATGAAAACAGAGAAGGGGGGGAAGAAACCCAGGGAAAGTTTGTAATGTATTTGTCTACTTGTGAATACCTTAGTCTATAAGTAAGCGGATTAAGGTATGAGAGAAGAAGTAAAAACGGAATCGACGCTTTCCCAACCTAGCCTCTGTCTGTGACATGATTTGCGCACATGCAACATTTGCACAACCATCCTCCTTGTAGGCTAAAATGAACAGCAAAAGATTCCAAATTACTCTCCAATAAAGTCAGTCTGTCAAAGAGTACAAAGTACATGTACTTTTAAAGATTCACATTCAATTCATGTCTGTCTCAATCAAATTTCATTAAAAAAGAGAGATCTGACTTGACCTTTTTTCCCTTCATTGTTCATCCATTCTTGTGACATAATTTACAACCCTTCACATCACTCAAAAGAACTCCAGGATCATTATCCTTTCTCACCAAAAAAGAAAAAAAAAAAAAAAGAGTCGGTCTGCGCCCTATTTCGTTGCTGAGAAATAGAAGAGCTGACTTGATTGAATCAATTTAATAGTTTGGTACACCTTCCTTCCCTTCCTTTCCCCTCTTTTCACTCTTCATCGCACGATATTACGATCATTGACATAGACTTTGATACACGCTTACAATACAACATTTTATACTCATACCACTCTGCACTTACTACACTAACTGCACCTACTACACTTCTACACCACACTATTTTACATACACCCTCTCTCTTTTTCTTTCACAAACTGCAAACTGCACTTCAAAATTCGAGCAGCCGGAAACACACCTTTTGACTGGTTCCACTGACTTTACCTCAAATCTTCATATTTGCATATTGGCTTGTATGTCTCCATCCTTCCATTTTTTTTTTTATTTTCTTTCAATCGCTCACTCTTTAATTTTTTCTTCTTTTCTCTCCTCCCTTTTTTTTTTATATATCTATATAAAACTATTTGTTTTTTCTTACCCATCTCTTTTTATTTTTCTGTTGTCGATATTTTTTATTATTATTATTTTTTTTTTTTTTTTTTTAACCTAGAACAGCTGACATTCTATTTGTCTCTTGACCTAGACTGTCAGAAACATCCCAACTACGCAGCTGTCAACACCATTCTTAAAGTGACCAAGAGATATATCTCAAGATGATGAAGCAGGTCCTACCAAGGGATTCTACCGCGCATGCCCCAACCCTTTCTCCTCTTCTTACCATGCCACAAGCTCCTACTGCAGATACGTCATCTGTGTTGAGTCCCCATGTGCCTATCCAAAAGGCTCCTGCACTCGACATGAGCACTGTTCCTACGACTGCTCCACCAGAGAACCCTCGCACTAACCCACCTACGCGCATCTTTGGCCTTGAGGATGCACCATGCTTCTATCCGACCGCTGATGAGTTTATTGAGCCTTTAAAGTATATTGAGAGTATCCGTCCAGAGGCTGAGAAGGCCGGTATCTGCAAAATCATCCCCCCCGCGGGCTGGAAACCCCCTTTTTCACTCGATACTGAGGTGAGTTTTCTTTTCTTTTTCTTTTTTTTATTTTGTGACCTTACGTGTCTCTTGGTTTCCTGGCCATGGGAGACAGGGTATACAGGCTGTAAAAGTTGGCTTTTTTCTTTTTTTCTTTTTTTTTTCCTTTCCAACCTGTGTAAGGGCATCAATAGCACTATCTTTTTTTTTTGCTGCGAATCATTCCTTGTTGCCCTTTTAGCTTGTAGCTTGTACATACTCTTGCTGCTTAGCACACGTGGGGGATAGCCAATCTCTCCACATAATACCACAGCATAGGAATGCTATGAAGTTTGGGAAGAGAATACATGAAGTTTACCCAATGAAAGTGGTACTTGGAGAGTTTTTTTTCTTTTCTTTTTTGGGTCGCAGTTATTGTGACCAAATCTCTTTTGAGTGGTCAGAGTCGTGTCTGCACTGTTTCAACTGCTTGTGTTCCCTACCATCTTGGACTGCACCATCTTGGACTGCACTGCCCAGCAAACCTCAAGAAGGAAAGACGGGTGGTAGGAGAGTTACTGGTCTAGGGGACATTAAAAAACGTTCTCTAGATATTTTTTAACCTAGAACAAAAACATACAGGGTATTCACTCTGTCTCTTTTCAAGACCCGCTTTTTTTTTTTTTTTTTTTTTTTTTTTTTCCCTGTTATTCTCGTTCATATGAATACCATTTATTGCAACTCATGTTGCTCTTTATTGCTTACCCATCTATATAGGTTTTTCGTTTCAAGACTAGGATTCAAAGGCTCAATTCGATGGAAGGTCAGACGAGGACCAACCTCAACTACCTTGAGCAACTCTACAAATTCCATCGTCAACAGGGCCATCCTGTCTACAAGATCCCGCAGCTCGATAAGCGACCTATGGACTTGTATCAACTCAGAAAAGAAGTTGCCGCTCGTGGCGGTTATCAAAAAGTATATATACATATTAATCGCAAACTATGGGGCCGTGATTATTTATCCAACGACATCACGACACCTAGAATCTTGCACAGTAAACTGAAGCAAATGCAAATCCCGCTAATGTGACGCGATCCATCTCTTCTCACGGGACTCCCTCTCTGCGCATATTATATTTCTTCTGATAGGTGACCGCGAGCAAAAAATGGGCGGAGATTGGACGTGGCATGAATTACACACGAAAGCAGTGCACATCCATGTCAAATGCTCTTAAAAACGCCTACCTTAACATTATCCTTCCTTACGAGGTCTATCTTGCTAAGCATAAGCAGCCAAACTCTACAGCAAGCTCACCAGGTGATGCTATTGCTGGCACTAAACGAGAAGCAAGCACAGACATGTCATTAGACGAGAGTCAAGGCACCTTAGCCACACCTGCAGCTTCGCCACCACCCAGTAGTGAGTCCATTCTTCCCACTCCCACCCGACGATCCAAACGCATTAAAAAAGAGCCCATTTCATATGCAGGTTGGTATCCTTGGTCGTTTACTCTATATTCTGCGCTCATTTTTTTCTTCAACGAGTAATTGATTCCTAACACCCATGTGTAATTAAATAATTGACAATTTCTTTATTTTCTTTTCTTTTCTTTTTCTTTTTTTTTTTTTTTTTACGTTGAACAAATGAATGGATGATTAATTGTCATATATTTATAGACTCTATGCCTTCATCTCCAGCTGGATCATTGTTAGACCGCATGTCAACAGAACCAGCGTCCTTCAAATCAGAGGATAGTCATACCAGCAGCCAAAACGACAGCGAGAATAATAACGTAGACAAATCTAAAGCTATCTGTGAACTGTGTCGTCAGGGAGGTCACTTGGATAGGATGCTAATTTGTGACGGCTGTGAACTTGGACACCATACTTTCTGTTTGAGTCCGCCACTGCAGCATATCCCCAAGTCTGACTGGTATTGTCCTAAATGTTTGATCGCAGGTGAAGACTTTGGGTTTGAAGAAGGAGAGGAATACTCTCTGAGCTCGTTCCAGCAGAAATGCAACACGTTTAAGAAGGAGTACTTTGAAAAGATGGGATATGCGGACGGGAAAGTCTCAGAGGATGTGGTCGAACGAGAGTTCTGGAGACAAGTCGAGAATGCTTTCGAGACTGTTGAGGTCGAATATGGCGCGGATCTTCACTCATCGCAACACGGAAGGTACTTTCTTCTTGGCTTCCGTTGTCCAAAAAAAAAAAAAAAAAAAAAAAAAAATCTTTTTATCACAAACGACTGACTTTTGTAATATCACTCTGGTATTTCAAATCCTCCAGTGGGTTCCCGACGCAGAAGCGTAATCCTCATGACAAATACTCGACTCATCCTGCTAATCTAAACAACATGCCGGTGTTACCACAGTCTCTCTTCCGCCACATTAAATCTGATATTTCAGGAATGATGATCCCTTGGTTGTATGTTGGCATGTGCTTTTCAACTTTCTGTTGGCACAACGAAGATCATTATACCTATTCGATTAATTACATGCATTGGGGAGAGACCAAGACCTGGTACGGAATCCCAGCTTCAGATGCCCTCAAGTTTGAAGAGACGATGCGACAGGCTGTCCCAGAACTCTTTGAGCAACAGCCTGATTTATTGTTTCAGCTCGTGACAATGCTTTCGCCTGGCAGATTAGTCGAGAATGGAGTCAAAGTTGTAGCATTGGATCAAAGACCAGGACAGCTTGTTGTGACTTTCCCACAAGCTTACCATGCTGGATTTAATCAAGGAGTAATAATTTGACGCTTTTTTTTTTTTTTTTTTTTTTTTTTTTTTTTTTTTTTTGCATTGTTCTTGTCTGAAACGACGTACAGTCAATCACACATACTGACAAGCAAATCTCTTATTTTTTTTTTTTTTTTTAAAAAAAAAAAAAAAAAAAAAAAAAAAAGTTCAATTTTGCTGAGGCTGTCAATTTTGCGCCACCTGACTGGTGTCACTTTGGAGTTGACTGTGCACTGCGATATAAGGAACATCGGAAACACCCTGTCTTTTCACATGATGAATTAATCATTACCACAGCGCTTAAGGACAGAAGCTCCGAGACTGCAAAATGGCTTCAGCACGAAATGAAAGATTTGTTGGAGCGAGAGATGGCGCAGCGAAAGAAAGCTTTGGATTCGTACCCATTTATGGCTGTAATTGTGGAAGAAATGGATCGTCCTGAGGAAGAGGTCCAATGTTTGTATTGCAATTCCTATATATACCTTTCACAAGTTGCATGCAGCTGTGGACCCAAAGTTGTTTGTAGCGATCATATTTCTGAAGTAAGGATGTGAAAGTGAAGGGAGTAAGAAACTTGTACCTATTATTGGATTTCTTTAATAGCTTTAGTAACATTCTTCTCTTTTACTGTGACGACTTAGTTCTGCCAATGCGATCCATCGAAACGTTTTCTCCGACTTCGGTACTCTGACAAACAGCTCGAGGATATTGTCCAAAAGGTGGTTGATACCGCAGCCTCTGCATAAAAAGTTTTTCTTTTTCTTTTTCTTTTTTTATTCTCTGATCTATACTTCGCAAGGACATCTGCAATTGAGGAACGGGTATCATCACAGTTCCTTCATGTGTAAAAAAAAGAAAAAAAGAAAAAAAATCTTTTTTTTTTCTCTTCCCTTCCTTCTTTTCTGTGTTTTGCTGGCGAGATCAGTATAGTTGGGTTGGATACAAAAAATATATGTCTACCATTCGATTGTTTACCATCTTTTTTTATTTTTGGCCAAAGAAGAACCCAGACTATATATTCTTCGAACTCTTACTGTTGTACATTGCTTGTAACATGTTTATTTTACGTTTTTCTTTTTTTCTTTTCTCTTCTTTATTTTTATTTCCTCTGCAAAAAAATAATAAAAATGGCAAGGAACAAATAACACGCTTCCAGTGCAAAAATGAACCAAGATCGCCTATCAGTTAACTTTTTTCTTTCGTTTCATAGGAATGTATGTAGACATTAGTGATACCTGGCACAAATAAAGCCTTCGTCGCCATTTACGTCATTATTGAGTAGGGTTCTTCCAGCCTGGCTCTTTAATGAAATAACGTTTTTTTTATTTTATTTTTTATTTTTTATTCCAAGCTAGTTATTGACTCAATTTCGGATTATTTTGATTCTGACCCCTCGGGAAAGATTCGTTAAGAAAGGGTCGCTCACATTTGTATGGAGATCTTGATATTGGCATTGGATATCGCTCAGCAATGGTCTAACTTCATGATCGAAGGATCTAATCCTTGTCCTTGTAGGAAATATGGTCCGTGGCTATTATACTTGCGTTGTTGATTGGTACACTGACTGAAGTATAGAATTTAAAACCCCACTAGTTTTAAATCTCAGGTGAAGAAGCTAGTTTTTACGAAACCAATTTCTTTACTCAAAAAAAAAAAAAAAAAAAAAAAATCAATAAGGAATCAAGCTGAAAGAATCATAATGTTTATGCCAATGTCTACTTGAAGTAAAAAGATAGTTTTTGTACAAATGAGTCGCGCACATTTATTTATGATTTCTTTTGTTTTTTCTATTAGGTGTGATACTCCTCAAAACAGCTCTGTCCTGCTTTTGACTTTGCAGGTGATACAGCTCCATTCTGTCTGAAAAGTAGTTTTTCTGCCTTCTTTTAGACTCTTGAGCTTACAGTTAACGCACGTTATCCTACCTTTAGCAATCCCTCCTTCGCTTCCTCTGACTGAGTAGTGAAATCCCAGCAGATGGCGGTGGGGGTTTGGAGCAGAGTCGTTTTTAGTAATCTCTTGCCTTTTTAACACTTTAATAGTAAGTTTGGAAAATCTCTAGCTTTTTGAGTGCCTTTGCTTGACGATAGCTTGGGACCTGGAGAGCGATAAGAGTTGGTTTACAAGCTTCAAGCGAAATTGACGATGTCCGTCTTTCCTCGTCAATTTGTTCTTGATGTGCCACAGTATATATGAGTTGATAGTACTCAAAGACTTTTTCGTATCTTAGAAGCACTTGCTTTGTTTTCTTGCGGGCTCCCTCTAGCCTTATTCACTAGCCCGCTGTTGCCATAAAGGCTATGGATAGTTGTCAACATTGTCACAAGATCACGGTCAACCCAAAGCACTGCTAAGACATCCTTAACTATCTCACCTTTCTCGCTCCACTCTAGACGCGTTTCTTTGAAATCCTTGAGGGAAGCAGAGAAATGTGGTGAGTCGAGACGAACGGCCTCACATGCTCCAATGCCACGACTCAATATATTTTTGAAAAGGGAAGATGGTTGAAAAAGAACCGTCTATGTAAACATTGAATTTCAAGGCAGGAAAATTCCGAAAGCTGATCTACGAAATATACAACCTTTCGTCCTGTGGCAGAGAGAAGCTCGTCGCCGTCACAGATGGGCAAAGGGTCCTGCAAGAGCTCGACATCGGGCTCTACTCGCCTCGCAACTCAGGTAAAAAGGTAAATTATAGCCTGTATCGTATAAAGCCAGAATCTTTTATCCTTCTGGAATTGACTTGGATCTTAGTCAAAATGTGTGTTTGCTTCCATCTGAGAAAAGAATGACCATCTTATCAGTCGATATATTTCGTTATGGGACATAATGGTGCTTGGAAGCGTATTGTACCTGACGAAGACATGACCGAACCTTGTCGTAATAGCTAGTCTGAACGCCGTTGGGCGATGCGTCTTGAGGACTCGAAATGTGCAAGTAACGTTTTATCTGCTGTACTTCATGGAGAATGTTGACATCCAATCCTTAATGAAGCAATGTGAATCCATCTTCAAATATTAAGAATAAACATCCTCGAAGGTACCAAGTTGGGGCTAATAATCGTCGTCACGAACAAGGAGATTCACTACATTTATACTAAAAAAGCTACCGTAGTGAAGACCATACTAAAGACTTACTCGTATAAAAATTTGTGCGGGATCCTTTCGCACAGTCACAGGTCCTCTAAACCTTAACTATGGTATGGATCAATCACATCGTCGGATTCTATTTCAATTTAACTTAATTGGAGGCGTCAATTTATAGAATTTTGCTTAATTGCTTTTTTAAGTAAAAATATTTTTTTTTAATAAATTGGAACCAAAAATGGTCAGAATTCAGATATGATATGGTTCCTAAGAAAGGAAAGAGAAAAGCCAGCAGATGGATCTTGGATCTTGGCTCTGTGGATTGCCGTTTTGTCTTCTCATGAGTGTCATACCTAACCATATATTTCTCTCCTCTTCTACCACTTGATCGCACGATCAAAAAAATAAGTAAATAAAAGGATCTACAGATGTAATAACAAAATGCCTTTATTAGAGAAAGTCTAGATCACTGATTACTTTGCTTGCTTGCGTCGTTTGCTTTGTTGTCTTTCTTTGATCTTTGATTCCTTATCTGCTGTTCCGGCTTTACGGTCCCGTTGCTTACGGTGCCCGCCTCGTCCTCGTGTTACTCCTGAGGTATGAGAATCATGCGGATCAGATTGGCATGAATATTCCAACATCTCTACGTCGTCCTCTTCTTCTCCTTGACTCAAACCCTCTGTTGCTGGAACTGTAGCACTATCATCACCATCATGCATGGGCATTTCCTCTTCATTTGCAGAGTCCATCAACTCCCCTTCTTTTTCAGGATCCGAAACTGTCAAATGATAAGTGAGCTCCAGATGACATTTTTCACCTTCACGCATATACTCCGCAACAACAGTAATTGTACAGGATTTGTCTTCTGGTCCAGGGATCCCACGAAGTTCTCCGCGGTGCCATTTTAGCCAGGCCGGAAGCCATGGACTACTATATTCAGCTTGTGGGCCTATTCATGTTTTTTTTTTTTTTTTTTTTTTTTTTTGTTATTATAATCGTACGACATGCATACAAATAGCAGTGAAAGAAAATGAGCCTTAGGCTCCTTATGACTTACACGACATCTGAGCATCCCAGATCCGTGGTGTATAGACATAAGGGACACCAACTCGAGCATATTTAATAATCTGCCCTGCTATCCGGCTGGTGTATTCACGGAATTCCCACCGAATTGGAGGATCAGATGGAGACATTGTAGAACTGATAGGACCAGTAGTGATTCCCGAGACGCCTCCAGAGGACGTAACAATACCAATTCCTCCTACTGCAATAATATCGGCTAGCCTTGATTCGGGGATCTTTCGAGCCTCGATATTCCAAACATGATTTCCTTTTGATTTTTGCTTCTTCCCATCCTCATTGAACCGAGAAATATACCTGTGTTTCCAAAGATAGACCTTAACTTTACGAAGTGGTAGAATGTCCTCAGTCAGACCATGTTGTACCAGTGACTCGTGAAACGCGTTTGTAAAGGCTTGGATCCTGAACTTGAAGGGCCGAAAGTCTGAAGAAGCCTCGAGACGCTGCATCTTCTTGGCCATGAGAGGCTGGTGACTTCAATGACGTGCCATAAAAACCGAAAAATAATAATAGTTACAATAATAGTTAGATGCAAATAGGGATAAAACGTTGAGAAAAACGTAATAGTAGAAAAGAGTCAGTTGATGGAGCGTACACATCTCCGCACCAAGAAAAAGAACTCTTTATCCCAGAAAAAAAAAAAAAAAAAAAAAGGGGGGGCACAGGTGGAAAAGGGGAAGTGAAAAAAATAACAATAATAATAATAATAATAATAATAATAATAATAATAATAATAATAATAATAATAATAATAATAATAATAATAATAATAATAATAATAATAATAATAATAATAATAATAATAATAATAATAATAATAATAATAATAATAATAATAATAATAATAATAATAATAATAATAATAATAATAATAATAATAATAATAATAATAATAATAATAATAATAATAATAATAATAATAATAGCAATAATAATAATAATAATAATAATAATAAATAAAAGGGGACAATGGTACGAAAGATAGAATGTGCCCTGAGCCCTGATCCCGCAATGTTGGACCATGCCAAACATGCAAACCAATTTTGAGCGCACCGTTGAAGTTGTATCAGTTGCATGAGTGAGCAGTGAGACAAATCCCCAATCGACCATTGAGTGGGAGAAAATCCAAGTGAAAGGACGCACACAGCCATGCGTGGCTCATGGCTCATGGCTCATGGTTCTTTGGGACTTTTCCCGTACTCCCGCCGTGGGTTCATTGTTTGTAACTGCATTGCTCACTCTTCTTTCCTTTTCCCCTTCTTTTCTATTCTCTCACAGTACAGTCCTAGCGCTCCACTTTTTTTTAGAAACAAAAAAAAACTTTTTTCGTTCTTTTTCTTTCCTCTTTCTTTTAACTTTCATTAGCATACACTTTCCTCTTCCAAACCTACTCAGTCCACTCCAACTCTCATCTCCACTTCAATTAAGCTCACACTCAGTAAATTATAAAATTAAACCCCCCTTACTGTCACTATTATTCACTTACATTTGTTCACCTCGTGAATCGCTTGCCTTCACTAACAGGGATAGAACAGAATATCAGGATAAACAAGAAACATTACGTATGCTTCCTCAATACCGACTTTAGCATCACCATTGCCATCGAGAATAACAACAATGATAATAACATCAACGCTATTGACTAATTCCTAACAACCATCAAGATACTTCCTTGTTTCAAATATTGTCTTATCTTTTCATTTTGCTCCCACTCCATTTTACTTACAGTCTGAACATATCCGTTGCAGAAACCTGAAAAAAAGCTCATCCAGTCTAGCAATAACTTCTGGCTCCAATGGCGCATGGTATTGAGTCCTTGCTCCGCCTGAATTACTTTCACGGCCCATTTTGTGGCCATTACTACCACTGTTAGTGCGTCCACCTCCTCCGCTTCCTCCTGCATCAAACGCCAAACCCAGTCCTTGGCCTGCAGCATTTCCTGCTGGAGAGAATGGAAACGTTGAAGATAAAGCCGAGAACACGGGCAGAGCTCCCGATGCGCTAATGGGTGGTGATGGCCCAGACGGTATCAGTAAAGTTGTAGTGGTGGGCGTAGAATGGCTACCACCGGGAGACAATCTTCGTTCTCCATTCGAGTTATACTGGATCATCCCTGTGCCGCCCCCACCAACAATACCTGAGGACATTTTGTTGTCTGTCACATCTGTATGACCAAGACCAACGTCTTTTCCACTTTTATTCTGTCCATCTTCTGTGTTTATCCGAGCAGATGCTTTGCTTTGTTGGCCAGAAATGTACTCATGCTGAATTTGAGCTTGCTGCGGTATCCTTGCCTGTTGCTGTGGCCGTGAGAATAGTGGCGCGTCTTGCATATCTCTGTCTGCTCCTGCACGTGTTCTATGAAAGGTAGGTGGTAGGTGGGGGGGTTGCTGGTGTGGATGATGCACTGGATGGTGTATATCATGTCCTGGAACATACCTGGAGCTGCGGAGATCATCTGTGTTGCCTGATTGTGAAAGAGATGATTGATATGTGCTATACTGTGTCCTCGGGGGACTTTGCTGCGTTGTAGCTAAGCTAGGAGATATGGACCTAGGCCCTCCATCATGATCCGATTGCAAATGGTATGGCGAATCACAACTTTTCCGCCTATACTCCAGCACCTGAGGTAGTGATCTTTGACGTGGACGGTACACTGGATGAATAATAGGATCCTGTAATGTAGCTGCAGGACTACGACGAGTTAAAGAGGGTAAAGATTGCCCAGGGACATTCTCGGGTGAAGGCGATATTGCTGATGACAGCTTATTTGTCATCTCATTTGTCTGATGCTGTTGGTGTTGAGGATATACAGTTGGTCGGTTACGGTCCTGTGATGAAATGGGCTCATCTCCCAAAAAATACATCCTCTGATCAGAGTGGAAAGGTCGTTTTGATCCCGAATGAGCCTGCACTGGTGGAGTGTCATGCGCTTCACGATAGCGACCTGCCTCTTGTACTGATTGATATCGTGGTTGCACATGTGTAAGCTGTGGTTTAGCTGCTCCAGGGCCAAGGAAGGATGTATGCCCAAAGCCCAAGGCATGTGGTACTGGTCTTGGTGGTGTAGGACCTCGATTAAGATGCAATGGATGGTCATGGGGATATGTTGTAGAATGCTGATGTAATGTCAATGATGGGTTTCCCTGCTGTTGATATGAAAACGTGGATGCTCGGTCTTGCTCTTGAATGCTCATTTGAGTAGGAGGACGCTGGTACTCTTGAGATATTGGATCTGTATAAACTTCAGCTCTCTATCGTTTATTATCAAGATAATTCCGATGCACCAATGAAAGAAGACCAAGACATCAAAAAAAGAAGAGGTGAGAAATGAATGGTTGACGGCCTTCCTGAAGTGGAAACAAATATTGAGTCGACTGAGCGCAAAATACGATGGGTGGGCGCATGTGTGCTTTGTGGGCACTAAATGCTTGATACGCCATATGAAGTGTGATTAAAGGAGGTTGAGATGAAACAGGCTCCAGGAAGCCAATGCTTACCCTGGAGCCTTGAATACGAGATATATGCTCCTCATTAATTGGGCTATCTTGCGTTTTTCTGTGAGAGACTGAACCTATGCGGTTGGCGTGGTATGGTGAGCAAAAGTTGATCCACTATGTCAATTACTTCCATGTGATTTGCTATAATTTTTACTGAGGTTCAGTGAATGGTAGAGAAACTAACTTGTCCTTTTCTGGAGGTATTGTTACTAGGCTCTTCAATATCCACGTATAGGTTCAAAGACACAGGGGTGGAACAAGTAGAATACATTGTAATGGGGAATGGGGATTGGCAATGGATAAAGATATATTTGAAATGAATGTCAGTCACCCTCCGAAGCGCGAATTGATTTCACTTAGCCACCGGAGGTGTCGCAGACAGATTTTGAGAAAGCCCCTATTTGCAAATCGAAGAAATCTGGAAAACTGGTGTTCCAAACAGTCAAAAGGATAATGAAATAGGAAAATGACCATGTTTCTGAATCATTTGAACGGATCAGCTTTGATGAGCCCATTGAAAGACAAAAAAAAAGTGGAGGGGAGGAGGGAAGGTGCGCGCACTGACATGACACCACAACAAGTTCTCTTTTTTGTTGAGCAAGGGGAGGGTGAACTTATATGGAGAACAGTGCTTACATGATCTATATGTGTTCCATCTTGCTCTAGATCCATAAGCCCAAGCTCCAATTCCTTGGCCTTCTTCCAGATTTCCTGTACTGAATAGATGCAGCTTGAAATAGATCCTTGAGAGAACCGCAGCCTGGCTGTGGAGGCCAAGGCGACAAGGCTACGAGTATGAAATGACAAGAGAACAGTGCGGAAAAAAAAAAGATGTAAAAGTAACACAAGTAAGATGGCAAATATCACCGAAATCAACATTCAAGCGGCTGGTGGGTACTCCCCAGATGCAATCGCGAGGTACTCGAATGAAAAAGAGCTGTGTGAGTATCCCAAAGAAGGCTCAGAAAAGTGTCAAAGCTCACGCACCAGGGCCTAACCGCACTTCCATGTATTTTGGCCTATGCTCTTTCCTTTCATTTATGCTACTGTTGTCTGTGATATCTATACCTGTTGAAAAGTGAACCTAGCTTTTCTTCTTGAGATGGATCCATTAGAAACCGAAGCCCTGCAGATCTCGTACTATCCATTATCAATGGTAATCAAAAAAGGTAAGAAACGGAAAAGAGGATTGCGTAAGTAAATGGCTGTACGAGCACGAATGGATGGATGGATTATTGGTAGATAAAGATGTTCAGGGGCTAAAATGAAGACTCGAGTTGAAAATAGTGTAAGGGAGACTGTTTGCGTTGCTCCTACTGTTTTTCGAATCAGCGTTAGGCATATGGACTGTTACTGGCGTAATATGGCAGCAAGGAAGGAATTGCTCAATGGATCAAAAAGAGCATCAATACCTTACATGTATTAATGAAAGAGAAACTGAAGAGAAGGAAGGAGAGAGGGTAGCGTATTGTGGATATTTCTGGATCAGAGCTAAGTACAAGTGTCAAAGCAAACATTGGACAGTCGAAAAAAGAACGGAGAAATGAATCGGCAGAAAGGGGCTGATTGTTCGGGATTGGCTCGAGGTTGAATTGCATAAAAAGAGATATACACGAAGAGTTGCTTCACTGTGCTGAGAACACCATGCTGACGGTAGACTTATCAACTGGGAATTTTTAGAAGGTGAGAAATGCTGTTGATGAAAGAATACCTATCACCCCTCTTGCCTCCACCCGCATACGGATCGTAGACAGGATCATTTCCAGTAGATGAATAGATTCGGGAAAGGATTGCTCAAGGTGAGGTAACAAAAAAAGGAAGTGACTCTTACTGCAAAGGTTCCTTTCCTATTTACCTGAGCCACCAATGTTGAATCCAGGAACACTCTCGTTCAACAAAGAAGGCACCTCTTTGCAGAGACGCCCTGTTCGGTTGGGGACCTAGTAACCCAAGCCCAGATCAAGAAGCGATTGTAAGCACTTACACCTAGAGTGTTATCTCCGAGAGGAGATCAAAGGTAAAGGGTCTGAGTACTGAAGATCGGTGCTTTTTTTTTTTTTTTTTTTTTTTTTTTGGTCTGCTTGTGTTAAAGATTGAATGCGCGTATTCTTGTGACGATAGAGTGATCCAGTGGAGACAAGAAAGGACGGGAAAAAACTTGCATTGAGAATTTTAGAAGTGTTACAGCTTGATCGAGAGAGAAAAAAAAAAAGTGAAGTCAGGGCAGGATGCAAAGAATAGAGGGAACACGCGATTTGCAGCACAGGATGTACTTTAAGAGATCAAGAAGCGTTTTTTTTTTTTGTTCAACACGATGCAAATTGGAGGATATATGGAGACAAAAAAAAGCATGTGCGGTAGGTGAAGATGCGATGCGATGCTCGTCCCTACTTTTTCGATGTTTGGATAAGGTTGAGGAACAAAAGGAATTGACGGGAAAGGGCTCGTTATTTAAGAACGTTAGCTTCAGAAAGAGTCTACTTGCTGGGAGAAGATAGAGAAAGGAATTGGACTGGATAAGAGTAAAAGGGACCAGGGAGGCTGGGCGTTTGATTTGGACCTGATTGCGTATATCAGGCTGGGCATGTATGTGTAATGCTAACTGAACGGGGAGTGAATGAATAGTAAGCAAGATAGAGTGTTTAAATACAAGGAATTGGAAGGGGAACAAAAGAACAAAGTGGAGAGAGGATAAGAAAAGAAAGAAAAGAGATGAAAATGAGAAAGACAAACTTAAAAAACAGACACTTGACAGTGTTCCGTTACGAGAATGAAAAGAATGGCTCATTTTTTTTCCTCTCTTTTTATGCGTGCACCCAATCTTTCTGTGGACTAAATAGAGATCATGGACAAGACAATTGGGGCCAATAGCTGATCTCCAAAAATAAGCAAGCCAAATGCTGTTGCTACAAAGAGAACCCATGGTACAATATGCTATAGCGTATTATTGCTGTCGGATGTAATAAATGGTCATTACCTCACACTCTCCCACCCACTCGCAACTCAAGTCAGGCCTATATCCAAAATGAACCAAACGAGGTCCTTTCTTTACGCATCTGTGTCCTTACGCAAAGCTATACAGGATATATACTTACTAACCCACACTCTTGTTTATATTAGATATTTTGGAAACGCGTGGCTGGATTTTTCATAATGGAGGCCACAACAGAAGGAATGGAGAAGGAATTGACGGATTCAAGGAAAGTTCGATGCATCTTCTCTATCGTAGCCACTATTAATACCATTTTTGACCGCAAAGTAAGGGATCCATTACATTTACTTTGGGCTAACGACGGCTATAAGCGGACATATTGATGCAATCGATGAATAGAACAAAAGAAGCGATAGCTCCAATCCCATCATTCATCCGGGACATATGCCATAATCTTATGGTATAGTACTTTAGATTTAGACGGAACTGCATAGAGTAGAAAGCAACGCTAAGGGCAGTGTTGCTTATGGAATATGTAGAGGGACGAGACCTGTAGGTTGAAAAAAGGGCCAATTCGACTTTTCTGTCCATCCTTTTCACTTAGTTTTTATTACCCCTCTCGGTCTCTTCTCTCTTCATCTTTTACTTCATCAGGAATAAGAGCGCCTGCAAATCAGATTCGATTTTGTTGTTGAGCATTTGAGTCTTACCAACAACAGATTGTAGGTGCTCTTTTTTTCCGTTCGTTATCTTTTTTTTAAAAAATGTTCACTTGCATGTGGCCTCAAATCAATGTCTGCCAACAATGACAGAGCACAAGAAAAAATTAAAACAAAACAAACAAAAGGGTATAGAAGGGAAATTAGTCTCGATTGAAAGCTCAACCACCGCAATCATCCTTTTCTATCGGCTATATAGAGTAGCGAACGCAACTTTTTATTCTGAAATAGTGGAATGAATAATTTGCGCACAAAACACATTTTTGACCCAAACAATGTCTGTATGCAACGTTAATCCAATCTTCCCAAGGAGCTGTGCTAAGCTGACTTTAGATCACGGTGACGCAGATCAAGCTTAAAAAAGAGGGGGATTCCACTCAACGCCAGTTCGCTTTTGATAAACAATGTCTTTTGCTGTTATTTAAGTGTATGGAAGTGTGTCTAACTTGGCTTCCAAGAAGAAGGATCATTATTCAGTATTGCCTAGGTCCTTATAAGACGGCTTTAATGTCGAGCATTGTATGGAAATATATTCCATTCATCCCCCCGCTTTTACATCTATACATCTGTGCCAGCCAACCTTAAAAAGAATAATATTAAAAATGTAAATGTAAGACGTGTCTGAACAATCATTGAGGAACAATAAGAGCATTTGCTTATAAAAGCTAAGTTGGGCGCAAATCTTGCGTATTATGAGCCATTCAATTCAGATCGTTCGAAGAATAATAGAAACGAATACTTGGATTCAAGGGACATAAAATAGCAATAAAATAAACATTTAAACAGAAACATGGATCTTAAAAAAATAATGAAAAGATAGTACGAAAGTTTTACATCTGTAGTGACTAGAAGACGTGCGATGATTTGATATCTTGTGCCTCAATCATAAGTTCCACAGAGTATTTCAATCCGCATATAGAGTATTCGAGAGCGAATGAGAACAGAAACAAGAATAAAATGAGAATGAGAATGAGAATGAGAATGAGAATGAGAATGAGAATGAGAATGAGAATGAGAATGAGAATGAGAATGTATTGTTGACTTGATCTGGACAGGACCAAGCAGTAGGATCAAATTGAAAGTTGGGTGCGATAATAAGATAGGAGGGATCAGTGAAAAAGCAAGGACAAAGCCGAAGGTTGAGGGAAACCTTTTATCTGGCCCCTTGATGTGTGTCCTAAAATTCTGCGGTGCTGTGCTTAAATTTTTACATTCCAATACGAAGCCTCCCCCAGTCCCTGGGACCTGGGTTACCATGCAGTCTCACCTATCACCTCATGTACATAAACAGTCGTCCGATCAATGACAACCTATTACTTTTACGTCATAGCTCTATCGATGCAATGGTTCCTGTGAAGAATTCGATCCACATTCCCATATTACTTACCCATCTATCCGTTCGCTCTCTGCTGATCACGACCATAGTAACAGACATCACAAAGGCTAGTAGATCTGTGTAAATGCCATTATGAGCTTGTATACATGTACTGTATTTTATTTGCTGTCGAATACATGGAAATCAAATATATCATCATACTACACTCTGAACTTCAAGATATCTGGCGCGTTGTCGCATCTTATCGTCCATCTCTCCATCTCCTTTTATAGAAATAGAAAGGAATGTGGACCACATCACTCATTCAAAACGAAGATACTTTACTGAACCCCCTTTTTTTTCTTTTTTTTCCCTTCAAGCTGCGTGAGTAGCATATTCTTAAAGAGCTGTACACTATAATAAATATAGTATACCGTTCGCGCCTCCTAGATCTCTCTTATACTAACCTGTCAAGGAACATTCAGTTGCTCTACGAAGAGACAATGCAGCCGAGTCAAATTGTGCTCCTGTTGTCTCACTTTATGGAACTCAAAACAGAATAAACCCACACTTCAAAGGGTGACTCTAGATTATTGTTTATCTTTCCTGGATACTTTCAAACACCAATTCGTCTTAATAACATTTCACTTCAATTGACTAGAGGCCTCGCCAGAAAGTCATGAACTGGATAATCTAATGTATTAAGATTCAATAGAGGTATTTTAAAGTCAATATATGCGATTCATGACTTCCTGGCGGACTCTGCCGCCAATTTAATGACTTCTTTGTCCTCATTTTTTTCCATTTCAGTAAAATGGTGTAACGATAGCATGACTCAGAGGAAAATAAATATTCCCTCTTTACTTATCAGTGAAAGTATCTCCGCGGCTTTGAAGGAAAACGCGGCCTCAGTGGATGACGCGCTTCGCCACGGAATACGTAGTGTTATATAGAGTGAAACCTACCAATACGTCTCTCTTGATCTCCATTCTACTCAGAACTCGACTACCAGGTTCATGAATACTTTGAATGGCCTACATGATGTGGACTAATCATGTTAAAAATCAATATCTAGGTTCGTGATCTGCCATGAAAGCTCAGCCAGTTGCACACGTGTGGCTTGACCTTTAAAGTCAGACACTATTGGATGTGGGACTTTCTTCACTTTAGGCGATCGACAAATCATGTATGAATATATCACAGATCTGATGATCAGCTTAGATCTGTCTGAAACAAACACCTTGTGGCAAAGAGAATGAGGAACACGGCTAAATTCTGCCTGCCTGTATCCACTGGGTACATGTACTTGCCCAATCAATGAACGCTGCTAAAAGTCTATTAGAAACAGTTCTCGTCGCTACTGAGAAGTCTACAGTCGAATTCTGGTTTTCCGGATGATACACAGTGGAAATGGTTCGGATATTGATAAAGTTTACTGAATAAACAGTATTTTAAATTTCTTAGACTGCACATGTATCGCCCCTTCATTTGGTCATGATCCCACATATAATCTAAAAACGGTGATTGAGCTGGTTTGGTGGCATCTCACTTCGTGACGGACTTGCAACAAGAGTATTCAAAAAACATAAGCGATCGCGACTAAATGAAAAGGTCTGAATCGTGCTATAGATTAATTTCTTTGCTTTGACACTCTGTTTTTTGAGGAGTGCATTTTAATTGCCTAATGGACAATACTCGAGTGTTTCATTTAATGCTGTCGAGAGGAGCTACGATAACAGACACGTTATTTGAACTATACTTACGCGCAAAAAAGGGGGCACAAGCTTCCACAGACTGAGAGTGCAATATAAAGCTTGCAAAGGGTAGTTCCAGACATAAAACCGTACGTCTTCATAGTGTTTTGTCTGTAGAATGTGCCTGTTTTTTTTTTTTTTTTTTTTTTTTTTTTTTTTTTCAATGAAACAGCGACACGGCCAGTTTGTGATATCATGCCCAAGGTCCCTCTTGTTGAGACCAATCCCTTTATTTATTGAATTATTTTTCAAGGTTTCGTCAAGGTGTATCATAATGAAGCAAACGATATGCTTGGATACTGTGTCAACAACACTTATTCATATAACAGTCCCTTAACTCTCTTTCACTCCACTGTGTATTCAGCGGCATCTCCATTTGAGGCACCACAATATAGGGAAGAATATTAAGCCTTCTGCTTCCGCCAGAATCGCCTAGTCCGCCAAGCTTCGGTATGACCTATTACTATAGCAGAAGATAATAAACTGCTCAATATATGTTTTTTTTATTGCTCTTAGGAGAATAATTATGCACAAGAAACGTGAAGGCACAATGCATCTGTTAGACTCTTTATTTACTTCAGCCGGCCTCAAACTTGCTTGGTTGGCCCACATTATATCACATTCAACTATTACTGCTCTGTCTTCAATAAGGTCGATTTTACGACGCGAGATAAAATGAATTTTTAAACCCATGGAGCTCGAGCTGAGATAGTTGATATAAGTCCTCTCTTAATCATGCTTTTCCCTCTCCTTCTCGCGTTTAGTACGAAGAAAATAGAAAAACAGTAAAGACAATATGAAAAAGAAGTTTTCCAACGTTGGCAAAGTCTCAGCACGCAAGTAGATCGATAGGAGAGTTTTAACGACAGATATCTGCTGTCGCGGACTTGTAAATCGCCCCAAGCTTGTTTAAATATTGGTCTTCTACAGTTCATGTCCATACAGACAGACCTGGAAATATTGAATAGGCGTGTTTTTTATGGTTTTATGGTCTTTATAGCTGATACTACAGGAGATCGAACAACTATCATTTGTCTGAAACGCACAATATCTTGTGTCACCATGTCTAAGCATCCAAGCGCACTTGTGCCTTCCCCTGTTCCTGGATTCGGTGGCTGTTCTACGTTTTCACGCCTTTCAATATTTTTATTTTTTGACTCACATCTCATTGTCCTCATAACAACATCCTGTCTTTACCATATTTCGACGTTAACTCATAACCAATGCAGTTTCGCATCCAAAACTGCATAAGTGGTAAATGTAGGGCAAATTAAACATTATCCGGTGACATGCTCACCTTTTGTTCTCATTCTCTTGCCTCGCTTTTCTCTTTCGTCTCCATTTCAATACGAAGTGAAATCACGATGCGCTCTTTGCTCGCTCCTGATAGCGCTTGCAAAGGCCCGTCAATTGGCTGAGTTTCCCTTTCTACCTCTCCTTTGATTACTTCAATAAGCTGATGATGGTGCTTGTGGCTTTTCGACGCGCTGAAGACCATGTCCTGCCTTGTAGGATGAAATTGTCCTCTGGGGAACGGAGCTCACCCAATGTCTGCTGAACTATCAAACGCGTATCGGGTGACATGGTAGGGTCTTCGACCGCTGTTCTATTACAAAAGGTGGGAAGTGAGCAATCAGTTTGCGGATATGAAAGAATAGCGTGGTACAGGACTGCTTTGGCTATATTGGCTTTATCATTTGCAATTGATTAGAGCATGCCGATATGTGCTCCGCCGGGACCTAAAGGACCTCTTCTTCACGTTCGCTTCTTGTATCACCTTGGTCTCCTTAAGAGACCTCCTCAAATCCCTGGATACTCAAGACCTCACAAGGATGTGAATTATGCTGCCTAAGACCTTGCTAAGCTCATGTACGACCTTCTGAAGAGCTCTTTCATCCGCCGTCGTCTTTACTTCTCACTGCCTCAGCTTTCTCTTTTCCTTACGGGCCAATTTCAGTTTGCTATTGACCACTGCCTTCGCCGCCTGCGATGGAGCTTATGGTACCGCATTATTCATGTAGACTACCGTGTCTTGAGGATAGACTTGCTTCTGAGGGCTATGTTTCTCAGTGGCATTGAGGGCATTTGCAGAAAGAGTCTTTCTCTTGCCCCCTTCTCTTCATCTCTGATTTCCCTAGTTCTCCTTTCTTTTCCACGCATCATACTAAATCTGACGAAGGCGTCACTTGAGCCTGCGTTACTGTCACGACTATTGCAGAAAGGAAATATGAAAGCGTGAATGAAGCGATAGAAGTGTTTACACCAGCCATACTGATAGCCCTATTGTGTCATTGTATTATGCGTTTAGAGGAAAGCCAAGTTGTAAATGATCACGGTTACGAGTGAGCAAAGCATCGCAAGCAGTAGTCATATAGGTGTTAACTGTAGCTATGTACTATTGAGCACAAAATGGCCCATTCTCTTCCACGCGCCATCATTTCATTACTCGTGCCAGAGGCTTCAAGCACTAGCAAAAACTCACTTTTAGTCATTAGTCAAGTGCACAAATTTAAGTAGTCCAGTATGCAGTGCATCTATATGCATGTAAGTATTATTTGCGTGTTTTCTTTGAACGTTTTGTCATGAGAAAGGTAACTGTCTATTGTATTTACTTGTCTGTATGTAGAATTATGTACTCAGACAAGATACTAAGTAAACTGACTGAACCTGAAAGCTCTTTAAAGAGCTCCACACGGGCTCGTTTGTATATAGGACTTGTCTGGCTAGCCTACGATCATTAACTTTTTTATTCTTTTACCTGTTTCTGATGTCCAGTCCCAGGATCTTGATACACTCTTCTATTTAATATGACCAATTTCTACACAATGCTAGCTTCTAAATGGTCAACAACTTGATTAGCGTGAGCACACGCGATCTCTTATGGATATTGGAGAATATCAACTAAAGAGTGAACTCATGCACAAATAAAAAAAAAAAAAAAAAAAAAAAGCCGCCAAGTGGATGAACGCCGGTTTTTTCATGTACGTACATATACATCAAAAACAGTCTACAACAGAGGGAACTACATTACTACCAAATCATTTGAGTAAAAGAAAATATATTCATAACTCCTTTTTTAATGTTGTTGCTTTTTTTTTTCTTTTTTTTTTTTTTCCTGCTGCTGTTTGTTGTCGTATTTATCGTCTCTTAAAGTCATTACTGTTTCTTAAAGCCATAATTGTTTCTTAGTCATTAAAGTCGTTACTGTTTCATATACCCCTGACTATCAATCTGCATTGAGATCCCGCTAGGGATAAAAGCAGAAACTGGCGAGGCTGGATTAAAAGAGCTTCCATTGCTATTGTGGTCCTTAGCGCTAGAAACACTATTATTGTCACTGCTGCTGCCACTTCGACTACCGCTATCACTCCCATGGCCGCTGATGCTCCTGCTACCGGTACTGTTGCTAATACCACTGCTATGAGTACTGCTACTAATGTCACTGCTATGAGTGCTGCTTGGGGCAACGATACTGCTACTACCACTACCATCTCCATATAAAGGCATCGAGAGGTGGAGTGTGGGCATAGATGATCGCCTTCCGCGTCCCAGACCTGAAGCATCATCGTCCAACCAAGCAAATTGGCTAGCTTGCTGCTGTATATGTGTGGCCATCGAAATAGGGATCTGCGCGTGTTGATAATAAAATGATATGGGTCCGACTGGGTGTATCGACAATTGCCCATGAACCTGCTGTTGAAGAACTTGCGGTTGTTGTTGTTGCATATTATTAAACGGATGATGGTGCACCTGCTGCAGGGGGCCGAGGTGGGCATGAGAATGAAGGCCAGCCACGGTTTGAACAGGTGAAGAAGCAGTTGAGGACAATGGCGAACCGAAGTGAGGATGGGCTATTTCTCCACTTGGTGCTGTAGTGTTGATGGTAGTTCCTGTTGCGGCTAGATTTAATGCATTATGAGGGGTCTCAGCATATTGATGGAATCTATTAGATCCATTTCGCTGCACGGGCTTGGGTGCCAATGACTGAGTTACAAAGTTGTTGTCAACCGACATCGCCATGGATTCAGTTGTCGCTCCAGGATGGAGAGGTGGAGCCCCTTTGTTGCTGTTGGGATCCTGGTTTGAAATAGCCATAAAGCTGTTGGTTGTATTAGGAAGAACTGGATGCTGCTGCTGTTTCTCAGAAACTAAACCAGTCCCAGGAGGAGGAGATGAATAAAAGGCAGCAGTTGTCTGTGTGGAGGGAACCAACAAGGGTATTGCACTTGCCACTAAAAAAAAAAAAAAAAAAAAAATCAGACTGGTCTCCAAGCCTTTTTGGTTGAATTTCAACTTCATTCCAAGGCACGCAAACTTTACCTACCTTGAGATGGATTGCCTACGTGCGACGAAGATTCTGGCAAAAAAGCTGAAGAAGATCCCATTGGTATTATTGCCGCCGGCTGTGGCTGGCTGGCCATCCAAGTCATGCCGTTCTGTTGTTGCTGTTGCTGCCGTTGTTGTTGTTGCTGTTGCTGTTGTTGTTGCTGTTGTTGTTGCTGTTGTTGTTGCTGTTGCTCTTGTTTTTGTTGGTGAAGTAATTGGCTTGGTTGAAGAGCTGCTTGCAGGAGTGCTCCCTGCTGTCTCATTTGTTGACTCATCTTGAAAGCCATCTTTCCTTTTGCACTGCCTTTGCTGAATGAAGACGACCGTGGTTGGTATTTAATTTTGCCCATCACTGCATCCTGGTCACTATTGAATCCTAGTCCGGGAAATGTTGCCAAATTCATGAGTCGCATGGAGATTTCCCGACTAAGAGTCTCATCAATTCCGTGGATCTTTCGGTTTTTCAGATCATTGCTCTGACTCCCCTCAAGACCATCGCCTGCCATGCCCGTGCCTGATTCTATTCGCTTGTTGCCATTGAGCTTCTCATCCAACTCCATAACAATGTTATATAGTTGTTGGTTCTCTGCACGTACCAAAGCCATGATTCTATATACCTCATCCAGCTCTTCGGCTTTACTCTCGAGCCACTTAATGTATTTTTGCTTGCGCTGACGGAACGCTCTCTGGGCTGCTCGATTCTGTTCAGCTCGTCGTATAGCAATTTCCTCAGGCAATTCAGTCATATCTGCAGAGCCAGAGGATCCTGCACCTGCAGTCGACGACGTCGAAGACGATAGTGTACTCAACCCCTTTGGGAAAAAACTAGACTGATGCAATGATTGGACCTGCGCCTGGAGCTGTTGCTGATGATATGGTAAAGGTGGTGGGGTTGGTAGAGATGATAGAGGAGGGGTTGGTTGAGGTTGCTGTAGTTGCTGTTGTAGCTGAAGATTGAAAGTCGGCTGTATATTGGTGCCATTTTGGAACGAGGACGCGTTACGCTGCGCAAGGGGAATGGCTGAGTCGCCCATCCCAGGAGTGGGGAATGGGTTCTTTTCACTTTCCTGGCTCGACGTCCCACTGATTAATTCGTCCGTCGATCGCCCTGTTAATGTGAGTGGATTCGAGGGACTATTCAGGGCAGTTGAGTCAGAAGGTGTTGGGTAGGATGATCTAAACATGTCAAGAGAAAGCGGCTTTACCAAAGGTGATATAGGCTGCTGCATCTGCATGGACATCGTCAATGACGTCTGAATAACGTCGCTTCTTGGGCGAACATCTTGCATTAGTATTTGTTGCTGTACTGACAGCTTATGCGGCATGTGATGTACCCCTTGCCCCTGTATATGGTTGTATGCGTCGTCTTTATATTCTTCTAACTTGACTGTCTGGTAATCTGGGTCATTGTCCATCGGTAAAACTCTATCCCTGAAATGCACTATTATGAAATACCAAAATAAAGAATAGAAACAAACCACGACGCGTGCCGCCGAAGCGCTCAAATTAGGATAGGCTGGAGCGCGAAAAATAAAAAAGCGGGTGGTACAAAAAAGAAGCCAATTCATACGTTGGGCCTTATTAGGAGGATCCATCTTTGTCAATTGGCTCTTAAGAGGAATAAGGGCGAGTTTGACGATCTGTGCTCGAGAAGGCGCTTTAGTCGTCAAATGACTATCCAATTCCGTTTCTGTAGCAGCAGGCAGGCAAAAGAAAATGTGAAAAGGAAAGGGTGAATGGTATCAGTTGTCCTTGATCTTTAACTACAATCTTTACAATCTCTTATTAAAAGGGAAAGTTGAAGAAGGTGAATATTATTCACTGACCTGATTGGAGGCTCCTTGCTTGAAGTGTCTGGGACTCTTTAAAATTGGTTCAATTAGGATATAATATATGAATGCAGTAATGGCCTCACTAGGGTGCAGGATCGGATTGAATGATCACGGTTGGCAAGAAAAACCATGAGTGACGTTAGGCTTTGGGTTATTCGAACATTATAGTGAAGAGTAATACTTGATGTGCTAAGTAGGATGGCATTAGCCATGAATTAAAGAACGCTTCAAATCCCAAAACTACGGATGACTGAACCCTCGAATTTTTTATGGTTTTTGGATTGCTGAAGATTTCATCATTTAAAAAGAGCTTTTACAATTCTCTCTTTTAAAATTAATTTTGGCCAAAAAAAAAAAAAAAAAAAAAAAAACTATAAACTTAATTGATGGCAAGTGTGATCACCTTCAATTATAATTTTTATTTGTTATGTTAGTAATGTTTGTTTTGATAAATCTGCGCTTAAGCGATTACTCAAGCACTGGAAGACACCAAGGTAAGGTTTCCCATCGCATCCTCTTTCCAGTTTTTTCTTTTTTTTTGATGCTCAACTGCATAGTATATGACTAGTAACAAAGATGTCTATCCCCCCCATAAAAGAAAATGTTCAAGAAGCGATGAATGATAAGCCTTGAGTGCCAATATTCATTTCCTCTTGTTTGTCCGCCGATGAACAAGCAGTACATAAACACCATGATCGAAAATTCCAGAATAAAAAAGAAAAAGGAATATATAAGGGGGGGGGGGGGGGGAAAGTTGGGAAGCGTTCAAACAAGTGTCTTAAGGCAAGAAGGTATGAAGAGGAATAGCTGGATAACTCTTTCCCACACTGGTACATACACGCAATACACACACGTCACTGATAGCGATTCATACTCGCGTAGCAGTCTATTTCATGATAAAAGGCCCATGGAGAGTGGCGCGAAGGATACATCAATGTTATTGCTGATATATGAACGCATGCATGTAATATGGCCTTACAAGCATGGGAGTCGGCAGGGTAAGCAGGAGCTAAAGTTAGAGATAGGAATAGCTTCAGAGCCAGGCTGCTGAGTGTATGCCGTATGTGCGTAAGTGAAAACAGATAAGCAGTGATGTCGAGCAACGGAATAGTTTTTAGGGTGCGTGGATGATTGTATATTGTTGAACAGTTCTGTTGAGCAAGAGTGGCTCAGAAAGCGATCGTAATGTTTTCCACAGACAGCTTTTCTACTTTTTTTTTTTTTTTTTTTTTTTTTTTTCCTTCGACTTCTTTCCGCCGAGGATGATTGTTGCAAAATGGACAGAGACAGAGAGAAAAGGGTCGGGGCGACATATTGATATAAGCCTTTTAACCCTCAGGGGAAAATATGCTGAGCAAGGGACGTTGTTGGACAGATCTATGATCCCAACAGCCTTGTATACGTCGAGGACTTGAGAAGAATGACCATATGAAGCATAAAAATGTGTGTGAGTGTGAGAGAGAAGAGTGAAAAGGACAAGCACGAAGAAGAGGAAGAAAAAGTTTCACTGGTGTGGCGAGGGCGGTAAAACACGCTTTTCCGAGATTCAAATACAACTTTTTTTTATTTAGGAGCGTACAGACATGCACAAACAATAAAAAAGGAGACAGGTCAGGCAAACAATGAAATCCAGATAATTTCTAAAAGCGCACTATGGCACAGTACGCACAACTCTTAAACCAAAGTTTAGACTGTACTGTACTCAGTAGTGTAACAACAATGAACGACAACGAACGAAAATGAAAATAGAGTATAAAAGAATAATAGACTATTCAATAAAGGAGAGTATAAGGGGATACGTGGGAGATGAGGAGATGTGCTTAAGCGCGAGATAAGATTTCTTGAAGCTTGCGGAACATGATATTAGCGACCACTTTCACTTTCACTATTGATCAAACCCTCTCCATCTCCATTCCTTGCACGTAATTGGTCCTCTCGTTGTCAAGGTAGATATGAACACATGAGGTCACTGCCGACGCGCTGTTTCCTCAAGGGACAGAAGATGCAAATTTATAGAGCTCATGCCTTGTTTTTTCTGGGACGGATCAGATCCAAATGTAGGTATATACTTATGCTTGCTGATCTCCTCGCCGAGATTAGGGAGGGGAGGAGAGTCGAAAGATCGGGTTTCTATCTGCAATGCTGTCTAGAATACCTCCATACGACCATATAAAACAGCATACTGAGGGAATGCAGGCAGACTGACGGTGACCACATGCGTCTTCAGCAATAACAAAAGCAACACATGCTTGTTGCCACATAAAATCGTATGCATTATTCGAAGTGAATCACTCCATTGGTTATTGAGTGAAATTCAGCTTATTATACTACTGTACCGTGGTTCTGCTTAGTTGAACTGCTTATTGTCTATCTGTCGTAGTAAACAGCGAGGTAATAAGGGTAAACGAAGTCACTGGGCCATTGCATATTCCAAAAGCATACCGACATTAGATCTCAGAACGGAGATGCTCCGCACATTGTGGAGCTACTTTGACACTTCGGAGCAAAATATTTGAGCTCTAATAACATTTCGTTGGCAGCCACCTTGTCTTGTCACCACCAAAAGATATATATACATAAATATGTACAAAATATATTGTTTTTTATTTTATTTGCTAGTTCGCCTAACCCCATTAATTGAGGGGTGAAGTGCATATATACTGCCCATATTAGGCAAGGAAAGGTTACACGGCCTATCGTGTCTATCCTATTTCTTTCTATTAGATTCATAGTATGAAACGCGTTGAAAGTCTATTTCAATTCGCTCATATACCTCTTATTTGATGCTTTAAAAAAAGGGAAAAGTGAAGATAATCGCATTTTACTCCTTTTTTTTTGCTTGTTTCCCATGTGGTTGTCACGAGCGCTCTAGAGGAAAAGATAACTCCGATTTAAACTATATTCTAGGATGTAGGTCAACAGGGTCAAAGGCAATGATGATCCTAACAAAGTCTGGTGAGGGTTTTTCGTGTAACTAAGGGTTCGGATAGAATGATCAATTAAATATTGCACAAGAACGTGCGCAAACAGACGAACATGATTATGAAATACAGGTACCTTTAGATAGCTATAATAGTCTAGTGTATATAAAAATAGCTGACTGTTTTTTTTTTTTTTTTTTTTTTTTTTGATAGCAAGGATCCATGAAGCTCTGTAGGATTAATTTAGATGCTAGCTCTATGAATGGGCTCCCCCATTCCCAGAGCCGCATACAAAGTATTATCCAACAATTGGCTGTAGCCGTGTAGTTATACTACTACAATGCAATATCCTGTATATAAACCACGTCATTGTGCAGATTTCCATCCCAGGGAACCAAGGAAGACTGCAGAACGGCTCTACCCCATACTTGGTCTGTTGTGCGCAAAGACCTTACTTTATCCGTAGTTCTCAATCACCAAAACACTTGCTGCTTTTAGACTCTCCATAACCGTTAATTCTACTTGATGTCGATAGCTCGCCGCCACTCGCTGATCTGCATTAGTCCTGGTCACCTTCACCTCTACTACGGCTGTATCTACCAATACAGTTGCGTTCCTTGGCGCATTTGCTTATGGGGTTAATGTTATTACCCCTTTCCCAGCTAACGGTCATTTGCAGCATCTGTTTTAGATCTCCGTCTTGCCGAGTCCCTCGATTACCTTAAAAAAGTGACAATCAGTGCAACTTGCAATGTATATTATGGCTCTGAAAACCACCTTTCATTTCTGTATTACCTTCTTTGAAACCGAATCGCGATACGCGTCCTGAACACCCCAGTGTGCATTCTATCTTCGTCTCCCTATCCCATCTCCTTTCTCTTCACCAAGCAAGGCATTTACATATCGAATCTCTCTGACCTTCTTAAACACCACTTCCAAGGAGTTGCAAATCACGAAGTCCACTATGGGTTTGAAAGGAAGACCTTTATTCAAATCCGATTCCTGCATTTTGTCATGTTTGCCTTTTCAGTTCTCCATTTCCTTTCCTAAAGGTCTCTTATCGTCCTTCGTAATGAGTCTGATCGCCTGCTTCTATCTTCTCAGCTCTTCGTCCAGTGTCGTGAGATGTCGTCAGAGGTGCTATGTCTCCTCTTGTTCCAATCCACACATCCTGCAGCTTCAAGTACGTGAATGTAGAAAGCATATCATGAATATTCTTAATGCCCTGTACTCTCTTATAGCAATCCGCGAGGTTGCTGAAGAGGCCTTGGCGTGTTGTCGTCACGGAGTATATGCAAGCCTGCTTCGCAATCCACTTCTCTCAAGTCAAGTCTGTAATATTTCTTCTAACCCTGTTTTGAGTCGCCCGCATACAGTGCGTTCACACCAACTGAACCAGGACGGCCGCATATATCTCTACTTCTCCTGCCTTGGTGGATGAGGCATAGCCATCGACCCTGACTGACACTACATTTGACGCAGTCCTTGTCCCTGTCTCCTCAAAAGATCCATCTGAGTTA